GAAAAAAGTATTAGTACCTCATATCTTGATATAACCTCATATATTCTCAAGCGACGAAGAATATAAATTGCAAGAGAGGCAACTTCATGACATGGTTTCTGCATGAGTAATTTCAATAGAAGACAGTAGCCCTCACTCTTCCCAGAGGGGATACTTCCATCCTCACGAGGCCACCAACCTAAAAAACCCTCACACCCAACTGCATAGCGAGTAGCCTGCTCAACAACTCCAAGCAACAGCAAAGTAATGGTAGTCGAATTCTGTGTATCATGACCGAACAAATATACAAGTTGATCCATCCCTCCAGAATTGACAAAATGGAGGCAACCTTCCTTGCCCGAGCATAATAAAAAGGCCAAACTTAGACCTAGAAGAGTGGCTTTTCCCTGAAATGAGAAAAATAACAGCAATCATCTATGTGATAAATTTCTATCACCAGCTTGTGAGAGAGCCGATTATAATTTGCAATACCTTTGAAAGCCGTGGAAGGGCAGTGCCCAATGAATCCCTTTCAAACTGAATATAGGGACTTAACATATCGACCAATTGTTGGGAAGTTGCCAAGTAAGTCTCAGATTCAAGGAAGTCGAACACTGTGGATGATCCAAGTGGCACATCTGATTCTTGAATTTCATTGAGATCAAGAATGTCTTTCTTAACCTTGTCAGTTATATCATGGAAAATTCCTGAATCTACAGAACTGGCCTCGGCCAGACAATTCTTATTCTTTAAAAAGAAATCTACATTGTCTGTGACATAAGACGAAACCCCTGACACAACTGTATCCACAAATTTATTTACTACATCATTAGTAGCTATCTGGTCAAAGGCTTTTCCCAGCAGCTGCAACAGTCGCTTAACTTCCACAGGCACATCTACAGCAGCGAGGGGTACAGATACTATGTCTAGAGAGGATAGACATTCCTCTATCGTTCTGTCAACTGAATGCAATACCAATGGCAAGTCCTCAAGGTTACCTTCAGTGGAACTCACAATATCAGTTACAGAACGACCTTCGAGAATGATATTGTACTGCCCCAAATCTTTCACGATGTTCCCGTAGACAATCAAGCTCAAACTCCGATAGCTACCTCTAACCACTAGATGGTTTGTTACAACAGCCTGCAATTTTAATGAAAAACAGTCCTTTAAGAGCATGGAGTTACTAAAAAAATAATGCAAGGAATTGAACCCTGTGAATGAGAATGATAAACCACTTTTCTGATAGCATATGCAGGCTGAAAGTCTGCCTTTTGACACACAAGATGATAGAATTAAAAAGTATTCAAATTCTAAACTCCAAACTGCTTCCATTCCCAACCCAAACTAAACCCGTTTCCAGCTGCTAAAAGTTATTTACTCCCTCTAGTTTGCCATATATCATCCTATCAGTGTCTAGAATTTTACACGTATGCACATCTCTTAGGGAATGTCTACTGCTGTAAGTCGCAGTTTGATAGCCAATTAAGGACATGAAAGGTCATGTCTCAAACATTGAATAAGAACCATTCTCAAATGTTGTTAACAGTATCAGAATATCAAACTAGTCATACCCAGCAAGGGAATAAAATGAAAGGGAAAGCAACAAAACATCAATTTTGAAGAAAAATCATATCTTAGCAGTTACCTCTACTTCCAAGGGATAGGGCGCTGAAGGGGTGTAAAGAAATGGGTTACAAAGTCGCTTAAACTTGGATTCTCCTTCACATCGAACGAACACCTCCAATGCAAATGAAGGAGGTGAAGTTGCCCTGATGAAGAATTTTGTCAGCATTCAGATAAACATCCATAGATATCACCCACACTAAAGATAAACCCCAAGACATGCCATCGGATTCTAACACCTAGCCGCCCATTTATGTGACAAATCAAACTACGAGTGGTTCAGCTACAATTTCTGCTCACTGTTTTTGTTTCTGGAAGTGGAATCGACTCTAAATCTAGAATATTCTGAAAATGACTGAAAACTGATTGATAAAGAGAAAAACCTAAACTTTATGAGTCTGGACATTTCAACCAAAACATTGTTTCCAAAAGGACATACCCGACAAGGGAAACGGCTTGAGAAGAAGATGAAGCATTCTGCTCCAAAAACTCGCAGGCTGTGATGATTACTGGCTCAGCAAATATCACCTATAAAAAGGAAGCATATCATAAATCCTCGAAAGCGATAAACTTGATACGGTGCACACAAGTAGTTCGCAGTAACGATTCACACAACCCTAATTCAACATATATACCCATAGAAACTCAGAGAATCATTTCAAGAGCATCATAAACTAAAGAAAGAACATTAGTGTGAGAGCTGAGAAGGTTACCTCGTCGACATATTCGTCCAATTGAGGATGAACAAAGGTCTGAGAGAACAGAACACAAGGCTCAGATCGTACCATGTCTACAGAACGATTGCCAGTCTTGTGGAATCGCGTTGGTAAATATTTGGCAAAATTGATCCAGCCCGGTTGCTAAATCTGAGATTTATCAAATTGTGCCTCTAAATTAGCGTAATCAGAGACGAAAAGCAACTGAACACAAATCCAATAATCCAGAATTTCTTATCAAATGCATCACTAAGCCACTAATCGGCATCACTCAGCCAGGGGTGTGCGAACTTACGCTATCTATGCCAAACGCAACAACTAGATCACGAATTAATCTATGTCAAGTTTCTACAGTAAAACTAGAACAATTCGGTTTTAAATCTCATTACTTTGGGATCGACACAGACCTTGGAGAAGGGAGAGAAATTGCGTTTAGAAACGAAGTCTCAGGAGGAATGAGAAACCATTAATTGTTTAAGAGAACGAATCGAGGAGGCTTACCTGGGAATTCGAGAGAGAAGACGACGCAGAGCGAAGGAGAAGCTTTTTTTATTAGCCGGCGGTAAGCTCTTTTTGTTTAACCGGCGTTAAGGTTTTAGGGTTGGGCTGGACGATAAACGGTTGGCTCGGGCTCGGACTCGGACCTAAGCCAGTATCAAGTATTCTTCTTCTTTTTCTTCAATATCAAATCATTTGTTTAAATAAATTTAAATCTCTGCCCAAAACAAAAATTCAAATCTCTATGTTACTTACAATTTTCTTTTTTGTTAAATTTGTTGCTCTCTACAATTTTAGCTTTTGTCATTTTAATTTAAAATATACACAAAGGAAATTAAAGTAACTATATAGAGATTTCAAAAAAAAAAAAAGATAAATATTTTTTTAAGGTATTGTTCTTAATTTACCAAAGAAAAGTAAAAATATTGATTTGCCTTTATCATGCTGACCTGAGTTATCAGTTTTACAAATGGCATGACTCAACTTTGTAATTCAACCCAATAACACATTATAAATCAAACACAAATGCAAAAAAAAACTAAAAACTAATATAATGATTATAATTGGTAATATTTTTGAGTTATGCCCACAACTCAACATTAACCAATGTAATATATGTCACCAATCAAAGTCTTGTTGACTAGTTTTGGTTTGAATGCTTTTTTTAATTCTTTTTATAACAAATCAACCAAATAAATTATCAAGGGATATGAATATCACATATATTTTTGCTTTTTCTTGTAGTTATTTGAAAACTCACAATTCTTTAGTGATTGAATTTTGTTTCAAGGTGTTATTGGTCGAGTCTAACGTATGATCAAGTTGGAGTAATTCCACACATTTATTGCACTATGTTGCTTAAACCCTCGATATCTTCTATATGATCATAAACATGTGCACCTTTATACAAGAGAAATAAAAATTACTAATTGATATCTTGTTTATTAGGGAGAATAAACTATAATAATAAGAACAAAAAACTACCAAATAAATATTATCAAGATAATTGCACTATCAGAAATGATTGGAAAGTTTTCTCCGAAGTCATTCTCAAAGTTTTTAATCAATTTGGTGGTTAAAGTTTTACTTAATTTTCTTATTTTTAAAAACTTAAAAACTTGTTATTTAATACAAAATCATGTGGTTCCCTCGTCTTCAGTCTTCAGTCATCTTCTTCAACATCTTCTACAGAAAAATGGTGCCATTGTTATACATAACATTAACCACTGTTATAAATACATCAACAATATTATGATAGAGGATTAATCCCTTTTTCTAGATTTCCTTTTTTATATTTATTTTTATTTTCTTTTAACATTTGGCTGAACCAAAGTTGGGTTTTCTATTTATTTATATTTTGACAATAAATAATATGATCAACGAATCAACATACCGGATTTATCTAAATTGGTTCGATTTTTAACCGTACTAACCAAAATTATTCCAAGTTGAACCTTGTTTAATCTATAATTAAAACAAAATTTGGTTCAGTTTGACAACAAATTTATGGAATCGAAAATTTAACCTAACCAAACTGTAGTTTTAGATTATGTAGAAATTTCTCAATCTGAATTAACCAGAAAACCGAATAACAATTGCGTAATATCAATTTATCGGCCTCGTCATCGAAAGCGGCTTCCAATTGCAGGCTTACGAATACTCTTTTAGGTTGAATTCAAACGAAATAAGATGCAATAGCTTTAGGATTTTAGTCGGCAAAGCGGCTTCTGAAATATTTTTTATGTCTTATCAACGCAAGTTTTAACTAGTGTATGAAACGCATCATGATCTTGCTGTATAGTAAAGGGGAAATGTACGGAGTTGAGATAATTAGGGAGAGTCGTGAATTCACTGTCAAGGTACATCTCTTGAATCTTTCTATATAATTGTTTCTTACATGAAGTTGAAAATGCAATGTGAGTGTGAACAAACTTTTGATTTCTTTCATGTTCTAATAATAATATATATATATATATATATATATATATATATATTTTTTAAAGGATTTTCTAATAATAATCTTTGCTTATTCACTTCATGTAAGTGTCTTATTAACAAACTGTCTTCAGTTTGATGGACCAAAGATTATGAAACAAATAACAGAGGATAAATGAAATAATCAACTACGCTTGTGAAGAAGGTATGTATAATTTTTGTATTTCATCCAAAGCTCCCTTCTTCTTATAGCCTTAGAGGTATCTGAGTTCGAGGAACAGGAGTGCACTTGAGAGGATGTGCCATGGTCAACGTAACTGATCCAGGAGCCTCATCCATGTTGACCTTGTCTCCTTTGATTTTCCAACCAAAGCACTGCACCATCACTCCAATCGCGTGCTCTACAGAGACATAAGCCAGACTGGTTCCAGGACAGCCTTTCCTCCCGCTGCCGAAAGGTAAGTATCTCAGGACTTCTTCTCTTGTCTCCTCCTCTTGAAACCTCTCTGGCTTAAACTCCTCAGGATCTTCCCAGAAATTAGGATCTCTCATTATAGCGTAAGAGTTAAGAATAAGTGTTGTCTTCTCCGGTATGTGGAACCCGTTGATCTCACACTTTTCTTGGAACGTCCTAAACAAGATAGGCGCTGGTGTATGCATTCTCAGCCCTTCTTTGACCACCGCTTGCAAGTAAGGAAGGTTTGGTAAATCTGTTTCTTGAATTAACCTTACCTTCCCCACCACGAAATCGATTTCTTCTCTCAGTTTCTCAAGAACGTTAGGGTTGTTTATAATTTCGGCCATTGTCCATTGTATAGCGTGAGTCGAGGTGTCAGTGCCTGCAATGAGAAGATCCTGTAGTAGCATAGCAAATGTTCTTAGTACTCAGGACATCTTTTCTTGGATTTTTCAAGAGAGAGAGAGAGAGAGAGAGAGAGAGAGATCATTTACCACGAACAAGCCCTTGATATGGTTCCTAGTGATGTTAAACTCTGCGTTTTCGTCTCCATAAAATTCCAACAGCACATCTACCATGTTATCACCTTGATGATGATGATTCTCGCGCCTTTTCTCTTCGTGCTCCACAATAAACGTCTCCAACACCTCGTCGTACCTGCGGGAGATACTTGTTAACTCCTTCTTGAACAGCGAGATCCCGATCATGTTAAGCGGCTTGCGCAAGATGGCCGACAAGATAAACTTCTTGGACAAGAGATCTGACTCGGTCACTAAGCCTCTGACTGTCTCTGCTTCACCGTTCTCCTCTGAACAACTCCTCCCAATGAGAATCTTGCAGATGATGTTGTTGATCAGCTTCATTGCTTCCTCACCAACATCAACGCTCTCCTTCTTCATCGTCTTATCAAGCAAGCTTGAGTAGAACCGATTTATCTCATCTTCACGGTCGCATCGTGACCTCTGGAGTGCTTGAGGTCGGAGGAGCTTGGTGACGAGGATCTTTTTCGCGAACTTCAAGTAGTCTCCGTAAGGAGCGGTTAAGAAGCCAGAAGGTCCGAAGAAGATGGAGCCCTCGTTTGTAGGGAGGGCACGAACGGAAACGTTTAGGTCTTGAGCCCTAAAGATCTCATAGGCTATTGAGGCAGAGGTGACGAGAACCATGGGGACATTGAAGACGCGGAGATAGAGGATAGGTCCATACTTGGAAGAGAGTTTCTGTAGAGATTTGTGGATTAGAAGAGAGAGGATATGGTGAAGGTGGCCAATGATGGGCAGAGACGGAGGGCTCGGAGGCAGATTACAGCCCACCTTTGTTTTCCTGACTAAGAAGAGATAGTAAAAGATTGTTGAGAAGAGGCAGAGAACGATGAAGATGGAGCAGGTTTGGAAGTCAAGGGTGAACATTGCTGCCATTGTTGCTCAAAGTGAACGAAAAGGCAAATGAAACAGAGTATTTCTTCACTTACTTGTAATAAAGAATTCATGACTGACCATGCTTTGTTTGTCACCTAATACAAAACGTTTTTTTATAATCGTTTTATATCCTGGAAGAACGTGAAAGAAAATGGATCTTGTTCTTTTCTGCAACTCATGATTATATTAATAAATCTTTTTCATCACCCATCTTAACAACTAAAGATACCTTTGTCATCAAGCATTTAACTATGTTATATACCTTTGTCCTCAAGCATTTAACTATGGTATAGTTATGAGAGTATGTGAAATTCTTGAAGTGTGAGATGCTCTCTGTAATTATAAATTATAGTACATGAATGTGGTATTTTCTTCATCAAAGTTATCATCACATTATTGTCAGGAATTTAAGTAACAAATGGCTAATGTTGTTACCTTTGTTTATCCAAAGCTACTCTAAACTCTTTTTTATCATTTGACCACTCTTATTTTTTCATTCTTTTGCATCTGTAACTTGCTCTTTCTCCACCGTATAGCACACAACATCTAATTCAAGGCTTCTCACATTAGATAAGAGTAGCTTTAAGAGGTTAATGAACATATAGCCATCAACAATATATAACTTAGTTCATTAAATTGAGTAAGTACCTAGATAGATGGTTTGTTGAGGTGGCCAAGGTTTGATGTAGTTTAAATGCAATCCAAACTATACGTATGAAACAAAGATTCAGAACTCAACAAGCTCACACACTAGTGATCATTTGACCAAATTGGCGATGGTATTGTGATAAGCAGGTGATACATATAAATTCGACTATATATATAAAAATAGTTTCCACATAATACAATATGTTACATAACATAATTAAGCTACATAAGTTATTGACATCAGAAAAAAAAGGCATAGAGTTTCCACGTACACAAAAACACACGATATGTTCTTACATTTGTTTGTTTCGGAAATCAGAAACATAAACACACTCAGATAAAGCGCAACTGACATCAGAAAACCAGAAAAGAGTTTTCACACACTAGTTGGAACAAGTGGGTTAAGTTACCAAAACCCATCATTGTTACACTGAGAAACAAGATCAAGGTGTTTCCACCACATGACTGCGAAGAAACCTTCTTCCTGCAAATTTGGGGAAATAAACAATGTCTTGCTTGATTTGTGGTTCCAAACGTGCAGATGGTAATACACTTATACAGTTATACGTGATGGTGTATAGAGAGAACTTGATGAAAAAGGAATGGAGGGAAGAGAGAGAGAGAGAGATTGTTGGAGAGTATGAGTAATTATCTTCTCCTTCTGTTTTCACTCAATTTTCTGATTGCATTTATTTAGGCAACTTCATTGGCATTCACCATATCTATTACCCAACTTAAGGTACATCTCTTGAATCTTTCTATATATTTGTTTCTTACATGAAGTTTGAAAATGCAATGGGAGTGTGAAAAAACTTTTGATTTCTTTCATCTTCTAATAATCTTTGCTTATTCACTTCATATAGGTGTCTTATTATAACTAACTGTCTTCTGTTTGAAGCAAATAGCATACGCTTGTGAAGAAGGTTTTTATATATTTTTATTTCACCCAAAGCTTCCTTCTTCTTCTTCTTATAGCCTTAAAGGTATCTGAGTTCGAGGAACAGGAGTGCACTTGAGAGGATATGCCATGGTCAACGTAACTGATCCAGGAGCCTCACTAATATCGACCTTGTCTCCTTTGATCTTCCAGTCAAAGCACTGCACCATCACTCCAATCGCGTTTTCTACAGAGACATAAGCTAGGCTCGTTCCAGGACAGCCTCTCCTCCCGCTACTGAAAGGTAAGTACTTCAGGACTTCTTCTCTTGTCTCCTCCTCTTGAAACCTCTCTGGCTTGAACTCCTCAGGATCTTCCCAGAAATTAGGATCTCTCATTATAGCGTAAGAGTTAAGAATAAGTGTTGTCTTCTCTGGTATGTGGAACCCTTTGATCTCACACTTTTCTTGGAACGTCCTAAACAAGATAGGTGCTGGTGTATGCATTCTCAGCCCTTCTTTGACCACCGCTTGCAAGTAAGGAAGGTTAGGCAAATCCGTTTCTTGAATCAACCTTGCCTTCCCCACCACGGAACCGATTTCTTCTCTAAGTTTCTCAAGAACGTTAGGGTTGTTTATGATTTCGGCCATTGTCCACTCTATAGCGTGAGTGGTGGTGTTAGTGCCTGCAAGGAGAAGATCTTGTAGCAAGTAGCAAACGTTCTTAGTCATGACATCTTTTCTTGGATTTTTTCAAAAAGAGAGAGAGAGAGAGATCATTTACCACGAACAAGGCCTTGATATGGTTCCTTGTGATGTTAAACTCTGCGTTTTCGTCTCCGTAAGCTTCCAACAGCACATCCACCATGTTATCACCTTAACGATGATGATGATTCTCGCCCATTTTCTTTTCGTGTTCCACAAGAAACGTCTCCAACACCTCGTCGTACCTGCGGGAGATACTTGTTAACTCCTTCTTGAACAGTGAGATCCCGATCATCTTAAGCGGCTTGCGCAAGATGGCCGACAAGATAAACTTCTTCGACAAGAGATCTGACTCGGTCACTAATCTCCTGACTATCTCCGCTTCACCGTTCTCCTCCGAGCAACGCCTCCCCATGAGAATCTTGCAGATGATGTTGGTGATCAGCTTCATTGCTTCCCCACCAACATCAACGCTCTCCTTCTTCATCGCCTTATCAAGCAAGCTTGCGTAAAATCGATTTACCTCATCTTCACGGTCGCATCTTGACCTATGGAGCGCCTGAGGTCGTAGGAGCTTGGTGACGATGATCTTCTTCGCGAACTTCAAATAGTCTCCATAAGGAGCGGTAATGAAGCCAGAAGGTCCGAAGAAGATGGAGCCCTCGTTCGTAGGGAGGGCGCGAAAGGAAACGTTTAGGTCTTGCGCCCTAAAGATCTCATAGGCTATTGAGGCAGATGTGACGAGAACCATGGGGACATTGAAGACGCGGAGATAGAGGATAGGTCCATACTTGGAAGAGAGTTTCTGTAAGGATTTGTGGATTAGAAGAGAGAGGATATGGTGAAGGTGGCCAATGATGGGCAGAGACGGAGGGCTCGGAGGCAAATTATATCCGACCTTTGTTTTCTTGACCAATAAGAGATAGTAAAAGATGGTTGAGAAGAGGCAGAGAACGATGAAGATGAGGCAGGTTTGAAAGTCAACGGTGAACATTGCACATAGTATTCTTCACTCACTTATTAATAAAGTGACTCATCATGCTTTGTTTATCACCTAATATAAAACGTTTTAAATCCTGGAAGAACGTGAAAGAAAATGGATCTTCTTCTTTTCTGCAACACTCAAGATTAAATCAATAGATCTTTTTCATCACCCGTCTTTGACAACGAAGATACATTTGTCATCAAGCATTTAACTATGTTATGGTTATGAGAGCGTGTGCAATATTCTTGAAGACACGAACTAGGCCACGTTTGTTATTTCAGAGAGAGCTAGTTAGAGTATCTCACATGTCGTTGATAACACGTGGTGGTTCCAGCTTGCGGACACCTAATCTGTCTCATACGTCCAACATGTCATGATATCAACACGTGTTAGTGGAAATAATTGGGTCTTGAGTGTCAGCAAGAAATTGAGGAATTTGTGGGAAGAAGTGGGAAATGCAATGGTTGGAGATGATGAAATTGAGATTGGTGAAGTAGACTGTGGTACTAGGCTACTAGCAGAGTTGTTTGCACCAAAGTTGAGATTCACTCATATCCAACCTTTAAAAGCTCTTTTACAATGGAGAAGAAGTCTCAAAATATCAAGGTATACTTGCTTTACATGCACCCTTCGTTGTGTTCAAAACAGCTTAATTATGCACACACCTTCACATGCCTATTTTGACTTGAGTAATACTACAGATTGATCTTGTTTGTTTCATACATGCGTTTGTAAACTCAGGAAAAAGAGACGTTGAATCACTCAAGGCGTTTGTTGTAGTTTAACTAAGTACAATTATACCAATTTACATGAACTGGTGGGCAAGGTTTGATGTAGTTTAACTCAAAGCCAAACTATATGTATGATACAAAGCTTCAAAAGTCTACAAGCACACACACTAGTGATTTGACAAAATTGGCGATGGTATTGTGATAAGCAAATGATACACATAAATTCGACCAGATATATAAAAATAGTTGTACAATATGTTACATGACATAATTAAGCTACATAAGTTATTGACATCAGGAAATCAGGCATAGAGTTTCCCCACAAACACAAGCACACAATATGTTCTTACAATTGTTTGTTTCGGAAATCAGAGACATAAACACACTCAGATAAAGAGCAACTGACATCAGAAAACCAGAAAAGAGTTTTCACACACACACACTAAATGGAACAAGTGGGTTAAGTTACCAAAACCCATCATTGTTACACTGAGAAATAAGATCAAGGTTTTTAAACCTTGACTGCGAAGAAATCTTCATAGAGAATGAGCCAAAGATGATTTGCCTGTTCACAGTCAAAAGGATTGGCAATAAAGACAAAATCCTTAAAACCAAGAAGAAGAAAAAAAACTCATTGTCCTTTTTCAAGACAAAGAGTTCTCTCTCTCTCTCTCTCCCTCCGTTTGACTGAGAAACAACGGTAAAGGATCAGGTTTTGAAATTGCAGCAACCATTATCCATTGTTGCTGCTGCAATCCACTTGCTAGGCATTACCATGCCACCAAGAGGATGGACTGATGGAGAACTTAGAAAGTAGTTCATGCTAGTAACTTCCGATCCGGACACATTTACTCCGGTCGATAAGTTCATGTTCCCGCTTTCAGGATGAACAACTTCAGAATTCTGAGAGTTACTCTGCTGTGGCTGAGACTGAATCTGCTTAGCTCCATCAGCTTTCTTAGCATTGCTTTCCATGTTCTGGCTTTTAGTGTTCAAGAATCTCCCACCGGATCCTCTAGGACGGCGCAATGCATGGAGATGGCGCGAGTGATGCATATATGGCTACAACATACATAACATAAGGCCAAAACAAAAAACCAAAAAAACAACAATAAGAATTGATTTGCAACAAAAATGTTTATTACTACCTTGCGGCATCTACTTCTCAATCTGTTCTGATCAAGAACAGCAGCAGCCTTTGCACGAGACTGGCGTCGCCTTATGATTCCATGGTATTGCTTTGAGTTCACGTAAATTGTTCCGTCCTCTGTTTCCATGTTTAGAGGAAGCATGACTCTGCTCTGAGATCCATAAGCTGAAACAACTCCATAGTACTGTTGTTCCACACAGGGATACTTTGTGTAGACCTAGATGACAAACCAAAACTAAATACTCAGAAACAAACTAACGAAAATTGATGATAACTTAAACTTCACTGCTATAAAAACTGTACCGGTGGCTGAGTGAATCCAAGTTCCAAGCAAGGTGATGACTGCAATGAGAAAACAGCTCCGTGAGGCTTTGGCACAACTCTTGAACTCTTTGCATCACCTAAAAGCATCACAATTTGCATGTTTAGATTCATGATTTAGAATTTGAAGCACCAAAATGTCTTCTTTGTAGTGTATGAAGAATTTTAGACTCGCTTTAGACAATTTAGCTCAGTTACATTCACTCTCACACACCTATACGTAACATGATCAAGCAGTATTCACCAAAAAAAAAACAACTTTTGGAGATTTTTCACCAGAACCATCCATTTGGGGACATTCAAAGAGAAAAACAGAGGAAGTTAAAGAGTTACCAAGTGTGAAAGCTAAGTGAGTTGCAGAGTTTCTCTGTTTATGCCCACCTTGTTCTGTCTCTTCGGCAGATCCGGCCTTAACTCCGACGAACGAGTCAGAGTCGCCAGAGAGACTCTCCGGAGCCAACTGCTGATATCCAAAAGCATTCCACCAAGAAATCTGTGGAGCAGAGAGATGGTTTTCTCTCACAGTTTGCATAGCCATCTCCAAAATCCAATACAAGAGTGAAGAAAAAAAAAGGAAGTCAAGACAGGATTCGATGTTGTTGGTGAGATGAGAGATTTGTTCCTGTGAAAGATAAACAGAAAAAGTCAACAAAGTAACAAGACTTTCGAGGTGAAATCTTTGTCGGATTTCAAACCCAAATTAAAAGGTAGGAACTTTGGGATTGGGTATTACGCAAAACCACACGAATGAAGAAACCCATATGTGAATCATCATCAAGAGACAGACTTGTTGTCTAAAGAAAGAAATAATTGTGTGAAACGATAAGATAAGTCACAGAAACTGAAATCTTTTGACACACCAAACACTAGACAAGTCCCCCCAATAGCAAACAAACTCCGTAGAGAAGATGAGTAAGAAATAAATAAACCAAAATGTTGGTCAAATTCAAACACACAAAAACCTATGTGAATCTAAAAGAAGAGATTGAGGAAGACTTACACGGAGAGGGAGTGAGAGAGAGAGAGTGAGAGAAAGAGCTTCAGATTCCTAGGAAGAGGCAGAGAAAAGCCCAATTGTTAGGAGCCATGTCGGTTCCAAAACAAGAAACACAGATTCATTCACAAAATCCCAGAAGAGAGAGAGAGAGAGAGAGAGAGAGAGAGAGAGAGAGAGAGAGAGAAAGAGAGAAGAGAGAGAGAGTGGAGTCAATATATGAATTACAAGTGTAGATGGAAACTACAGCTTCATCCACCAATCACGTTCAACTTTTATGCTACTCTGTTTTTTTTCTCTGTTTCTACTTTATTTGGAGATAATAAATTAAAATAAGTAAAATAATTGATCTTGTTTAAACTGTAGCGTTGGCTTGACGTGCTTTTCTTCAAAAGCTACAATGATCCCACTTAAAACCATATTTTTTCAATTTTCTTTTTTGAATGTTACGATTAGGTAGAGTAGTGAGTGCTTGGGTTATCAATTGCATCGCTTATTATGATTGTGGTCCTTATAAGCTTTTTCATTTAAAAATTTTGTAAATACGTCACATGGAGAGAAAAAGGATCACCACTCAAACATATAAAGTAAGCAGTCTGACATCTTTAACAACGACATGCCAATATTTGCTATTCTAAGCTCGTGACTCATTCTCTGTATCAATCATATTATAAAGTGTCTACTACACCCAGCCTTGTATAATTCTGTAAATAGACCAAACATATAATCACATGAATAGATTGACACTTGTTGTCCTGAGATGTTATTCTTAACTAGGTTTTCAAGTGTTTTTTCACTTATTGTCCTTTTGTTTCCTCTTTTGTTATGTTTCTTTATATAGCTCAAGTGATTTTGTGAACCTGACGGCATACATGTGTGTATAAGCTCAGTAGACGTGTGAAACATATATAAATTTATAGTCGTTTTGTTTGAATGTAAACATGCAATTTTTTAGCATGTAACTACTTGTTATACTTATACGTAAATGAAAAGAAAAAAACAACCACAATAGCTAAAAATAAGAAGATAGTTTATTTGAATATCAATTTGACATGAGGGCAATTAAGATTAGATTGGAAAACACATAGTTTAGTTGGTTAAGTTTAGTGTTTGCGTTTGTTTATATGTAGTGCTTATGCTTATATCCCACTACCAGCTTTCTTTCCTCGCCAGAACATTATTCAACTGAATTATGCATTTGTTAACCTCTACTATCTTCTAACAGAAATATCTAGTTTCAATATGTAGAATCTCATTTCTTTGATTTATAATGGCTTTCTCTCAAATATGTGGACCACCATTTTGTGTGTGTGTTTTGTTAATAGTGATCTACGATTTTGGTGTAGTTGACAGAAGAGCATAAAATTAAATAGCTAATTTTTTCCAAACCATTTTTACTTTTAGCTTCAATTATTTTTGCTCATTTGCTTTGGTGTAGTTGGCACTTGGCAGAAGAAAAATTATACTTTGATAAAAACAAAAAAAAAATTGACTGTGGGATAAAGACTTTCTTTACAGCAAGTTAGCAACTAATAATACAATTAATTCCCTTCTAATATAATTTGCTAACAAGACTAGGATATGTAAGATAACCCGTTAGCTTTCTTAAAGTCATTCTGCTTTTCTTCTGAATAAAAAAATAGTCGCATTAGTTTTTTGGTACATCATCACTCGAAGGCTTCACTTTTTTCATAAACTTCCAAAAAATTGACGAAATGACTAATCACCAGCTATATATTTTATGCTCTTAAGAAAATATAATAAATCTTGCTTTTTCCAAAATTAAATACTAGTAAAAGATTACATATCCAACTTTTTTGATATCCTCATATCCACGAATTAACAAAATATTATATGAAAATGAGCTGCATATGCAACCCACTCGAATGCACGAACTGAAGACATTCAAGTGGAAGTCTAGTGTATGCGTTTACGGTAGTAAAGGAATTTAAAGAACCTTGCTTTTAGGTAATTTCTTTTTCTTGCTTTTGGTTTCGATCGATGGCGGAAAACAAATATAGTACTGTTGAACCCGTTTTTTTTTAAATACGGAAAAGGGTCAACCTTTATAATTCATCCTGTACGTTGTATATTATTTTGTTGGACATGCAATCCACATCACCTTTTCATGTACTTCGAATCAAGATTTCATTTAGATTTCCTCACGATAGTTCAGTTTTTATTTTGATGGAAAACCATCAAAGGAAAAAGTTTACAATAGTATTGAAGATAACTTGGAGTCTTGGAAAATGAGATTTCCAAACTTTACAAATGAAAAAGTTTCAAAATTTTGAATTAATAGCTCCTTTGCGTGACTTCCTCGTTCCTGGGTTATATTTCCTCTTAAACTCAGAATTTAAAGTTGTTCTGTACATAACTTCCTAGTTATTTTTGGATTTTAACTTCAAATCAGTTACTAAGAGATCTTTATAACTCATAGCGAATGTCAATTATTGCTTTAGACATCATACATCCATCTACAAACTCGTATAACTTTCTAGGTTAGTTCTTGCTTTAGCCATCACTCTCTACTTTTCATAATTCATTGCATAACTTAATACTTCAAGTCAGTTGTATACGAAGATCGATGTTTCAATTCCATTTACTTGACTTTGGGCCACAAAGGATAACGGCCCAGTAGAGAGAATATAAACAAAGAAGGTCTTTGTGGCGTGAGCGTTGTTTTGATTAAATCCTTTCCGACACGTCGTTCAACAAATTGAAAGTAAAACGGCACGCTGAGTGTTTTAAAGAAGTTTTGAAACGGCGGAAAGTGTGAGACTGACTTGGAAACAAAGTCCCACATCGGTTACACGAAACGAAGGAGGCTAAGGACACTGGGTATAAATAGAGTAAATCTGGGATCGAGGAAATCACTTACCTGGACGGGGTCAACTCGTGATCAAGAAGACGAGTGGCCTAGGCTAGTGACTTCCATTGCACATATCGGAAGGGTGCTTAGCTTAAGGTCTTCCCACGTGGAAGAGCCTACGTCATTATTTGTGGCAGCGGGGGTTTGCGTTCGCGCAGCCCCTACCACTTCTCAGTCCTGAAAATTTTATAATCGGCCGGACAAAATATATTTCAAGTATGAATTAAAGCTAAACCTTAAGAGTATCTGACAATGAAGTCAAATGTACACATAACAATATTTCTACTGAGAATTTTAATGTACACATAACAATTTGGGTTTCATAAGCATCAAAATAAGATCCAGCGAGTTTATGTCCCACATCGCTTATGAATGCAAAAAGCGGACATAATGCGAACTTGTTCTTACAGGGTTTCACTTTGGCAGTTGCTTCTGTAATACACACAAAACGCTCACTCTAGACTGTACTACACAATAATTTTTGTTGCTTCAAACAAAATCGAGGTTCTGAATAAGTAAGAACACTCAAAAGACTATCACATAACAAACTTCACCCATCAACTTTCAGCCAACAAAACACACACGAGACCATCCAATCGCAGGAAAACAAAATCCACATCCTTTAAACTCACCAGGTAGTGATGGTATCTCCTTGTAGCCGAAGCGAGACGATCCCTCCATGAATCAGAATCCATTGTTGACTAAACGAATCAATCAACTCAACAAATAAACGTTTGAAATGATTCACAATACCGAATAGAGAGCATAACTTCAAACGTTTATTTTTTGAACAAATAAACGTATGTCCCCATTTTTTCTCTTTCACCTCTCGTCGCACCGGAAAATAACAAAGAAGCGTCTCTTTCCCCAACTTCCTGTAAGCTCTCTTCTTCTTCTTCAACTTTGTTCGATTTCCGCGGAAATGTCCTAGTCAGATCGATTTTGAATTCGATTCATATTTCACGGGTTATGCTCTAGGGTTTATTTGCCGACAATTCTCGTATGTTTTCTTCTTCGATTTGTCTCTCTGTCGAGATTCTCCTGTTCATATCCATTTCGGTCTCCGACTCTTGGATTTTCTTTCTTGATTACGCATTTTTGCATATTTACTTGGATTTTCCTTAATTGTTTTTCTGAATCAGCTTCTTTCAGATCTATGATCTAACCATAATTTGAATGCTTGATTTCCAATTTATTTGTCACAGTCCCAGACGACCTGATTATTGTTAATGTTATCTTTGTCAATAAATTCAGGAAGAGAGAAAGGAAAGGATGATTGGGTTTTGAATTTTGGAATTGGAAGACTGGTTCTTTGTAAAATGAGGGTGCTTGGTTTGAGCTCAAGCTTATGCTCAAGTGAGGACAAGGAAGAAGAAGAAGAAATCATTGGACTCGCACCGGTGTATCTCAACGTGTATGATCTAACACCTGTCAACAATTATCTCTACTGGTTTGGGCTTGGCATCTTTCACTCTGGAATTCAAGGTAAAAATGTGGGTTCTTCTCTTCATCACGCTGTTATGGTTGCTTAATGATTTTCTAACATGGGTTGTTTTCATCGTCTGTCTCTTATTAGCTCATGGTTTCGAATATGGATACGGTGCTCACGAGTATTCGAGCAGCGGGGTGTTTGAGGTTGAACCTAGGAGCTGTCCAGGTTTCATCTTTAGGCGGTCAGTTTTCTTGGGAACCACCAGCATGTCTCGCTCAGATTTCCGCTCCTTCATGGAGAAGCTCTCGCGGAAGTATCACGGGGACACGTACCATTTGATAGCCAAAAACTGTAACCACTTCACTCAAGAAGTGTGCTTGCAGGTAACAGGAAAGCCTGTTCCCGGATGGATTAATCGGATGGCTCGACTAGGTAAAATATTATATATCTCGAAATGTTTTTAGCTGTTTGGACCTTTTTTACATCGTTTGCTTCTTCTTGGAATATTCTTCAGGTTCTTTCTGTAACTGTATCCTTCCAGAGAGCATACAGCTCTCATCTGTTAGACATCCGGAAGCTCTCGAGTTCTCTGGTAAGTTAAGTTTTAGAGGATGACGCGTTTTCACTTCTTGTCGGGTTTGTTTATGATGCGAATAGTTTTGCGTTCCTTGCATTGTAGATGATAATGATGGATCAGAAGAATCAGTTGCATCGTCGTCCCTGTCAGACGAAACGGATGGAGAAGGATCAGATCATCATCTCATAACAGCACCAAACAGCGACATCGCATATCTACAAGACAGACCAGTGCGACTAGCCCGAGAGCTCCTCCAAGAACCAGCAGATGCATGTTGAAGCGTTCTTGAGCTCTATCTAAAGCAGCCGTCACTATCACCAAGAAGTTAAATATCGTCTGTAGCAAAATTTTACCAGGGAAACCGAAGTGAGTATTGTCTGTAAAATATTACATCTTGAGAACTGTAAAAAGGATTTGAAAACTATTCAAGATATTGATGGTAGTGAGTTTAGAGATAATGGTGTGAACTTGTTGACATAATTATGTTGCTGTTTCTTCTCAAGGCAAATCTTCTCTGAGTTCACATTTCTGATTTTTCTGTCACAATTATTATCTACAGAATGCTTAGTATTAGTATTGGAAACTTGTAATCAATTTCAGACAGTTATTTAGTTGTGGATCTGGTATGGGACTATGGACAGAGATATGTCTTATAGCCTAATAGAGAAACAAATGTTATATTTTAAAATGCATGCCGTTGCTGACAAAAAAAAAAAAATCAAAACTGCGTGCCGTTTTTATTATTTCTTACCGGATGTATTGTAATCACAAAATTGGACAAACTACATATGAGGCCCATTAAGATTTCTTATCTACCGGATGAGAAACAAAAACCGGAAAATTCATCTACAAGCAAATGAGTGAAAATTTCCATTTGTAAATCTGTGAGCTAACTTTCCGTTGGAGAATTTTATTCTCGCCGGCGACCGGCCGATCCTCCGAGCAATCGAACAGCTTGACTCGCTCTCCGCATTTGTTAATTTAACGGGACAATTCGAGCTGCTTCGTTGTTTGTCTATGATGAAATCGCGATCCTGTTCAGATCTATAGCTTCCGATCGGAGAGGAAGCGAAAATTCTATCTAGACGCCCGAGATCCTGGTTACTGAGATTCTTATAGGATTTAACATCTGGCTGCTATGGCGACGAGGAATCGTACGCTGTTGTTTAGGAAGTACAGAAACTCTCTGAGGAGCGTTCGTGCTCCAATGGGGTCGTCTTCTTTGTCGACAGCGACGGAGACGAATTCTTTGACTGGAGCGAAATCCGGCATAGGTCCGGTGATCGAGATGGCGAGCACATCTCTATTGAATCCGAATCGGAAATATGCTCCAGTCAGTACCGAAGATCCAGGGAATTCGAGGTGCTTCTCTTCTCTCTCCTCTCCGCCATTGAAATGTTAGTGCTTAGTGATTGCATAGTGTGAGTCTATAGCTCATGAATTTTTAAGTAAGCTCGAATTTGTTATCGTCCTGAGCAAGAATGAATTTGGAATTAATCGCTTAAATTGGTAGCTAGATGAACAACATTGTCGTGTTGAGTGAGGCTAAAAAATTTGCTGCTTTCTTCAAACGTCACAGTAGAGGAACAATAACAGTGGGATTGCCACCAGATTGGGTTGATGTCTCTGAGGAGATTTCAGTGAACATTCAGCGTGCAAGGACCAAAATGGCTGAATTAGGAAAAGCTCATGCTAAAGCGTTGATGCCTTCGTTTGGGGATGATAGAGAAGATCAACATAAAATCGAGTCTTTGACACAAGATATAACTTTCCTATTAAAGAAATCGGAGAAGCAGCTTCAGAGGCTCTCTTCAGCTGGACCTTCCGAAGATTCTAATGTCAGGAAAAACGTGCAGGTTGGTGTACATGACTTCATGTTTCTCTTAAACACGTGTGCTTTCGTTTTTCCATCACAATCTAAAACTTGAAATCTGCATGTGTTTCGTAACAGCGATCTCTTGCTACTGATCTCCAATACCTATCTATGGAGCTCCGCAAGAAACAGTCTACATATTTGAAACGCTTGAGACTACAAAAAGAGGTACGTAACGAAGCTCTCTGTACATTTCCTATGCGTGGCCTTCACTTCACTATCTGTGATGTTGTAGTTGCTCAGTTTTGGAGTCTCTTGTTCTGTTTCTGCAGCTGCACTTTTGTTTACATGATTCTCTTGTTAGTATTACGCAAATTTCGGGAAATGTATATTTTTTCTTTTTCTTCTAAGGAGTTTTGCCTTTGTGATGTAAATTCAGGACGGAGGAGATTTAGAGATGAATCTGAACGGAAGCAGTTCTAGAGCAGACGATGATGATTTTGATGATATTGTATGACTCCTTTATTGCAAATCTTTAACCGTTCTTCCTGTTATGTATATGACCTGTAATTATGCAATATTTGCAATTTATTTCAGATGTTTAGTGAACATCAGATGAGCAAGATTAAAAAGAGCGAGGAAATATCAGTAGAGAGGGAGAAAGAGATTCAGCAGGTTAGTGTTTGCAACTCTTAGTGTTCGTCATTGTTACTTTTTCTCATATACAATCATAACCTTGTCACTTTCTCTTTCTCCTTGTTCTGTGTCATCTAACAGGTTGTTGAATCAGTAAACGAGCTCGCTCAGATCATGAAGGATCTTTCTGCGCTTGTGATAGACCAGGTATAAACAACTATAGCTGTTGTCTAGCTTCTGAGTCACCGACTCTGTAAATATAATCTGAAGGCAAAATTTGCTGTGAGACAGGGTACGATAGTTGATCGGATTGACTATAATATCCAGAATGTTGCTAGTACAGTTGACGATGGTCTCAAACAGCTGCAAAAGGTATAAACCTTTCTTCTCTCTCTCTCTCTCAGCATATCATCATATCATGAGTAAATGTTTAAGAGGAATTGCTTGTGAATCTCCACAGGCAGAACGTACACAGAGAAGTGGAGGTATGGTTATGTGTGCGTCTGTTCTTGTAATCCTCTGCTTCATCATGCTACTTCTCTTAATCCTCAAGGAGATTTTCTTGTGATCCAAGCAAAAAGGATGATCCCTCATTCTTTTATTCTTTTACAATGGGAAACACCACCATTTTTGCTTTGCCGAGTGTTATGTATCCCCACCAAATAATCTGAAGTAAAAAAAATGGAATTGTCTTGTCTCTCTAACTTTCTTATCTCACGGTTATATGAAAACATATTTCTTTTCCTGGTTTTCACATAGGACACAGAATCACTGTTGTATTGAGTGTTTGTAACTTTTGTATCTTGACGAGTTTATAACGGTTTATTTACATGTAAAGAATGTTTGAGAGAATCTATGGAGAAACGACATCATATTTATATAGAAGTCGAGAACTGTACGGTTTGTTCCAGAATACAAGCTACCAAAGAACAATATTTATAGCAATTATAATATCTCTAACCTCGAACTCAATTAGTGTATCAACAGATGAGCTGTGTATGATTGCCAAGTCGTCTGTCCTGATTCATCAGAAAAACACCAAACAACATATAAAGCTTTGATCTCTTTATGTGTAAGCCGAAAAGCCAAAAACTAATTAACGTAAGAAGTTACCTCTTAGGGTCCACAGTACATCTCACTGAGAGTATCTGAAGGTGTTGGCATGTTTGCAAAGTTGTCATGTGGGAAACAACCCATGTCTTGTTTTCCTTGGCCTTCTTCTTCTCCTTCTTCGACCCAGTACGTTTCTAGAATCTTCACCGCCATTTCGTAGATGTCATTGTTCTCATGAGATTGCAGGCTCTCGATTTTCTCCAGTCCCTCGGCGTCTTCTATCAGCTGAGCATGTGGGTTTACACTTGTTTGAGGGCATTGGTAAATACCTTCAGCGTTTCTTGTGTTGCAAACTTCTCCCACCTTCAGTATCTTATCAAGTGCTTCTAAGCAAAGCATGACCTGTTGAGTATCTGAGGATGTAAGAAGATCGCACAAAGGTTTTATGCAGTCTTGCTTTACAAGAAACCTGATACATTAGCAGATCAAGAGTTAGGGTTTTGAAAGAAAGAAACTACACACACGCTTAAGAAATGTATACTAATAGGGAGCAAATGTATTGAGTTTTTATTCTACGTACAGGATTTGCTTGTGAGAGCCACCGGCTACAGCGTTGCAGATAGCCCAAGCAGCTTCATTCTTGACATCGAGCTCAGAGCTTTGGAGCAGATTAACAAGCGCAGGACACATATCAGCATCAAATACAGCCTACCAAAGGAGATAAAAATGTGCAGACGTACATTGAGAGCAACATATTGGATTAGAAGAGGTTAAACAGAGAAGATGAGATTAATTATATTGACTAACCTGAATCTGTGATTGACAACCAGCTGTAATATTAGAGACTGCCCAACAAGCTTCCTTTCTGATGCTCTTGTTATAGGGTCCCCTTAGAAGATTTAACAAGCATGGGAGCGCTTGAAGATCAATTATATGCTAAGAAAATCACAAAGAAAAATGTTCTAAGAACAACAAAAAGCCAGTAATAGTAGAATATTCGGCGAAAGAAGGAAAAAGAACAGGGACAAAATTTCTCTCTGTAGCCACATATTTACCTGAGTTTGACTATCGTTTCCCGTTACAATATTGCCAATGGTGCGAAGAGCGGGAGTGAGAACTGAAGGCGAACGGTGGCTGTTCAGAAAGCAAAAACCCATCAGAATCTACGACTCTGGAATTTCTTGGTTAGTTAAAGTCTTGAAGACTCACGCCGAAAGACCAATAAGTCGCGCACAAACATTGGCCTCAATCACGGCTTGTACTTTTTCAGTTGAACCATCAGAGAGATACACCAGTGCCCAGCACGTGTAAGCCAAGAGTTCCTTGTCATCTAACCGAATGAGATGTGCAAGAGCTGGTAAGGCAGCTCTCACCTGTGGGAATGTGGTAGTTTATTAATTGGGAATACAAGAGGAAGAGGGGCTATAATAAATCACAGTTTGTTGCAAAACTTACCTGATCAAATGGAGGCTGAGGCTTCCCTCTGCAAAGATTAGACAGAGTCCAAGCGGCGTTTACAAGCATAGAAAGTTTAGCTCCATCGTTTAACTGCAACAGCAGAGAAGGTAGAGCTCCATGTCCAATGACTATATCACGGCATCTAGGAGAGTCTCCAGATATATTCCCTAATGCCCAGACAACCTGATTGTCCAAGAATACAGCTTAGATGCAACTAAAAAATGGGAGATGACAACAAACTTAAAAAAAATACTAAACCTACGTTTATATGTAGTCTAAACCTGTATCATCTGTTCAAATAAATTTAATAGAAACTGCTTTTCGTCTATTGATCTTTATTTTCTCTATCTTCCTAGTTTATTAATTGCAGAAGCAACCGCAGGCTCTAACCAGTCATAAGCATTTGAGAATCACATAGCATTAGTACGTGATGATCAATCACCTCCCCTTTGATATACCTGCTCACGGACCCCATCGTATGGCGAGCTTAGAAGTCTCACTAGCATTGCAACAGCTCCATGATCAATCACCACTTCAGTGTTCTCAGATGTTCCAGATGCAATATTTGTTAAGGCCCAGGCCGCTTCAAACTATAGATATTGTTCCATGAAACGAAAAAAACATTGAGCTTCTGATGGAAACCAGAGTGAACATACATGTGTATCGAAGCTAACCTGAAGCTGGGGAAACTCATCCCATGTAAGGAACTCCACAAAGCGAGGAACCAAACCAGCCTGTATGACTTCTTCAACACGTACAGTAAACATTTCTACCAAAAAGAACATGTATAGCATTAGAAAGAGCGTATAGTTTTACTTTCATATTAAACTACATTTCCTTAGACTCATGTAGCGATTACAACACACTACAGCACAGACGTTATCATAACTTCAAAATCTCATTGCAGATTAACATTAGAAATGGCAATAATGTTGCTAGAGGTTATGTAACAACATGGCTCCAAAAGCTTGTTTATGTGTTAATAACCGATGTAACAAAACTGTTAGTAAATAAGTTAATGGGGATGTCTCTTACCACCACAAAGTAACGTTCTGATCTGAGTAGTAGCCTCAATCAATAGATCCCTTTTGTCAGACCAAATACGGCTTATCAACTGTAACCAATCAACCATGCAAACTACTCAAAATCAACTCTATACAATACGTACATTCCCCATTCTTAGATTTTCAAACACCAACATCATATTTCAGAAAACACTCAGATCAAAACTAGATATGGCAAGTCTTGAACAGCTAATCATACAAATTGTCAGAGAAAGAAAGATCCTACAGAGTTCAGGTCACACCTACAAAAGCTGTAGCTCATTTTGAGAACTCTAGCACTAATATAATCAAATTTCAGAACATGCAAATTCTTCATACACCAAAATCAATCAAGAAATTTTAGTAGCTGACACTGATAAATTCATAATGCCAGGACAAAAATTCACAGTATAGCAAAAATAATTGGAGAATTTAAACATCTAAGTCAAAAAATTTCACAACGCAATCGGAAACCATATCGTCTGACATTACGAACATCAAATCCGAATTACAAAAACTAGAGACGCCAAATCGATTGGAAATGGATAGATCACTCCACGAATCCTATCATCAGAAGCATGCATCTATGAATCTCATGTAATCAAAATCCATTTTGCCAATAGAAATTTAACCACCAAGCTTATCAATCTCCAGATTTTTTCGTGACAGGGAATACAAATTATGCGAACCGACCTTCTGGTCAAGAGAAACGGCAGATGGAGAATGAGGAAGAGCCTCGCGTCGCTTCTTAAGCAAGCTCTCCTCTCTCTTCGCTTTGCGGATCTCAACCATGTCGTCCTCTCTTCGCCGCCGTCCCCCAACTCCGTCAACCACCGCCTTGTACCCGCTTCTCCGCACTGACATCGTCAAGCTCGTTGTTCCTCCCTTCATCTTTGATCTCGCTTCGCCACCTGATTTTGTGCGACAGAAAAATCAAATTTCTCCAGGAAAGCAACGAGAGAGGATACGCTCTAATAAAAACAAATTTTAATGTTTGTTGGGTTAAAGTGAGACATTAGAAACTATAGGGGTACAAATTCGAATCCGTAAGACAACTTAGGGAAAAGAAAGATAAAGGCCGCGCATATTCGTTCCCGCCTAAAACCCATTTCAGAATATTAATTTTACTTATGTTTTCGTTGTGATATCGAATTGAAGTAAATTTGGGCTAGGAAAAGAAACTGGCGTGACTATAAAATAATCGCCATTCAATTAAAATTGTGTTTTCATTCTTTTGACTTGAACAATACAATATTAATCTTTGCGGGCATGATTTGTTTGATTTTTCATGTCACCATAAATCTGATTTAGCAGACGAGATTATTTAAGAATGGTAGGTAGTACTATTATACTATAAGCCCTGCAGCATAGTGCACATTACGGTGCAATATGGTTTTGGAGTTTAGACCTTTACTCTGGTTCTGATAAAAATAATGGACTCTTTATGCTGAACACCAACGGAAAAAACTACCCATACAGAAAAGAAGAAGAGACAGTGTATATTTAAGGTCAAGGATATGGGTATTTTTGTATTAACTGGCCTTTTCTCTAGTCTCTATTGATCGTTAAAACTTCATTTTCTTTCTATTTTTGGTCATTTTGTTGTAACTAATTTTATTTTATTTTAGATTTTCAACCACATATTGCTTTTCTCTAATTAAAAGGTGCAGAACCAAACACACTATGGAGATTCTATTTCATTGGAATATAAAAACAGAAAAGTTGGAAAAAAGAAGAAGGTGAAACCAAGATGGAGGATTTCCAATCTCCTAGAGTACGATCTTATACATCGTATGAAGGAGATTGGAACCTTCAACTGGTTGATCCTGCCGATTTAAAACCGGTAAGAGGAATTTACGTTGTTAGAGAATCTAAGCGTAATTACTCTCCAATGACATCAGATCTATGGCGTAAGATTTCTTACAAAGACTTGCCCGTTAGACCCAGGAGATCTTCTTCTCATTCTTCATCCTTAAAAGGTATTCATTTTTTCTTTAAATTGAATAATATAATTTCTATACTACGATTAGAATTTGTGTTTGCAAAATTTACAGATAATGATTCTAGTGGTATAAGTATAACATATAAACACATCATTTTTGTTTAGAATTAATAATTGCTATAAGAATTTATCAGGGTTTTTTTCTTTTTCACAAATTCTATGGGCTTATAATGTTTCTAACATGCATGATGGATATGTTTATTTATAAATGTCATAATTGAAGGATGGTGGAACGATCCTGAGATAAAGAGAAAGAGACGAGTGGCGAAATACAAACTTTATGCAGCCGAAGGAAAAATGAAGACATCTTTGAGAAAGAGTTACAAATGGATTAAGATCCAATGTTCGAATATTATTCACGGAATCTAACTTTCTACTGTATTATTGGTGTAGTAGTTTTGACTTATACATAAAGATAAAATCATATATGGATTTAATTCAATTTAATTTATTTTATTCACTCTGTTAATTGTGATCATTGTGTATTTCTATGACATCTTTTTTTATCAGTGTATTTCTATCATTTTATGACATTATTTTCAATTTAACTTGAAAATCCAATATCTAAATAAATGATGGTTTTTAAAAACAAATATATGTATAGTGATTTTTTTCAATTCAATATACTCCAGTTTGTAATTCAGAAACTCCACAAAACTTTTTTTTAATACAAGTATTGTTCCTAAGCTAAGGAGGAAGTAAGAATTATTTTATGCCTGAGTTCAGATCTTTTTATAAAAGTTTAGTAATTTTTAGAAGTGGTAATTTTTTTTTTAAATGACTCCTCGCTTTTACTAAGAAAAGTGTAGTAACAAAAAAAAAGAAGACATTTTTATAACCGAATGTATCTTCGCTCCAATGTTACGATCGAAGAACTTGAGTTCATTTGTCATTATCAAAGCTAGATGGTCGAGGTAGCAAGAAAGGATTATATATTCTCTAACTTTGCCAACCAATTCTTTATCAGAAAAAAAAAAAACTCTCTCAACCAATTACATGCGTTGTCGATTGAATCATCGTTTTCTTTGGCAGAGTAATAAGAGATTTTTAGAAGGTGGAGGAGCACAAGATATAGATGGAAATATGTAGGGTCGAACCGAACTACCGAAGCATATCGATCAGAAATTTTCGTTTTAGCAAAAAGAAGAGGAAGAAGCAACAATTTGTTTGATCAGGTGAATCGTCGATAGAAGTGCTGAAATTTGAATTAATGGGCCTTGTTGGGCCTATATCGAAACCATCTTATTTGCCAACCATACAAAATCGGGGAATCGTGGAAAACGCAGATCCGTCCGATTCAAATATCCAACGGTCAGTGGAAATCTATCCGTTGGAAGCGCGTGGCGATATATACATCAATTAAGCTTGCCGAAGAAAATTTTCCATCCCCAATTCTTCACCTCCAAAGGTATTTTCTCCCAAATTTTATGTGTTCTTCTTCTTCTTCTTCTTCTTCTTCTTCTTCTTCTTCATTTCACAAATTCTCTCGATTTCAACACGAAAAATCCATTATTCTCTTAAGATTTGTACGTTTTTCGATTTCTCTTGATCGCGATTTTGTTTTAGCCCTTTTAGGATCTCGAAGACTCTTGTGCTTACTGCTTAGATCTTGTTTAGGTTTTTCATAATTTGATTCCGCTTGAAATTGATGCAATCGATTGGGTTTTTCCCTCATCCTCTTTCGCGAATTCTGATTTATGCTTTTCAAGTTTCCTAATCGTTTCATATTTTAATTTTCTGTAATGATTTTCATGAGATACTCCGTTAGGGTTTTTCACGTTTCGTCGCAAATTTACTTTCTTTGAGAACAGAATCGACAAACGCATAAGATTATTCTCGTCCGAGAGATCTTTATGTACTTATGCTAAGAGCAAAAATTCGTTTTACTTTTGCAGGATTTACAAATGATCCAAGAGACCCGAGTGTTGACACAGTCCGTTCTTTAAAGCGCTTTGGATTCCCTGAAGGTTTGGATCATAACGGAGGTGGAGAAGTTCTCTTGACAGTTGCAAATGTCCAGACTTTAAATGTAAGCAACTTGTTCATTTCTTTTTCTCTTCCTCGCTTGCAAGATTCATCGGGATTTCTGATATGTCACATCGTTGTTTCAGGGTGTTCGATGGGTTGATGAAGGAATGGTTAAGAGGATACACGTGGTGTCACTTTCTCTGGAGAAGTGTCTTCCGACTTTGAACATCTCATGAGATTCGCTGCCTGATGTTCACCTTTCCCCAAACCACAAAACTGCCCCTCAAGCAGGTAAATAAGACACACACAGACACAGGCACTAATTTGTTGGTAGTAGTCTGTTGTCCTGTTAATTATAGTCTGTTGGTTGGTAGTGGATGCTCAAGAAAAGATTTTAAGAGGATGGAAATTGGAAAATAAGATTCACGCAGACGCAGGCACTAAGTTGTCAGATTCTATAGTCAGTTGGTTGGTAGTGCATGCTTACGAAAAATATGTTAAGAGGATGGAAATTAGTCTGTTGGTTGGTAGTGCATGCTCAAGAAAAAGATGTTAAGAGGATGGAAATTGGAAAAAAAGAAGACACACGCAGGCACTATGTTGAAACAAAGTTTCAAACCCAAATGAGATCACAAACAGGCACTAATCTAATAGTGTTCTGTCAGATTCTTATTTGGGGACATTGTCCCGTTGATCATAATCTGTTGGTTGGTAGTGCATGCTCAAGAGAAAGATGTTAAGAGGAAGGAAATTAGAAAAAAAGATTTCGGTCCCGTTGATCATAATATGTTGGTTGGTAGTGCATGCTCAAGAGAAAGATGTTAGAGGATGGAGAATAAGACACACGCAGGTACTAATTTGAAACAAAGTTTCAAACCCAAAAGGGATCTTAGGCAGGCACTACTCTAATAGTGTTTTGCCAGATTCTTATTTGGGGACATTGTCCCGTTGATTAATCATCTGTTGGTTGGTAGTGCATGCTCAAGAGAAAGATGGTAGATGATGGAAAATAAGACACACGCAGACACTAAGTTGAAACAAAGTTTCAAACCCAAATGAGATCACAGACATGCACTAATCTAATATTGTTTTGCCAGATTCTTATTTGGGGGATATTGTCCCGTCGGTTATAATTTGTTGGTTGGTAGTGCATGCTCGAGGAAAGGATGTTAGGGGAAGGAAAATAAGACAAGCGACTTAAAAGTCTTTAGACAGGGATTTGTTGGATGGGAAAGGCCTAATGGTGGTGGCAAATGGTTCTTAAGGCAAAAGACTAGTTCTCTACCCACGGCTTACAAAGTCTTCTAAACAAAGACTTTAATCAGGTTTTCGATTCGTTGGATGGGAAGTTTGACAGAGACTATAGAACCAAGAGAGCCTATAGAAGGTTTTTGAAATAAGACAACTGAAAGAAGTCTCTAAGACGCAAAGACTGAACCAGAAACAAGACAACTGAAAGAAGTCTCTAAAACACAAAGACTGAAACGAAGCAGAGACTATAAAACCAAGAGAGCTCATAAAAGGTTTTTGAAATAAGACAACTGAAAGAAGTCTATAAGACGCAAAGACTGAACCAGAAACAAGACAACTGAAAGAAGTCTCTAAGACACAAAGACTGAAACGAAGCAGAGACTATAAAACCAAGAGAGCTCATAAAAAGTTTTTGAAATAAGACAACTGAAAGAAGTCTCTAAGACACAAAAGAAACGAAAAGTTTCTCTTTACTATATATGTCCACAAGGCTTATAGTTCTTAAACAGAGAACGACCAGAGACTATAAAACCAAGAGAGCTTATAGAAGGTTTCTGGAATAAGACAACTGAAAGAAGTCTGTAAGACACAAAGACTGAACCAGAAATTGTCTCTTTACACTATGAATGACCACAAGGCTTAACTCTCTTAAACAGAGAACGACCAAAGGCTTAAAAGAAGTTGAGACAGAGACTTTAAACCAAGAGAGCTTATATAGAAGGTTTTTGGAATAAGACAACTGAAAGAAGTCTCTAAGACGCAAAGACTGAACCTGAAACTGTCTCTTTACTATGAATGACCACAAGGCTTAAAGCTCTTAAACAGAGAACGAGCAAAGGCTTAAAAGAAGTTGAGACAGAGACTTTAAACCAAGAGAGCTTATATAGAAGGTTTTTGGAACAAGACAACTGAAAGAAGTCTCTAAGACGCAAAGACTGAACAAGACAACTGAAAGAAGTCTCTAAGACGCAAAGACTGAACCAGAAGCTGTCTCTTTACTATGAATCACCACAAGGCTTAAAGCTCTTAAACAGAGAACGAGCAAAGGCTTAAAAGAAGTTTAAGACAGAGATTTTAAACCAAGAGAGCTTATAGAAGGTTTTTGGAATAAGACAACTGAAAGAAGTCTTTAAGACAAAAAAAGACTGAAACGAAAAAGAGACTATAAAACCAAGAGAGCGTATAGAAGGTTTTCGAAATAAGACAACTGAAAGAAGTCTTTAAGACACAAAAGACTGAAATGAAGCAGAGACTATAAAACCAAGAGAGCTTATAAAAGCTTTTCAAAATAAGACAACTGAAAGAAGTCTTTAAGACACAAAGACTGAAACGAAACAGAAACTATAAAACCAAGAGAGCTTATAAAAGGTTTTCGAAATAAGACAACTGAAAGAAGTCTTTAAGACACAAAGATTGAAACGAAACAGAAACTATAAAACCAACAGAGCTTATTATAGAAGGTTTTTGAAATAAGACAACTGAAAGAAGTCTTTAAGACACAAAGACTGAAACGAAAAGTGGGCGTTGGTTTGAGATTATGAGCGTTGGTTTTTCATTTGTTGGATGAAGTAAAGATCAACGACTTAAACTAGGTCACAAGAAAGAAAAAAAGCTTGACAAAGACTTTGATTCAAAAACAGTAAGAAGAAGTCTTAAGACAAAGACTTTGAACCAAGAAGTAGTTCTTGAGACAAAGTCTGAAAAGGACTTTAGTATGAAAGCGAGAAGGTTAGTATGAGACATTTTACTTTAAGTAAAGACTAATTTAATTATGATTTCCGCAGGAATGTGCTTCAGAAGGAGTTCAAATTGTTAGAGACTCTGAGAAGATTGCAAGTGTAGCAGACTTCTCTTATAGGTATGTGCTTTTCAATCTTGTATGTAATTCAGTTGATACATTTATGAAATCACAGAATAAGACACATACATGAAGTCAAGACTTATTTTGATTTGTTCAAGTATGTGCTTTTACAAACTTGTTTGTAATTCAGTGGATAATTAGGAAAATCACAAGTAGGAGACGCATACATGAAGTAAACACTAATTTTTGAATATTTTTTTTCCAGGGATATGCTACAGAAGTATTAAATTCTCATGGACGCCAAAGAGATTTCTAAATGTAGTGAAACTCTCTGGCCAGGTATATGCTTTTCTAGACTTTTATGTATTAAATTGCAATCACTACATATCAAAATCACAAACTAAGGTAAGTGATATACGTAAAGATAGAAATACTGATCTAAGTGTCACATGTATTAGGAATATTTCTTAAATAGCTGTCTTGATAACATTACTACTCTTGATCTAGTTTTTATCAGATTCTATAAACTTATTGCTAGCATATCCATTGATTAAAAGGTAGATTCTACCTTTGGTATTCAAACATCAGATTGTGTTTACAGTGTGAGTAATCACTGTCTTGATAAGAATACATTTTTATCTGTCTGGTGCTTGTATGTAGTTAAGATCTTTCGTTTTATGAAATAGGTGTATCTTTGGGTCTCATGTAGATCTTTATTTGCTAACTTATCCACTGAGAAAATGGTAGATCTTATATTCAGTATTAGAACATTACTCATTATCTGTGCTTTGAGTAATATCTGTTTTGAAATTACTTGTTATCTCTGTTCTGATGCTTATATGTATCATAAGGTATCTCAATTTATGAAATATATGCATCTTGGAGTCTGCTAGATGTATTTATTTTGAGCGCATGTGAGACCTCATGCACAATATGGTAGCTTCCTTGAATCTCCAGTGTACTATACTAGAATTTGCATTATGCTCTAAACCTTTGGTGATTATTCTAAACATGTTTAATGATATCCTCAGCAATTCTTGCATTTGCAGCATACACTTATGACATGATTAATAGACATGATCAAAAGAACATCTATTGTTGATTGTTTGTCTAATTTTGCTGTTAGTTTTGTTGTGTGTTAGAGTCTGATTAATAACTCTTTTGATTTCATTCCTCGTAGTGAAGAATTTTTAGCCTAAGCTTTGGCCAATGAGGCCTTTGTGTGATCCCCTAACTCTTTTGATAGAGTGTAGTTTATCTATACATTATCAGTTTAGCAATAATAAAAAATATTGTAAAATCTGTATGTGAACACATTTCTAGCTTGCATTTTGGTTTGGTGTCCTTTTGTTCATTGATTGTTAGGACCGATTGTGATATTTGCTTCCCATATACCATCTTGACTTGTGCTTCTTGGAATATTAGTGTGGTAAATTGACTAAGCTTTCTTGGATTTTTTTCTCTATGCTGAAAAATAAGGATTAGTGCAAAATGGTTATTGTGGTAGATTATATAAGGTTTTCTCGTTGACTTAATTTTGAACTAGCAGCGACTGAAAATATCTTTATTATGGTGCTAGTTTCTATCTCATGGTCTATTAGTCTTACACTCTTACATGGTTGATTGAGCTTGAAAATCTATTGAATCTCTTGGTGTAAATTTAGAATGTGCAACTGATCTTACTTGATTTCCCTAACAAGTCGAATGACTTTTGCTTCGTGATTCTTCTTGGAATAATTAGTGATATAAATTTATATAACTTCTTGTATGTTTATCCAAACCATACCTATGGAAAGTGCATCAAATGTCTATGAATCTATGATTGTATTCGTATTATATATAGTGCATGACTCCATGCTTTGTCTGAACCTATAAACTTGTTTGCTCTCATGTATTATCTCGGTATTTGTATGGTTTGGTAATACATGATATCGAATCCCCCTACTCCTTAGCACATACAGACAAACCCATTAAGATGACATAGTTATATAGGTTTTCGAAAGTTTAGAACACAATTTTTACATTGCATTTTTGTTTGTTTATATTGGAAAAAAAGTATGAAAAATTGTCACCGTGAATCTTCCTTCTTTAACAGTCCCGTCATGAAGTAAGTTACAAAAGTTTATTATTTTGATATAGTTTAACAATAGTTTTCGTCAGTTTATGTCTTCAAGTTGATTTCATTTTATTCATTTGCTTGCGGTTGATCAAAGTGGTGTTTTAAAAAGAGATGGTAAAATAATATAGGTTACATATAATCTAGTGGATAAAGGTAATATAATGTGTCACCGTTACCACATACATTTTACACTATCCTTATTTTGTTCTTGTGAATTTCTGCGCTAATCCATTTTGTCTAAAGAAATCAATAGACAATGCAAGATGGGAATTTTTTTTACTTTAAAGCTTTCATAAAAGTTGAAAGAAAACTTCTCACCGGGGTAATTAGCGTCATTAATGAGTAGAGGACTTTCATAACGAAGTAGGAACTATAACCATCTGACCATGGAGAGGGGACGCTTAGCTACGAAGCAATTAAAGGGAACTATACAGTATATCACTGAATCAAACCGTTTACCCCCAATTTACAAAACAAAAAGTTAGCTCCGAAAATTAAAGTTTTGACATTTCCAATCCTATACTCGTTAAAGTGAAGAAAAATCGTATACTCGACAAAGTTATCCTTCCTATCTTCTTTCTCCACCACTCAGCCAATATCACTTAGTTTTTTTTAAAAACATTTTCTATATGAAAAAAAGCCATGGCATTTTGTAAGAACGAATATTTATTTGTGATTTCGTTAAAAAAAACCCATCGCATATCTTCTATATAAAAAAAAAACCATGGCATTTTGTAAGAGCAAATGTTTGTTTTAAAGGGAAATTATCTAGTGGGCTTTAAAATGAAAGTATGGAAGTTAAGAGCTGGATCTGAAAATTACTTGCGATTATATATATATTTTTATATATATATATTTTTGACAACGGATTATATATATTTATTTATAGCATATAATATAATTAAACTAGTTAAAAAGTCGACGAAGTTTTACTATAAATAGATGCACTCCCCCATTCATTAGTATCATCCAAGTTTCTGAAAACAGAGAGAAGCAATACATTAAGTGTAAAAAGAAGCACCAAACCAAAGCTACGAAAATGGCAAAGTCGGTTTCCATCATCGCCACTCTTCTGCTCGTTGTCTTGTTCATTTCGGCCGGTAATTTCGATTCTATTCTTTTCCAAAAGAAATCAAATGCGTGCATAAGTTTTTTTTGTAACAATCAAGAAACATGCCTTTGAATGTATATTGATTTGAATGAACGTTCAACAATTGTAGAAATCCCGAAGAGCGAGGCGTCATGTAACAAGTATTTAGGCGGTGTCCATGTGTACCCATGTAAGGAAAGCGAATGTGAAGCCAAATGCAGGGAGCATTACCACGAGTCATGCAAAGGAGAGTGTGAGGATCATGATGCGCATTTGATGAATGACAATGATGAATATTGCCACTGCTACGGTCGTTCTTAAACTTATAAAAGTTACAAATGAACTCGTATCGAATTGAAAAAGACAATATTAAGAATGTAAGCGTGGTTTCGTTTGGTTTAAGTGTATCTGTGTATGTGTGAGAGTTGTTTGCTTTTAAATTAAAATAAAATAGTACGTAGGATGAAGCTAACGACTGCTTCCCTCTACGTCTATTCAAGATCATAATGTTGTTTTTTTTTTTTTTTTTGCTTTAATAAAGTTGTATGTTGTTTCGTTTTCATAATAATAAACTTGTTTTGTGTTTTTTTCTACGTAATCTAATTCTCAAACCATTTAAAAATAAGCATGCATTCGTCGTTATGTTATACGTACGTTCTCAATATCATATATATATATTACCGCAGCAAATACCATTGTCAATCTGGAGGGGGCAGGGGGCTCTATTTCTGCGTAGGCTATTTCCTACAAGTACTTGTTGTAAATTATCTATTTTCACAAAGTTATGTTTTGTATCTTATTATTTATATATTAGTAAAATAGTATAATTTTGTGAGACGGGTACTCCTTGGCACGATGACAACTACTATACTCTATACATGCTACTTTGTTTGTTTTGGGCTGTTGCATTGGTAAATAAAATATATTTATTTGAGTTTCATTAACTTTAGTTAAATTTAAGGGCGTCCTTATAAGTGTTTGGTGATGATAAATTTCCAAGTGTAGACACTAATTTTTGTATCTACGTCGATTGCTAAAATAAAAATCATGATGAAAAGTTGAAAACTAGAAAATGTTATCCATATAAATACTAAGCATCATTAATTACTCATTCACTTGGTTTATTTATTTCTTGGTAAATAAGTTTCACTTAAGAAAGATCAAGGTGCATGGTTGATTTGCTACACTAATTTCGGCAACTACTTTATTTCCCAACAAGTATATACAGTATGCAGGTTTCAGCCTAATGGAAATATACAAAAAAAAAATATCAATGTATATGTTGCTCTTGTATATTTCTGCACTATGCTTATCTTTTCAAATATTAATCTTTATTATTACAATAGATATAAAAATGAATAAAAGAGCTAATATATGAAACAAAAGGGGGAGAAAGATTTGACTTAAATGACTTTAATGGACCTCCCTAAGAATCAAGTTGTGCATGGCCCGAGCTATGAAGCTATGAATGGGGGAGTAAGGGAATGGGGACCATGACCTCTTTAGATTTAGCCATTTAGGGAAATATCCATAGGAAACCTAAAAGTTGCATAATTTACACCGTTGAAATTTTAAAATTTGCCCCACACTAAATATAAAAGTTGGGACCAGACTATATTACTTGCCAACCCATACAGCGAAGCCACACTAGGTAATCGTTAAAATGAGGGAAAATCACATAATAATGTCTCATCTTCACCATTATATCTAAAAAAATATGACTTTCATCAAATATTTTTATTACATGTAACCCTCACCTTTATTTGTTAAGAAAACGGTCAAAAAAAAGAAAAACTACACGTATACGTTGTTTTGCATTGTTAAACCCAAATCAAACAAAACCTAATTATTATTATGTACATAAAAGAAAAGGCAGATGATTCAGATGAGTTTGATTTCCACAGAGAAAGACCAATGAGTTTGTTCTAAGTTCTAACCAATTAAATTAAACCGACGTGGATAGACCGACATAAATCAATTGAACCAGCAAAGATAGACCGACAGCATGGAAACCGGTTGTCAAATGTCAATGGATTCAAGTCAAACCGACCGGAGCTGGTTGCACCGGGCCGGGGAGAGGTCGACCATCCCGGTCTGAGTGATCTCTTAAACTGCGTTTGAAAAGAGAGAGCTGGGCCTGAAAGCCCATATACTGGAGAATGAAACGGCAACGTTGCGAAAATGGCGGGAAAACGTAGCTTGAGTTTTATTGCGCGGACGTCTCTAAAATTCAGCCGATTTTTATTTATTTCCAATTGCTGCCGCCGGAAAAAAAAAACGTTGCCGGAGTTGAACAACCGTCATTGAAGATGAAGGATCACGATCTCGAATTGGAGAAAGCCCGATTGCTGAGCCTAGCTACCAAACTCGGATTCGACGAAGATCCTGCCAAGCAATGCTTGGATCGATTCGTCGCTCTTTACGGTACCAAAATTCGAATCTAGATCTTAATCTATGTTCTAATCGACTGGGTTAATTTTCAATTTCATGTGCCTGGGTCAATTCCTCGCTCTTTACCGTACTCAATTCGAATCAATTGGATGCCACTTACGTGAATATTTTTTGTAATTGGTTTAAAGGTGACGATGGTCGAGATTTCATCACCGTTGAGTACTGTGGAGATGATTTTCTCGCGGCGTTGGCTGATTTAGAGAAAGGAACCGAGGAGTGGGATGACATGCAGGCTTTAGAGTCTGAAGCTCAAGGGACTTTGGCCGAAATGTTTGAGAAAGCTAACTCTAGTGATAACGGATTCGTCACTGATGACGATGATGATGGTTCAAGAGTAGACGTTCATGTCATAGGGGATTCTCCTGAGCCAAAGAGAAACCCGGAAGTGATGGAGGTGGATTCTTCTAGTGATTTGGAAGATGACGATACACGGATCAAGGTTCCAATGAGAACACAGACATGTTCCACAAGTCACTCCTTGAGATCTATGGTAAGATTCAACATTGCGTTTACTGTTTCATGGTAAATTAAGATTTTTGTTTGCATTTACTGTTAGCTCGAGAACTGTAAGGTTAATGGTTTGCGAATAAGCAGATTATATCTCAAAGACTCAGCTTTTATTCATTTGGATTTGGGGCTATGATTATATTCAAGGAGTTCTATGTTTTCAGTAACGAATTTCTGTGTCTTTCTTAAACTGAAACTTACTAATTGTTCTGTTTTGAAGGAATATTCCACGGAGGAGTCTGTTTCAACAATATCAGGCAGAAACAATTCTGTACATGCATCAAGCAAAGACAATGAGACTCCAAGTTATGAAGAGTTGCAGGCGTTGGATGATCTGGAACTCGCAAACTTGGTGATTTTTGGGAACAAGGTGTTTCGGCCCTTGCAGCATCAAGCATGTAAAGCATCTCTGGAAAAGAAGGATTGCTTTGTTCTTATGCCGACGGGAGGGGGAAAAAGTTTGTGTTACCAGGTACCTCTACTACATCTAGGTTTCTGAAGGCGTGATTTGAGGAATAGTTGGTCCAATGATCATTAGTTTATACTGCCACAAGCTGCATTGTAAATTTCGTCTCTCTTTTGTGTTTGTTTTATAGCTTCCTGCAACACTGAAAGCTGGAGTCACCATAGTTATATCTCCTCTGTTATCGCTCATCCAGGATCAGATAGTTGCACTCAACCTTAAGTTTGGGGTACCGGCGACTTTTCTGAACTCTCAGCAAACAACTTCCCAAGCAGCAGTTGTATTACAAGAGCTCAGGTGAAGAAGATCCTCTCTGCGTTTCTTTCATTTTCACGATATCCAAGTATCTCAGCCATCATCTATTTATTTAGTTTCTCTAATAGAGATCTAATCACTAACTGGTTTCAAAAAGCTTATATATTCATTGACACTTTTGCTTGCAGAAGTGATAATCCGTCATGTAAACTCTTATATGTGACACCTGAGAAAATTGCTGGAAGTTCATCTTTTTTGGAGACACTAAGATGTTTAGACCGCAAGGTAGCTTGTTGAGTTTCTCTTATCGTTGTTGCTCTAAGAAAATTATTTAACATCTCCTCAAATTAACAACAGGGCCTGCTGGCAGGTTTTGTGGTTGATGAGGCTCACTGCGTAAGGTACTTTACCGTTCTTCCCTTCTCTCATACACTATAGTTTTGTGATCTACATGAATGTTCTCTGATTAGTCATCACCAAACACCTTAACATCAAAATTAGATTTCTGGCTCCGACCTGAGAGAAAGTTTCCTTGAAGTTCTTCTAGGTGTGAAATACATTTGCATATTAAATTTTCTTCTAGTGGATGTCAGTAGTTTCATTTTAATAGCATAGGTCAATAAGCTTGATCAAATTGCAAAAAACTTTCGGTTGGTTTCCATCATTCTCAAACTCCCATATTGAGCGGTTGCTTGCCATAGTCGTTTCTTTTGAACTGTTTGCATCTGAAAAATGCTACTTTTCTCTTTTTCTCCAGCCAATGGGGACATGACTTCCGGCCAGACTACAGGGAACTGGGATGTCTTAAACAGAACTTTCCCCGTGTTCCTCTGATGGCTCTTACAGCCACGGCAACTGAATCAGTCTGTCAGGTAACAACCATCACAATGACTAGATACTCTTGAATTCATTGGAACGGATTAAGAGCTTTGAAGATTCCCTTTGCTTAGGCTCTTAATCTAACTTCAGAAAACATTCCTACTTGCACAATTTTGTAACATATGTTAAGTTCATCATGACCTGAAGACCACTTGATCCCATTTTGATTTCTGCTGTTTTTTTTCTTGACAACAGGACGTACTAAAAAGTCTGAGAATTCCCAGGGCTCCGGTTCTCAAGATGAGCTTTGACAGAACCAATTTGAAGTACGAAGTGATCACCAAGAACAAGGAGCCACTGAAACAGCTCCAGGAGCTCCTAAGAGACCGCTTCAAGGATCAGTCAGGGATCGTCTACTGCCTCTCCAAAAGCGAATGCGTTGATGTTTCAAAGTTTCTGAACGAGAAATGCAAGGTGAAGACTGTTTATTACCACGCTGGTATCCCCGCGAAACAGAGAGTTTTAGTCCAGAGGAAATGGCAAACAGGGGAGGTCCGGATTGTTTGCGCAACCATCGCATTTGGGATGGGAATAGACAAAGCAGACGTGGTAAGTCATGCCTGTTCACAGCTGCTGCAGCAATTTCTGTTTCTAGTTCTCTGCCAGTTTCCTCTGTTGGTTCTTAATCGGGTTTTGGTGCAGCGTTTCGTTATACACAACACCTTGTCGAAAGCGGTAGAAAGCTACTACCAAGAGTCAGGGAGAGCAGGAAGAGACGGGCTTCAGGCGCAGTGCATTTGCTTGTACCAGAAGAAAGATTTTAGCAGAGTCGTCTGCATGCTGCGTAACGGACAAGGCAGGAACATGGATAGGTTCAAGTCAGCCATGGCTCAGGCCAAGAAGATGCAGGAATACTGTGAGCTCAAGGTAATTTCATTAAAACGCTGCACTGAAAAGCAAACTTTGATAATATGTTCAAGATTACTTAGTTTATCCTTTACTAAGTTTTACTTAATCTATGAATGTTGCAGACAGAATGCAGAAGACAGAAGTTACTAGAGTACTTTGGAGAGTCATTCGACCGAAGTATTTGTAAAAGGAGTTTAAATCCGTGTGATAACTGTGGAAAGAGCTAAAGTAATCTTAATCAAATCTTTGATGACTTTACCCTGTTATCGATGTATAGATTTGTTCACACACATGACCATAGTTTCAAGTTATAATGGTGTAATAGAAAAACTTTGAAAATCCATTTCTCATTGCAATCTTTCAAGGTTCTGTTATTGGTTTACGTTTTGTAGAAGAATGATCTCTTCCCAAACAAACAAAACATATTCGTCCTCTCTTTAACGGGTGAAACATATATGAATATTAATTGAAAAGTCTAGTGAAATCCCTAGCAATGTGACACATTCCGACAAACTTCTCACTGCGTTTTAATACAAAAGCCGGTTCATTAGAAGGTCCCTCGAACTGATCTTTGCATGAATAAGCATAATCAAGTGCTTTAGAAGCAGCGTAACATGCTAGCTGGTAAGAGCTGTTTCTCAACAACGCTTGAGCTCCCTCAAGCTCTTTGATCGCTATGCCATAACTATTGGTGCATGACTCATAAGCGTTCTTGAGCTGCGTGTCATTACCTGAACGTCTTGCGTATCCTCTCATCATTTCTATATTTTTCTGACCAAACGCTCGAGTGTTTTCGACTGTGAGCTCGATAAGGCCCTGAATGTTCGTTGAGGTCGTTCGATTATCTGCGGTAAGCCATCTGACGCAAAAGTTACGACTGCCAATTGTTGATTGTGAGCAGAGTTCGTTGAGGAGGTCTTTTGTGACGATGTCTGTGGGAGCAAAGGAAGAAGATAAAGGGATGATGAATAAAATCATAAGAAGAAGAAGTAGAGGAAGCATGGAACAGGTGTTTCTTGTGATGCAAGATATACCCATTGCTTGCTCTAGATCTAGCTGTAATGGAATTTTGTGTTTTTTGTTGTAAATGTTTAAAATATGGAAGTGTTAATGTATATGTCTCTACATATTCTATCTACATATACTGTTTTTCTCGTGGATTGTAACTCATGTCTTAATGAATTGCTGACCCAATTTATTTATGTTGCTTAAACTGTTAAAAGAATGAATGCGTTATTAATTAATCTTGTTATGAATTAGTACAAGTTACTTTTTGTGTGCATTAGTTAGAGAACAAAATAACGAGAGCTTTAGAAAGGACCAAAATATAAATTTCGTGGTCCGAAGCGGTAACGATTGCGTTTGACCGTATTTTTGACCTTTTTTCGCCAATCCAATTTTAATTCGACTAAGATATTGATTGCACCGAGTATATGATCAGATTTAAATTAACAGTAGATACTCACAAATGCAATTCGGACTTTATTGATAGTGATTTCAAATCTAAGCTAAAAAATAAAAAATCAATAAATTTGTAGTCGTGAATTCGTGATTGTGCAAATTTTGCACGAAATATCACCGCCAAGAGACGTAAACGGAGCGGCTGGAATTACCGATAGACCCATCGAAAGATTTAAACCATCGGTAGAACTCGACGGATCGAGTAGATGAGCCGCAGGAGGCCGAGGCACAATGGTGGAGCTAGACCGACTTGTCCCAGAGAGATGGACAAGTGTTAGTGCAACTTGAAATACCCATCACAAGATTCGAGTCAGCGGGGGAGCTTGACAGCAAGAGATTTTGGCCGAACAGACAAGTCGCAGGAGGCGGAGGCGCAACGGTGGAGCTAGACTGATCGACCGACCGAAATGGATGTGCACAGAGATGAATAATAATAATGTGCGTAGAAGTTGAAGTTAAGTCAGTTATTTATATCAGTTGCCACGTGTTTATTTGTTGCTGGCTAATTTCTTTTTTCCATTTTATTAATTAAACGGTTATAAAAAATCGCTGCACTTGTATATTATTAGTGGAATGCTAACAAGAATTGAATAATAACAGACCCTTTGTTACAAGAAAAGTATCCAATATATTTTGTTTTACAGAAACATTTAATTCGTAACTATAGGCCAACAAAAATTCTATCATATTATCGGCAAAAAAAAAGTCTTCTTTTTTTTTTTACAGAAAACAATGACACATTTAATTTCCAGAAGTGGAAGAGAAAGAGAGAGATTAGAAAATTCAGACTCTTCTTGTGAATCTTGTCACATATTCACACTCTGCATCTGTTTCTTTACTCTTTTTCTCTAGGTCTCTACTCTCTCTACTCTAAACCCAAAAACCTCAAAAACCCGAAATCCAAATCATAAAACCGTATCTGTTTTCTTCGTCCTCACTCTGTTTACCTTTTCTATTCCTCTGCCCCACTCAGAAAAATCAATTTTTCGTTCGTTCCACTGATTTGATTTCTCTAGTCGTGTTTTTTACCCAATTGCGTTCTTGTAGGTTTTGAGAAACAGAACACCCACTGAGAGAGAGATTAAAGTGAAAGGCAATCTAGGATTTTGGCTCAATTTTCTACTACATTTCTGGGTTTTTCGTCGCCGCGCTTACATTACATGTTCTCGTGAACGTTTTAAAGATATCAAATTCGGTACCATTCTACTCATTTCTGAGTTATTTTTAGTTTCTATACACTCCGATGACTCAATTGATTTGTCTGTATTCCTGCTACTGTCCAAAAAGTTTGGTCCTTTAGTCCTTATGATCGATAAACTAAACATAAATTTCATCTGAGCTCTGATACCAGTGTCATGAATAACCCAATAATTAACAATAATGTATTCCGTAGAAGTAATTCAATTGCTTTGAAGTGTAGATGATAGAAACGGAAGCTGTTGAGAGGAAACGAACCAGAGGAGGTTTTCTCAATCTGTTTGATTGGCCTGGTAAATCCCGGAAGAAGCTCTTCTCCTCTGGCACCACCTCGCAAATCTCCGGTAATCAAAGCAAAATTGCTCTATCAGCTCTTACTATCTCTAGTTTAAGCTTAAAAAATGGTTCTTTTCCCCAAGCCCTTGGTTAATTTCTCATTATGCTGTTTGACTCACTTTCTTTGTTCAACATTTTGGTTTGGATCGTTTTTGCATAGTCCTGTGTGGATAAAGATAATGCATTTCTTGATTCAAAGTAGTTCACTTTATTTGGTATATACTTTGGCTTCTTGTTCTATAGACTCAAAAGTCTTGTCTTCTTTGTTTGTATCAGAAGCGTCAAAGCAAGAGAAACAAAATGCTCAAAACCTCTCAAAGTCACTGCCTTTTCCAGTAATACACCTCTCAATACCATTTTTTGGATTTAGTGAATGACAACAACTAGTAATCTTTGATCTGATCTCTTTTTAGCAGGCTGAGGTTAATGAGTCTGGAAAGAGTTCGACTTACAATCCGAGAAGTGACTCGAGTTGTTCTACATCAACTGTTACTAGTGATGATGAACAAGAATCCAGAGCCGTCCCAAGTGTGGTCGCGAGGCTCATGGGTTTAGAGTCTCTACCAGTACCAAACATCTTCAGATCCTCACGCAAGGCAAGCACATGGGATGCATATGAGAGTTTGGGTTATGTAAATCTCCGCACTGACTATGATGGCATTTCTTGGGACCATTTGAATTCAAGAACGGATCACGAGCATTGTAACCGGCCTCCTATTGACCGGTTTCAAACCGAAACGCTACCTCCAAGGTCTGCCAAACCAATCTCTGTCACTCACAATAGGCTCTTGTCACCTATCCGGAGTCCTGCGTTTGTTCAGTCCAGGAACCCTGCTTATGTAATGGAAGCAGCTTCGAGAATGATCGAGCCAAGTTCTCGTATAGCTACTGCTAAAGCACGGTTTTCGTCATCAACTGGCTCTTCTTCATCATCACGTCCAATGAGGATCAAAGATTTGAAAGAGAAACTAGAAGCTTCACAGAAAGGAAAGCACGACGAGAACAGAACTACATCATCACTCAAGACACAGGAGACGAAAAGGTTATTGAGTAAAGCGAAGCCGCCTCCTGTATCTGCACACGCAAAGGCCAATATGACTCACAAGCAAGAAAGCTCAACGCCGTCAAGAAGTGGCAACAGAGGCCAAAAGGAGAAGATGGAAACTAAGAACCGTGTGATGAAAAATGGTCTCAAAGAATCTTCAGCTAGCAGTGGGAAGAAAACTGTGGTTAAGCCAAGTAAGCAGAAACAGAACCAATCCGCTGTGACGTCTGTTTCAAACCAGAAAGGTAGCAAAGTGATGATGAACAGAGTTGTAAACAAGGTTTTGGTGGAAAGCGGAACTACATCTAAGAAGCCTGGTTTTACAGCAAACACTACTTTGTCTTTGTCAGACAGAAAGCATCTTTCCGGCAACAAGAAGCCGCCAAATGGGATGCAAGAACTGATCAAAAGAGGTGACAAGTTGATAAAATGCAACATCACAGTTGATGACGGGTTAAAGACAAGGGATGATGATCGAAAGAAGGACATGGATGTGATCTCGTTCACTTTCTCATCCCCAATCAAAGGTGTATCATCGAACACACGATCCTCAAGTAAAAAGACCAGTCGAGATAGAGAATCTGCACTTAGTTTCAGTGCGATCGACAGTGTCTCTCTAAACATTCTGTTGGAACAAAAGCTCAGAGAGCTAACCTCTAAGATTGAGTCATCATCTTGCAGTAGTCTCCTTACCCAAGAAGAAGAGTCTTCAGGTTCCATTTCAAAGGATTGGGTGAATGGGACCATATCATTGCCATCAGATGATTTGGATATAGTTTCATCAGAGAGTGAAACTGATTCTGAATGTACTTCGTACTACAATAACCGAAAATTCCAGGTTAGTCTCTTAGCTTTTATGCGTCTCTTTACACAAAGATAGCTCTACTCTTAGTAGCTTACCACAGTTTCTTACTGATCTTTGATGACATTTCCGTATTTCCTATGATATAGGCAGAAGAGGAGGATGTTAACAGCTTCAGCACTGTAACAGAAGCGGAGGAGGATCTTGAAATATCCTGCGGCAAGAGTTTCTCTGAAGAAACAGAACTCTCAGAATCCGTTGCTATAGCAGAAGCTGAAGAAGAAGGCGATGACTGGGAACTCGAGTACATAACCGAGATCATAGCCTCTGGCCAGCTGATGGTTAAAGAGTTCTCCTTAAGGATGGCTACTGATATATTACCATTGAGCCTTTTCGTTGAACTTGAAGGTAAGAGAGATGCTCGGGGGAAGATTGAGAGAAAAACGCTGTTTGAATTTGTGAATCAGTGCTTAACACTCAGATGCGAGAAGATGTTGATGGGAAGCTGCAGAGGATTGTCAGGGATTTTGTTTGAAAGGGAAGAGATATTAGCTGAAGAAGTGAAGAAAGAGATTGATGGACTGAAGAAGATGAGAGAGATGATGATGAAGATGGATGAGCTCGTTGACAATGACATGAGTAGTTTTGAAGGGAAATGGATTGATTACAAGAGAGAGAGTTATGAAGAAGGAGTTGAGGTTGAAGATGCGATTGTTTCTGATTTAGTTGATGACGTAGTTAACGATCTTCTTCTCTTCTCTTTCTGACAACGACTTAGGCTTTCTAGAAGCATTCTTCTTTTGGTTTCTCCAAATTTCACACAATAAGTTATAATTTATACGTTAGAGACAAGATTAGGCTGAATAACATTTCTGTGTATCTCTCAAAAATTGGCAAATAGTGAAAAACATTCTATTTCCTTGGTTTTGGTAATGAGCTGACTTAGCATGTACAAAGATAAGTAGGAACAAGAAGGCGTTTCTGTTCAAGTTAAATAAAAAATATATAAAACTCAACAATGGGGTGTTCCGAGAATCGAACTCGGGACCTCTCGCACCCGAAGCGAGAATCATACCACTAGACCAAACACCCTAGTCGATTAGGTAATTTCGTTTAAACTTTTTATACTAAAGGATATTGCCGTCTTTGTGCGGGTTCTAATGGTTGGTTTCATCAAGTGGAGACCAGAAATTCGAATTGCGGTGTTTTCTGAAATCTGAACCCTTTGAGCTTGTTCTTCTTCTTCTCCAATGGCTTCTAGCAACAACAACGTAAGCCTACGCTTGTGTGATTGTATCTCTGGCTACTTACGATTAGGGTGAACGATATGACTCTGAAGTTTGTTTTGGTTCGATTTTGTAGACAATTGGGGTTGATAATACATTCAGGAAGAAGTTCGATACGGAAGAGTTTAAGGAACGAGCTCGTGAACGCGAAAAGAAGGTTGATCTCTCCCAAATTTCCTGTTTTTCAATATCTGATCTGTTAAAGTTTCGATTTTGAAACGGGTTTTCTTCTCGATGCAGGAGTCAGATCGGTCTAAATCTCGGCGTAGGGTTACTTCTTTAATTCAATCTGCGGAAAAAACTTTAATTTGTGAGATGTTGATGAATTGAATTAGGGTTGTTTTTTGTTTTGCAGCCAAAGGTCCTCCTGTGCAAAGAGCTCCTTTGAAGCATAGAGATTATCATGTAGACTTAGAATCTCGCCTGGGCAAGACACAGGTGATTTTACCTCTTTAAACCCTTTTTTCTTTTCTTTCTGGTATTCGTATGTGATGGCACCATTTGAATTGAACAGAAATGTGCAAGCTTTTCTTTTGTTTCTCCGTAAGACAAATTTGTGGAAGTAACTTTTGTCTACTTGTTCTTGAACCATAGTCCACTTTTAAAGCATTGCGCACTGGTTTGGATCTGAAATGTGTTTAATTGACCCGATTTATCAATCCTGCTTGAGAGTAGTTGATAATATTGTAGTAGCTAGAGATTTATTGGGCTTTACAAAAGTTTGGAATTCTTCTCTTCCCTTTTGAAACATATGAAGTTTTGTGAACACCTACGGTTTCATTTCTGTTTAGGGATGACATTGATGCTTTGAACTGGTTATTGCACGAGTGTTTTTACATGTGATCTGAATCAATATTTGGGTTGTTTGATATATCAATTTAGTTCTTGTATTCCTCTGATATAGAAACTTTTTCCACTAAATAAACTGATGTGTTTTGTTCATATAACCAGGTTGTCACTCCGGTAGCGCCTCTAAGCCAGCAGGTAATGGCTTACTCGCAAATATGATCTTAAGAAAAAACTACTAGTCACAAGGGTATCTGCTAATGATGATCTTTGTCTTCCCACAGGCGGGATATTTCTGTCGCGTTTGTGAATGTGTTGTCAAAGATTCGGCTAACTACTTGGATCACATTAATGGGAAGAAACGTACGTAGTGACTGACTCTTTTGATCTTGCTCTTTACTCACCATATTCCCTAAAAGTTCATTCATTGTGAAGCCACTAAATTGTTTTCATGGAGTATCCAGTTTGTTTGCAATGTATAATGAACGTTTTTGTTTTTGTTTCCCAACAGATCAAAGGGCGTTGGGAATGTCTATGCGGGTGGAGAGATCGTCTCTTGAACAGGTAAATATTTGTTCTTACTTAAAATGCTTTCATGGGGTTTTGCATATGGCTGAATCTGAGACAAAAGTGCTTCTGGTTTTGAATGGATTAGGTCCAGGAGCGGTTTGAGGTGTTAAAGAAGAGGAAAACGCCAGGAACATTCACAGAACAAGGTAAGACCTCTGAGAGCACCCATCTCTTAGTTCGTAGTCTGATGTTTCTTCAGGAAACAGAACAGTTCTCTAACGCATAGTTTGATGTTGGTGTGGGAGTAGACCTGGACGAACGCATCCGGAAACAGCAAGAAGATGAGGAAGAACTAAAAAGGCAGCGGCGGGAGAAAAAGAAAGAGAAGAAGGCAAGTTTCCATCTATTGATTTCTTCTTGAGCTTCCTTTTTTGGTTTCTTCTTTGGCTGGTTATTATGATTGACTGACTTGAGGATTTCATGTTTTCAGAAAGCGAAGGTGGTGGAAGAGGAGCCTGAGATGGATCCTGAGGTTGCAGAGATGATGGGATTTGGGGGCTTTGGATCTTCCAAAAAATCATGAGGATCATCATTTTGTCTTTTATGTTGTAACGTTTTTGTTCTAAAGTTTGAAACTTTGTAACATCTCATTCTGAAATGTGTCAAAAAAATTTGGAGGTTGAATTCAAAATCATAATTTAGAAACTCCGGGAAACAGAATATTTCTTCTAAAAAGGAACAGAATAAATCTATCAGATCTGATAATAATAATTGGAGGACAAAAAAGGAACCTTTTATAACTAGAGTGGGATTAGGATTCGTAACAGAAAAAGAAAATAGAGCAAGACAAGGATTATTCTGATTTTTCGTTAGGTTTTGATTTATTTTGCTTTCACAGTGTATATATATGTAAGCTGTTGTAATCAAACAACTAACAAGTAACCATATATAAAGAAGAGTTGATTTATTACAAGGTAAGAGCAGAAGAGACACATGGCAATGGAAACCGAGCCACAGTTTGTTCCAGCGGTTAACCCAAGTTCAGAGTATCACTTAACTAAGGTAGTTTACTTTACTTGTCTGAGAAGGAATTTCGGAAACTCACGAGACTGCAAACTAAGTTATTACCTTTGGTGAGTTTATTTCAGGTTATAGCTTTGCCGTTAATGGAAAAGCCTCTTTGCCCTGGTTTTTACTTTCCAACTCACGTTCGCGTATGTTTTCTCCATCCAACATTCAAAACATGATATATTATATGATGTATTGTATCGTTTGGGTTTAAGGAGCATTTTGTTTTTTTTCTCTGATAACTGTTGTGTGCATGTAGGATCCTAAATTACTCGCAGATTTATTGGAGAATCAATATGTAGGTGTTTTTCTTTTGAAGGATGACACTAATCCACCACCAGAGACGCTCCTAAAAGGGAAAGAGTTACTTAACCGGCTTCATGAGATTGGCTCACTCGCTTATATTTCAAGTATCAAAGGTCACCAAGTTATCCACATCACTGGTCTCACCCGAATTCGAATAACCGAGATGGTACTGAAAGCTAGCTTAGAAATCATAACCCTTTGAAGAGTTTTCTATTTTCAAACTGTTTTCTTTGTGCTTTTGTATAGGTTGAAGAAGCTCCTCTAACAGTCAAAATTGATTATCTTAAGGTGCGTTGCTGTTTCAAATTTTGATTCATCTTTACCGAAGAATGTATATGGTGGGATCAGGAAAGTTTTCTGATGTATTACTTACTTGCAGAACAAGCCATATGATATGGACGATGGTGTAATCAAGGATACTTTTTTAGAAGTTTCTTCAGTGCTTAGGGATGTTCTAAAGACAAGTCCAGTGTGGAGAAACCATGTCCAGGCAAGTTTCTCTTCAAGGTTATTTTTTTGGAATAAATTAAGAATCTTAATTACCTGACGTTTGTCTTTTGAAAAATTTGTGTAGCGTTTAGGCGACTTCATGTATCCATATTTAGCTGATTTTGGATCTGCGATGCCATGTGGTACAAAACACCAAGCTCAACAAGTTCTACAAGAACTCGATGTAAGTATTGTATATATTTTTGTTCTTTTTGTTGTTCAGAAATATCTGGAAAAAGGGTTTGATAAGTTACTGTTTTTGTCGGTCTAGGTTCATAAAAGACTGCAGTTGACGCTTCAATTGGCTAGAAAAGAAATGGAAATCATCAAGAATGAGGTATCTTTCACTCTCTCACCTTATTTTTATTGTATTACATATTTTAATCAAGACTCTAATTACTTGACTTGTTAAACAAACAAAAGAGCCTTGGCATGGAACGGAACCACTGCGTTTTCTCCTTCCTACTGCCAGAAGTGGACGAGCGTGAACCAGTTTTGTATGAGCAGACACCAGTTGGGGTTGCTATGGCTCTATCTTTGACATCCACAGGTGGTTCAACATTGTACATGGAGACAAGCCTTGTCGAGGAAGGCGAAGCCATAGGCTGCCTCTATTTAATGGGAGAGGTTGGGGAGGAGACGAACGAAAGCGCAAACGTCGCTTACATAGTTGCCAAAAAAATCTTGCTCAAGAAACAACCCGAGAACACCTTCTTTGCCAACTCCATGCTTCGTCTAGATTTGCCTAGATGTAACGGCAGAAGCGCAGGCTGCACCATGACGACATCCTTGTTATCACTTGCCATCAAGAAACCTGTCAGGAAGAATCTTGCAATGACCGGGACAGTCACTCCAAGCGGTAAAGTACTTGGAATTGGCGGCGTAAGTCAACAAACTACAATGCAATACTCTGTTTAGCTATTGATTAGCTATAAGTTCTAGCTAAGCCCATGGAAGAGCCATTAACACACACACAATCTCTATTTCCCTCTCTCTTTTTCAGGTGAAAGAGAAGACAATAGGTGCAAGACAGAGTCAAGTGAAGACAATAATATTCCCGGAAGCTAACCGGAGAGATTTTGATCAACTCCCGGAAAACGTGAAAGAAGGGCTCCATGTTCATTTTGTGGATGAATACGAGCAGATATTTGAGCTAGCATTTGGATATGATGAAGAAGATTATCAAATTGAGTTGAGAGCAGAAGGTGATGAATACAACCTTGCAAGTTATGTTGGCAAACCAGTTCTGTATGAGCAGACACATGTTGGGGTTGCTATGTGTTTAGCTATGACGTCCATAGGCGGCTTAGCATTGTACGTGAAGACAAACTTTGACGAGGAAGATGAAGGCGACGGATGCATCCATATCATTGGCTCACTTGGGAAAGAGATGACAGAAAGTGTTTGGATGAGTAATGACCTCGCTATACAAATCCTCCGCAAGAAAAACCCCGAGAACACCTTCTTTGCGGATTCCCTGCTTAGCATATATTTGCCTGCTTGTTCCACAAGTAACGATACAAGCGCATGCTCCACCATTGTCACATCACTTCTATCACTTGCCATGAATAAACCTGTGAGGAAGGATCTTGCAATGAGTGGGACTGTCACTCCGAACGGTAAAATTCTTGGAATTGGCAACGTAAGTCAACACAATACTCTGTTAACCTTTTTAACTAACGAATTAATTTGTTGTGGAAGAGTCGCTTTTATACACAAAATCTCCTTTTCTCTCTCTTTATTAGGTGAAGGAGAAGACAATAGGTGCAAGACGGAGTCAAGTCAAGACAATAATATTCCCGGAAGCTAACCGGAGAGATTTTGATCAACTCCCGGAAAACGTGAAAGAAGGGCTCCACGTTCATTTCGTCGATGAGTATGAGCAGATATTCGATCTAGCATTTGGCTATGACCATTAGAAGACGACTAAACAAGTAATATGTGACCCCATCACATTTCATCCATTCCTTTTTTTCTTGGTTCATGTAACATCATCATCTCATTTTCTTTGTATTTGCAAGACATTGTTTTTGTTTTATGTACGTTTAGGAAATAAAATTAACATCTAAAGTTCATAAATGAATAGTACACTAATCCATATAGATGTTGTTTTTATATAGAAAAAGAAGAAAATAGATGTGTTGTACGAAATTTGCACACTTAACTCCATATTGATGGTAGACTTCCCACACTGGAACAATGTCCAAGAAATATCAGAGCCTATCGAGTGGACCCGTGGTGCCGAATACGGTTGCATTCGCATAGAAAGATCAGAGCCTAGCGGCGGAGATGTGACTGTGGATAAGAAATTGAGAAGAAAGATTTGTCTCCAATTTTTACCAATTTATAACCTAACGAAATAGTTGGGAAAATGCCCAAAAAATTCCTCAACTTTTTCAATTAGAACATTTTATTCTTGAACTGTCGATTGCACATTTAATTCCTCAACCTATTGCCGATTGTCTGAAATTGGGTTTCACCTAGTTAAACTTTAAAGCTCTAAGACGTCAGAATTATATTTTTCGATACAAAATCCCCAATTTAAGAACCCTAAAACGATTGCCGACAAACTAAAGCTAATTTCAGCGAAAGTCTGCAAATTTCATGAGATTTTAGCGTATATGAAGTCGGAAATCACAAAGTCGGAGCTGATTATGGTGAAAACCATGTGGAGAAGAGGTGGGAGGAGGGATAAACTCCCAATTACACAACTCTTCTTCGAATTGGGAGTTTATCCCTCCTCATCCCACCTCTTCTCCACATGGTTTTCATCATAATCAGCTCCCGTTCAGTGATTTCCAACTTAAGATACGATAAAATCTCATGAAATTTGCAGAATTTTGCTGAAATTAGCTTCAGTTTGTTGGCAATCATTTTAGGGTTCTTAAATTGAGGATTTTGTGTCGAAAAACGTCTAAGAGGTTTAAAGTTTAACTAGGTGAAACCCAATTTCAGACAGTTGGCAATAGTTTGAGGAATTAAATGGACAATCGACAGTTCAGAAATAAAACGTTCTAATTGAAAAACGATTTATATATAGTTTTAAATTGCCATGCAGGCGGAAATTCCACAAATAATTCCAATTGTACCCCAGACCTTTTATATATTCGTTTTAGCCCCAAATTTAATTTCGTTGTTTAGTGGAAAATTTGACCTTTTTTTTCTTTTTTCTATAACACAAACTCGCCAAAATCAAAATGTCGATGAGGATGAGCTGGATGGCTGAGGGAGTTGGGTAATGGCGAAGAGAGAACGACATGATTGAGATTCGCAAAGCCACCAGAGAGTAGATCTTGCTTAAGAGAACCACGGCGAGGTTAACTTCGATACACACACGTGTCAGCTGAATCTGGTTTTATCAGCAGCTTCACAAGCTTGATGGTTTTTCGTTTCCTGGAACAAATTCTTTTTTGAAGCGGCTTGGGCTATAACAGTTGCATCTGGAACACATTTGAGATCACTGAAGTGGTGATTGAACATGAAGCTGTTGCGATGCTACTGAGACTTCCAAGCTATACGGTGGGGTCCGAAACATGTATATATATAAGTGATCATCACGTACTAGTGCATTTCAGGTTAGAGCCTGTGGTTGCTTCTGCAATTGATATGTATAAACGTTAAGATAAATGACCAAGATAAAGAAATGAAACTCTTTTATTTTAGCTCATTTTTTTTTTTTTGTTTCTTCTTTGATTGGTTATTATGATTGACCTCTGGAAATATGACTTGAATATTTATGGATTCTGCAAGGGAAGGTGATGGAAGAGGGAGATGGATCCTGAGGTTGCAGCGATGATGAGATTTGGGGGTTTTGGATTTTCCAACAATCATGAGGACCATCATATGTGTCTTTTATGTGGTAACGTTTGTGATCCTTAGTTTCTTTGATACTTTGTAATTTCTCATCCCATAATTATATCGTTTCATTGTGCCTAGCAAGAGAAGAATTGGTGTTTATTTAAAAGCTTTGAACTAAAGCGTTACAGTTTACATCATTGTATATATAAGGATTGGGATAATATATAGTTAGATTGGGATAAGGATTCGAAGCGAAGAAAAGATTAGCAAGATATGACTTTTTACGTATGCAAGAGCATCATCTCACTCTCTAATATATGATTAACAAAGAACAATCTCCCAAAATTTAGGGTTTTAATTTGTACCAAATGGAGGTCTGACTTTACACACTTTCTGCATTACAAGACACCTTTGAGGTATTGAAAGTTCAAAAGAGAAAAAAGAAACAACGAGAGGAAGAATCTGTATGGAAGATGGAGCAAAAGAAAAAGGAAGCTAAAACTTTAGTGACATACTGAATTACGTCTACAAATCATCAGGAGGCATTGAAGCGTCGCCAATTTTTTTTGCTGTTCTCATAGCCCACTCTCGAAGTAAGGAGGTGAAACTGGAAAAGGGACTTTGACGAGTTCTGACCAGAAGCTATCGCTGCACATAGTCTTCTCAAAGTTCTCTTCCAGAACTCCAGGAGCGAAATGAAGTGTATGTACCCTGTTAGATATAAACGCGAGGCACTGAATCACTTTCAATGGTACCAAAACCATAAAAAAGTAGAAGATCAAAGATAAAGAAGCAAACCTGCACTTAGAAGCAGACTCATCAAGGGTGAAATCTTCATTCGTCCGTAGCCATAGAGTTTGATTTCCTGCCTGTGAATTAGTCTCCATGAAGAATGTTGGACGTTTTCTCAGCTACACAAAAAGAACACATCTCACAAACCAGTAGGCTCAAGATTTGCAGCAGAAAATGTGTAAAAGATATGATATATAAGTATGTATAGTACTTCAACTTCGAGTGTTCCGGTTCCATCAGCTGAGTATGTTGTTTTCAGAGACAAGACATCAGCCCAATCGATCTCCATCTTTCTCTTCATCTTCGCCACTTGTGCTCCTGTTTGTACATTGTCGAGAATCTCCCACATGAGTTTCCTCCTTACAAAATAGCATTTCGCCGTAAGATCATCCGGGTGCACCGCCGTGTGTGTCCATTGACCAATTGTGATCTTGGAGACTGGGAAAGCTATAGGCTTTGGATTTGCAGATTTCTTACAAGTTGAGGTCTTTGTAATCTCTGTGGGATCAGGCAATAACTGTTGACGAGGCAATGGGCGTGCTTGGTTGAGGATAGATTCTGCCTTGGAGATAAACTCCGGAGTAATTGTCAGACGCAAGTTTAGAGGTGGAGGAGGATTCTGAAAACCAACAGAGAGCAAATCATAAGGTTAGACACTGTTTTCTGCATGCATTCCAAAAGTTAACATAACCAACAAAATCTTAAGAGATAAGACAGCAAAAGAGACATCTTTTACGATGAAGAAACAATTATTCTTTTGTGAATGAATATAAATGAGATCTTGAATCAATAACTTGGATTAGAGAATCATACTCAAAGACACAGAAGGATGAAGCAGAATAAAGAACAAAGAACGAGACATGACGTATCAGATAGAAAGAAAAAGAGGAAGTAAAAACAGAGGAAACGAGGAGAAACAGAGAGAACAGAGCAAGTAAAAAACAGAGTACTATGCAGAGAAGCAGAGATAATAAAGAAAAGCAGAGACCTCGCCATCCATAATTCCGTAAGGACGATTTTGATTTGCAGGAGAATTTGTTTCCGGGAGAGCTTGTTGCGTCGGAGGAAGTTCGCGATCTCGAGACTGTAAATTTCTCGAAGAAAAGCCGGCAGAAGAACCCGCCTCCGTTTTCTGTAATTTTTCAGGAGGATCCGCGTCCATTGCGTTTACTGAGACAAAGAGGAAGAAAATTTTATTGTTCTTGAGCGAAGATCTCCTTTTCTTTTTTGTAGACCAGATATTAACTATACATTCCAAAATAGTAGACTAAGAACAGAGTTCTACGGTTACATAACCAACACAATCTGGGAATCGAGATGCGCAATTGTTGAAAAGGACGACGAAGAAGAAACAAGTTCGTTTTCTTTTCTTTGTAAATGAATAACTAGTAGATAGCGAACGATATCTAATCAACTGAACATCTAATTCCGTAAGCGTATACGACAGAATGAAAAAGAAGAAAAACTTACAGATCAGAGGATCAGAGAATCTTGAAGCAAGCAGCAAGAGGAAGACGACGAAGAAAGACACTGGAAGAGAGACGATGAATGAAGTGGCGTGATTTTGCATCGTCTATTGTTTCATTTATATACTAACAGTTGAAGGAAGACACGTCAGCTGCCTTTTTACCACGTCAGTATTTATTTATTTGAATTTAATTCAAATCTGTAGGACCCCAATCCTTTTAATCCACGTCAGTATTTGTTTTTAATTGAAGTGAAATGTCGATAGCCGATTTACCCGCCAAAAAGCCCAACCGTCGACATCGCGCCGGGGAACAACCGCCGACATCGCGCCGGAGAACAAGCGGCTTCTCCGTAATACGGTGGCGGATTTGATTAAACATCCGCGACGCTGTTCGGATTCATGAACGTACCAATTTGTCATTTCCACTGGAGTGCACACCAAGTGCTCGACAGATTTCCCCAAAGATGGATTGAGGTTTCTGGTGCCTTCAATTTCCTCCGATCACTTCACCACCGGAAAAGTCTCCTGCGTTTGAAGATCCGGTACGCATGGAGTGTATTCGCATTCGCTCGATTCGAAATAGCATCTCCTGGAGGATTGCCTTGGGTTCAATCATGCTCAGATCCATCGTCGAAATCGATGTCACTGGGTACAGTCAGAGAAACCACTTGTTATGATCCAATTAAAAGAAGAACAGACGAAGAGTTGGGAGAGAGAGAGAGAGAGAGAGAGAGAGAGAGAGAGAAAATGAAACATCTAATTCATGGTGATTATAATCGATAAACGACATTAGAAAAAAAAAGAAACTATGGGCCATAAGTTTAGCCAAGCCCTGCCAAGTTATTTAAGGTTTAAGTTTTTGGTTATTTTTTAGTGCCTAAGGGCCTGATTGGTTCTCCCGCTACCACCCGCAAACGCAGCGTTTGCGGTTCGTAGCGGTTTTCGGCGGTTTATAACAATCACGACAACCGCTTTGAATCGCTCTATACCACTCTGTACCGCTCTATATCGCTGAAAATCAAAAGCTCCTTTCCGCAAGCGTTTGCGGTTGCGGGCGGTTGCGGGTGGATAATTAAAAAAAAAAAAAAAACACAAACTTATATAAAATCCGAAAATAAATAATAATATTTATTAAAAAATAAGATTTGGATAATAAAATCACAATATAAATAAAAAATTAGTACTTTTAGTCAATATTCATTAAAATCATATAATACTTATATATTTATAAGTTCTACAAATCAAAATTCTCTTCATAAATATTCTTTTCATACTAATACATATATATCTAATAAATAAAATTGTAAAATAAATTTAATTTTCACATTAAATATATATTTTGAAAATAAAATCACATTTTTTATTTAAATTATAGAAATTAAAAATAGACGTAAGTATTATACACATATTATTCTTTATAAAAAAATATTTTTAATTATGTTGAACCATAAATTTAAAATTTTCATTATAATATAGTTTTGATATTTTTATAATTATATAATGTGTTTATATTATTAATTTATTGTTTAACCGCTATTGCATCCGCAAGTGAACCAGTCATAAGTATCCCGCAAACGCATCCATTTTCAATTGTTATGCCAGTCGTACAAACCGCTTAATAACGCTACTAATCACAACCGCCCGCTTCCGCAAACTCCCGCACCCGCAACCGCAACCGCAGCGGTTAAACCAGTCAGGCCCTAAGTTTTAGTTTTGTGGTATTTTTGGAAAACCAATTTTTATGGTAATTTTGGAAAAACGATTTTTAGCGATGTTAAATTTGGAACAAAAAACTTTTCAATGGTATTTTTACAGCTCATCTGCATACTTTTCAAAATGAAAAAAGTAGATGTCAAGATATAGAGATTCACATTTTACTTAGGTTCATAATGATTTAGCGACGAATCATCAATAAAAGATAGAAACAAATGTTGCTCCCTTTTGCTAAATCTCAGGTTAAAGCAGAGAAAATATAAGCTTTTCGTAAAAGAATTCACAACGTACAAAACTCTAGGCCGCGGCATGGATTACTTAGTTTATCATACATTCATTTCATATAATGGAATGTACTTGAATATTCAACGTGAAAAACCCAAAGATTATCCGAGTTTGCAAGCACCGTAAAATCAATATATGATCGACAAAGAATAACCTCCCCCAAAGGAGTTCCAAGTTTACAAACTTTCTGCATTAGAAGACCCCGGTGATGTTTTGAAAGAGGAAGCTAAACCTTAGGGGATTATACCTAGAAATCAGGAGGCACTGAACCATCCTTGTTGCTGAAATTTTGACCACAACCATGCTGTGTGTGATTCATGTTCTGCGGCTCTCCTTGAACAGAGTAGCCTCCTAGATCCGGTCCGGCTCGATGTATTGATGGGACTTCGTTCACATGTTGACCATAACCATTATGTGTGTGATTCATGTTCTGCGTCTCTCCTTGAACAAAGTAGCCTTGTGGTTGTGGATATGGTCCGGCTCGATGTGTTGATGGGACTTGGTTCATGTGTTGATTCACCATCGAGGAATTGATTCGTGTATCAGGTAATGCTTGACCTCCACGTAACACCCCTGCGTTTATCATTTGGCTCGTCGGATTATTAAACAGCGACCCGCTAACATAGCTTCCCCTGTTGATAAGCTGAGAGGATGGTTGGATAACTTGCGTCCCAGGTAACTGATTCATAGTTTCATTCTGGCGATTAACTTGAGCAAATGCGTTCATTGGCCTCCCATCATTAGCGCAGAACTGAGTAGCCATGTTCAAGTACATTTCTCCATATGGCTCATGTTCTAAACCTATCAAAATAATGGTTTCTTTTAATAGAGACTAGCATATAAAGTGACTTGGGTAAGGTTCAAAGTTTATGTACCTCGAGCATAACGAAGAAGGTCATCGTTGACGTTGGAGCTAAGTGTCTGGCTATGGCCATCGCCAATCTCGAAGGAAGGAGGTGAAACTGGAAAAGGGACTTTGATGAGTTCTGACCAGAAGCTATGGCTGGACACAAGCTTCTCAAAGTTCTTTTGCAGAACTCCAGGAGCAAAATCAAGTGTATGTCTCCTGTTATATATAAATGTGAGGCATTGAATCACTTTTCAGTGGTGCCAAAACCAAAAAAACAATCATCAAAATAAAGAAGGTAACCTGAATTTAGAAGCAGACTGATTAAGGGTGAAATCTTGATCCATCTTGATCCATTTAGTTTGTTTTCCTGCCTGTAAATTAGTCTCCACGAAGAATGTTGGACGTCGTCCCAGCTGCACAGAAAAATCTCACAAATCATTAAGCTTCAAAATTTGCAGGAAAAAAAAAAAAAGGTGTATAACATATGTTATATAAATAGTACCTCGACTTCGAGGGTTCCGGTTTCATTATCTGAGTGAAAAGTTGTTTTCAGAGACAAGACATCAGCCCAATGGATCTCCATCTTTCTCTTTAGCCTCGGCACTTGTTCTACATTGTCAAGAATCTCCCACATAAGCTTCCTCTTTGCAAAATAGAATTTCGCCTTAAGATCATCCGGGTACACAGCCGTGTGTGTCCATTGACCAACTGTGATCTTGGAGACTGGGAAATTTAAAGCCTTTGGTTTTTCAGAGCTTTTATAACTTTCAGGAAGAGTTAAGGTCGTTGTGTCCTCTGTGACATGAGGCAATGTTTGTTGATGAGGACATGGGTAGTATTCATTGAGGATAGCTTGAATCTTGGCCAGAAACTCCGGAGTTTTTGTTAGAGGCAAGTTCAGAGGTGGAATTGAATCCTGAAAAAAAGAGAGTAAATCATGAAGTTAGAAAATTAAACTTGTCTATATGGATTCCAAAAAATAAAACAGAGTTTAAAGTGAACACAACTAACAATGTTTTAGAGATGGCACAACACAACAAGAGAGAGATCTTTTTTACAGTGATGAAACAATTAATTTTTTTGTGAATGAATATAAATGAGACCGAGAACCAATAACTTAGAGTAGAGAAAGCTTAAACTATCTACAAAAAATTACAACAAAAAAAAAGAGAAGGATGACGCAGAATGAAGAGCAACATAAGATATATAAAGGTCAGAAAAAGAGCAAATGGAAACAGAGGAAACGCGGAGAAACAGAGAGAACAGAGCAAGTAAAAAACAGAGTGCAATGCAGAGAAACAGAGATATTAAGGAGAAGTAGAGACCTCGTCATCCATAATTCCGCAAGGAGACTTTTGCTTTGCAGGAGGATTCGAGGCTGCTGTGTTGCCTGAGAAAAGAGGAAGCAAATTTTATTGTTCTTGAGCGAAATTGTTTTTTTTTTCTAGAACTCAAGTTCGGAAATGGAAACCAAATATTAACTGTACATTCCAAAATAGTAGAATAATTCCTGAGAACAGAGCTCTACGGTTACGTAACCAACAGAATATGGGAGTCGAGATCCGATAGTTGAAGAGGCCGACGAAGAAGAAACAAGTTCGTTTTCTTTTCTTTGTAAATGAAGAACTAGTACATAGCGAACGACTTCTAATAAGCTTCTAATTCCTTAAGAGTATACGACAGAATGAAAAAGAAGAAAAACTTACAGATCGATCAGAGGATCTTGACTTGATTCTTGGAGCAAGCAGCGGAGGAAGACGAAGAAGAAAGACACTGAAATTAAGAGAGACGATGAACATGATGAAGTGGCGGGATTTTGTATCGTGTTAAAAAGGGAGACACGTCAGCTCCTTTTTCCACGTCAGCATTTATATTTAATTGAAGTTAAATGTCGATAGCTAATTACCCGCCAAAAAAAGCCCAATAGTCGACATCGCGCCGGAGAGCAACCGCCTCCTCCATACCACGGTGGCGGATTTGATTGAAGATCCAATTTGTCATTTTTATTAAAGTGCACACCAAGTGCTCGACAGATTTCCCCAAAGATGGATTGAGATTTCTGGTCCCTTCAAGTTTCGCCGATTGCGTCTGAAGATCCGGTACGATGGAGTGTCTTCTCCATTCGCTCGATTCGGTATAGCATCTCCTGGAGGATTGCCTTTGGTCCAATCCTCAAATCCATCGTCGAAATCGATGTCACTAGCCACAGTCAGAGAAAGTAAAAGAAGTTGGGGAAGAATAGAATTACAGAAACCACTTCGGCGTCATTTCGGAGAGAGAATAATTCATTGTGATCAGTGATCATAATCAAAAACATTAAACAGAAAGTATGGGCCAGAAGTTAGGCCAAGCCCAACAGAATTATTTAAGACAGCCCATTAATCAGAAGACCAGGAGCGATGGAGAAATCCCCTCACGCACGGTACAAACCATACTTGGATTTCGATTTTTGAAAATTTTAAGTCATATATTCCCAAATCTAGGTTGTTGTCTCCATCGTTGGGTTGCTGGTAAAAATGGAAGGAGAATTGACGAGATTAGCTTTTGGGGTTTAAGAACTTAGGTCTATTGGTTTATTGACTTTGATTAAGAACTTTTTGGGGTTTAAGTTTTGTTTGTCGTCTTTAGTCACATACTCACATGACTTAAGACACACGGTACCGCAAAAAACATTTTTATTATATATTTCACCATAGCTAGCGCTTCTTGGTTCTTGCCATCTGTATTAACAAGCTCAAGAACAATCGTGAGAAGAGATGAGCTAAGAAGAAAACATAACTCTTTCCTAAGAGTTTTTCAAAACGTACAAAACTCTAGAAGAGGCATGGATTAGTGGTTTTTTTTAAAAAGGGTTAGTTAATTAGTTTATTATATACTGTATTTCATGAATGTACTTGGATATTCAACGTTAAAAGCCGAATATTATCCGAGTTTGAAAGCACCATAAAATCAATATAGGATCGACAAAGAACAACCTCCTAAACGGACTTCTGAATTTACTACACACTTTCTGATGTTTTGAAAATTAGAAAAGAAAGAAAGAAGAAAAAACCAGCAGGAAGAATTTATAAAGAAGATGGAGCAAAGAAAGAGGAAGCTAAAACATAGAGAATATTATATCTAAGAATCAGGAGGCATTGAACATTCGTCATTGCTGAAGTGTTGACCACAACCACATATGTTGTTTGTCTGAATGCTGCCATCCATGCGTGTGTGTTCCATGTTCTGCGGATCTCCTCGAACAAAGTAGCCTTGTGGATATGGTCCGACTCGATGTATTGATGGGACTTGGTTCATGTGTTGATTTACCATCGAGTAATCAGCTCGTGTATCAAGTCCACGAAAATCCCCTGTGTTTATCATCTGGCTCATCGGATTACTATACTGCGACCCGCTAAAATAGCTTCCCATGTTGTTCAGCTGAGAGGATGGTTGCCTAACTTGCGTCCCAGGTAACTGATTCATTGTTTCATTCTGGCGATTTTCATGAACAAATGAGTTTATTTGCCTCCCATCATTAGCGCAGAACGGAGTTGCCATTTTAAAGTTTACTTCTCCATGATCTGGCACATGTCCTAATCCTATCAAAATAATGGCTTCTTTTTATAGAGACTAACATATACAATGACTTGCTTAAGGTTAAGGTTCGAAGTTTATGTACCTTGAGGATTGTACTGAAGATGGTCATTATTGACGTTGGAGCTAAATGTCTGGCATTGGCCATAGAGAGAGGAGTTGTTGTTGTTGTTTCCATAGCCAATATCAAAGTATGGAGGTAAAACTGGAAAAGTGACCATGCTGAGTTTTGACCAGAAGCTATGGCTGGACATAATCTTCTCAAAGTTCTTTTGCAAAACACCAGCAGCAAAATGAAGTGTATGTCTCCTGTTATATATAAATGTGAGGCATTGGATCACTTTCAGTGGTGCTAAAACCATAAAGGAAGATCAAATATAAAGAAGGAAACCTGCACTTGGAAGCAGACTGATCAAGGGTGAAATCTTGATCCATCTGTTTCCATTGAGTGTGCTTTCCTGCCTGTGGATTAGTCTCCACGAAGAATGTTGGACGTTTTCCCAACTGCACAAAAACATCTCAAAAATCATTAGGCTCAATATTTGCATGCAAAATATATGATATATAAGTATGCATGTATAGTACCTCGACTTCAAGTGTTCCGGTTTCATCATGTGAATGGAAAGTTTTTCTAAGAGACAAGACATCAACCCATTGGATCTCGATCTTTCTCTTCAGCCTCGCCACTTGTGTTCCTGTTTGTACATTGTCAAGAATCTCCCACATAAGTTTCCTCTTTGCAAAATAGAATTTCGCCTTAAGATCATCCGGGTACACCGCCGTGTGGGTCCATTGACCAATAGTGATCTTGGATACTGGAAAGTTTATAGCCTTTGGTTTTTCAGAACTTTTAGGAGTTTCAGGAGGAGTTAACGTCGTTGTGGTCTCTGTGAAACCATGCGGTTTTTGTTGATGTGTACATGGGTAGTATTCATTGAGGATAGATTGTATCTTGGCCAGAAACTCCGGAGTTTTTGTTAGAGGCAAGTTTAGAGGTGGATATTGCATCTGAAACAACAGAGAGTAAATCATAAATTTATACGTTGTTTCCATAAGTTAGAAAATCAAATAGTATTTAACTATGCATTCCAAAAATAAACCATCCGATAACACAGAGTTTAAAGTTAACATAACTAACGATATCTTAGAGATAAGACAACACAATAAGAAAGATCTTTCTACGATGAAGAAACAATTATTATTTGGTGAATGAATATAGATGAGATGGAGAACCAAAAACTTAGAGTATAGAAAAGGATGAAGCGGAATAAATAACAAAGTACGAGACATCACAGAACAGATCAGGAAAGAGAGGAAACAAGGAACAACAGAGAAAATAAAGAAAAGTAGAGGTACCTCTTCATCCATAATTACGTAAGGGGTCTCCTTGGGATTCTTCTCTCTGGTTTTGTTTTGGCTTTTGCTTTGGTTGCTTAAGCTTTCCTATCTAGATTTGCCTCGCTTAAAGAATATATATACCACGTTTTCAATTATAATTATTTTATTTACGGCAATTTGGTTAGGGTTTGTATTTTGGGTGCAATTTGGGCCAGTAAAAACCATGTCAATCACTGTTAGATTTTGTTTTCCAATTATTAATTAAATATTTATGAATATGATAAACATGGAATGGACGTGAATACAACAAAAATATTCAAAAAATCTATAAAATTATCAAAGTTATCTGACCAATTTATTAACCCTTTATTAATATGATTAAAAGTAAATAAAAAGTTACGTGTAAACTTATTGTGCTACATTATCTTTTTAAAATATATAGAATTTGTACTGAAAACTTTTCTTTGTCTAACCTATTTATCAATTCAAATAATCAAAAGTTCCAAGTAAATTTAAAATTCTTTATACTCATGGTGAAGAAAAAAATATTGTTTTTTCTTATAACTGAAAAGATGATAATTGGATTGATGAAAGATTTACAAGTCTGCAGCCAATAGCCATAAGCCGCCACCACGCGTGCATCACTTAGATTTTCAACTTTTTCTTGTTTTTGTTTATTTTATCTGTTGGATTTCTTTACGCTAGAAAGGATCACACAATCATTATATGATTTGATTTAATGTGATAATCATACTGAGAATCTAAAATCGATGACGTCAAAAAAGTTGAGATGTGATAAGCTGTAATCAGTTCATTAGGTTCAGATATACACTACTGTGTTGTAAATCTCAAACAAAACAATTATTGATCACAGCGAGTGGATTATAACAGCATTTTACATCTTAAGTCTAATTTTTGTTTTAAACAATTTGGTCCATATTGGATTAGTCTAGTCATTTAACATGTACAGTATATATGTTCCTAGTTCCTTCTAAAATTTATGAGAACTAAAATGAATATGTATACATATTTTTGATTGCCTATCCACTCATGAGTCCAAATGGAAAGCGAAAGACTCCATCCACCATCAACGTCAGACTGTCACATCTTTTGGCTTGTTAGGCGCATTTCACACACTTTGATGGATTGGTACATGTTTATAATATTCATACAGTACTTTCTTATTTTATATGTTATATCTACTCTCTATAACACTCAAATTCACACGTGATTTTCTCTTAATATACGTCTCAATGTCTGTATATGATACCAATACACATAAAATATCATATTATATGAAAATATATTGATGAGGCAAGCATATATAGAGCATGTGTGTGCTTTAAATCTTTGTAGGGTACCGTTTATATTGCCTTTTGGTGGCTTTCCATTTATGGAATATTAAATAATTGTGAATCTTTCATATTATAGGTTGCTTTTTTGGTTCTTTATTATGATCTATGGTAATGATTCATGCATCTCCAGATTCTCTAGCGTACCGCAAGATATGACTATCATTCCCCTTCAGCTCAAAATGGTTTGATGACTCATTTTCTCATATATATTTTCTTAATATAAGATCAGTATATATATACGTGATGATAGAAAATGAAAATCTCCCTAGCAATATGAAAAACTATTTTAAAGTATGATCTAATGACTACTCGTTATTATTTTTCGTCGAAAGGAAAAACAACGTAACATACTTAATCAATCTTTAGACCGGTATTCTATACGAATTCTTTGCTAAAGTTTCTACACTGTCGAGCTTAACGTTCAATATGAGTTAAGAATTGCAACAACTTAAAGAATGGAATTGATTGGATTTAAGATGGCGTGGGGCTTTTGTCTCATTATCAGATTTTGTGTTTTGATGGATCTGGATCTAAAGTAGTCGAAAGATCTCTACCGAAAAATGTAATCGAAAGATGTAAATCTTGATTGGACCCTTCTCAGTATGCTTCAAATCTTCTTTTCCTCCATTTAATGTCACATCTCAAAGATCTCACAAAAGTACCCACCCGTATAAACCGAAGCAAAGAGGTTGTTTACTCCACTATAATAATCTTTTTATAAAAAGAAAAATAATGCGTGAGCCACTAATTTGTAACAGAATTCTTGGACGTTACAGAAATATCTATTCGTAATGATCCTCGTTAAGAATATTTTCTGCCCATAAGACATTAATTAAACTCTTGCCGATAATCATATTTTGGAGTTCGTTAACGATAGATTTCTCTACAACACAATCCAAGAATGTAATCAACTCCAAAAATAATTTAACCTAATTAGTAGAAATTATATTACAGAATCCCTAGCTCTTGTTACATTTCATCTTGTGGTAAGGAAGAGTTAGACGAAGATGATATATTAGTGAAAACAAGAACACACGAGATCCCAAAGGAGACTTTTCAGTTTCCTTCCATTATTTAACAGAGGAGATCCCAAGTGGTTCTCAAAGGCTAGCTCGAAAATCTGCTCATATTCATCGACGTAATGAACACCAAGCCCTTCTTTCATGTTTTCCGGGAGCTCATCAACATCTGGACGGTTAGCCTTTGGAAATATGATAGTCTTCACTTGACTCCGTCTCGCAGCGACAGTCTTCTCCTTAACCTGTGAGAGATTGTGTGTATAAGTTAATAAAGATTGTATCTAAAACTGAGTAAATTTGTGTGTGCGTGTGTGTGTGTGTGTGTGTGTGAGAGAGAGAGAGAGAGAGAGAGAGAGAGAGAGAGAGAGAGACTTACGCCGCCAATTTGAAGAATTCTACCGGTTAGGGTGACTTCTCCGGTCATAGCAAGATCTTTTCTCACAGGCTTCTTCATGGCAAGTGATAGCAACGAAGTGATCATTGTGCAGCCTGCGCTTGGACCATCTTTAGAGGAGGCTCCATCAGGAACATGTAGATGAAGCTTAGAATTCGCAAAGAACCGGTTCTTGGGTTCTTTCTCGAGCAAGAACCTTGTGGCGACCGTGTGGGCTATCTCTGCGCTTTCTTTCATCACGTCCCCGAGCTGACCCGTTACACGAAGATCACCTTTGCCTTCTCCTTCTTCTACAAAGGTTGTCTCTATGTACAATGGTGAGCCACCCATGGATGTCCAAGCTAGACCCATTACAACCCCTACTGGTGTCTTCTCGTAGATCTTCTCTGCGTCGAATACTGGTTTGCCTACATATTCTGCAAGGTTTGATTCATCAATCATAACCTTTACAACTGTTTCAGCTACCGCTCCGCTCTGCTCAGTTTTTAAATTCCCAGTGGATTCTGAATTGGTCTTGGCCGAAGAAGATTTAGAAGTGTCACTAGCATCAACAGAAACTGCAGGAGTTTCCGGTGATGCTCCTTCTCGTACTAGTTTGAGAGCAATCTGCCAAAAAAAATTAGGTCAAGTGATTTTAGATTCTTGGGACACAAGTACACAGTTTGGGTGAACTTGTAAACTTACCTTGCGGTAAATCTTGTCAATATGGTTCTGGAGATTTCTAACTCCTGGTTCTCTGCAGTAATTTTCTATCAACGAACGAAGAGCTGCATCGCTGGCATCAACCTGGTAAGTGTACAAACAAGTTAAGGAAAAGACACGTAACGTGAACACATGCAAACATTAGCTAAATTGATTAAAAACAGAAAAAGGCATCAGATATGACAAGAGACCTGTTCAGGCTTAATCCCACAATCTCTGCATGTTGTTTTCTCCAAATGGTGTCTTGCAATATGCATTTTCTCATCAGTCAGATACCCTGCGATTTTAATCACCTCCATTCTGTCTAGCAGAGGACCCGGAATTTTATCTGTCTCATTTGCTGTGCAAACAAACAAAACCTGTGACAAAATATATTAGACACCTTAATTATGTCCAACACAAAAGCTGCCTACAATTATAAACACGGATCGGATAAATAGATTCCAGTTTTCCTTGAATAAGAAAATTTTGGTGAGAAAATATAAAAAACGAACCTTTGATAAGTCAATAGGCACATTGAGATAGTCGTCTGTAAAATTTGCATTCTGTTGTGGATCGAGAAGGTCCAACAACGCATTCGCTGGGTCTCCACTGCGGCAACGTCCAAGCTACCAAAGAACAAGAATTATAGACAGTACTTTCAAGCTAGTAAATATATACATAGTCTCAATTCAAAAGCTAAGATACCTTATCAATCTCATCGATGAGAACAAGAGGATTTTCTGTTCCCACGCTCTTTAGACATTGCACCATCTTGCCAGGCAAGGCACCTCTATATGTTCGACGATTACCCTAAAACATTATAAAAAAAAACAGATTATTATTATTTATATCTACTATAACTATAAGATTTAAATTCTAATACTATTTGCTGTCATCTATATACCTTAATCTCGTCAACATCATCTAGTCCTCCAACAGAGAACTTGAAGAACTTGCGGTCAAGAGCACGTGCAATAGAACGCCCAATGCTTGTTTTTCCTACTCCAGGAGGTCCCGAGAGACAAATGATCTTCCCTGTTTGACACATTTCACAAACTTTCAGTTTAACGAATATTTTCAGCAAAGAAATTAAAGTAAATCAGGAAAGCAAAAGAATACAACCTTGTGAAGTGCCTCTAAGACTTGCCACAGCAATAAACTCTAGTATTCTTTCTTTTACATCGGATAGTCCGTAATGTTCCTCGTTAAGCATCTTTTCAGCGCGTAGGACATCATAATTCTCCTTACTGCAAAACCCAAATTAATTATATGATGATAAAACGAGGCTTAATTCTCAATTAATTACGTACACATAGTGTTATAACTCTCCTCGTTCCTCAAGACATATTCATGCGTGCATGAAGCAAAAAGACAAACCTGAAATTCCCCCAAGGCAACACGGTCAACCATTCAAGATACTCATAATTGCTAGAGGAATCGCCACAATCGACTTCTAACAGCAGCAGTTTCGTAAGTTCTTCTTCTATGACTATTAATACATGCTTTGGAATTTTTTCTTTATTAGGTTTAATAATTGCCCTAAAATATTCTGCAGAAAAAAAAGAAAAAAAACATCGACTTTAAGTGGTTTTACAGTCAATCGTAGCGTGTAATCTGAATGTTTGAATATCAATGATCAATACAGAAATAAAAACATATAAATATTTATGCAGCAGTACTTACCACAAAGTGGATATTTCTCCTTCTTGTTAATTTCCACTTGTTTTTCAACCAATCCCAGCGTCAACTCCAGACGTTTATGAATCTGAAACGAAGAAACCAAGCTGACTTAGAATGGAATATATATCATCCTGTTTTCAGGTAATTTCAGAATCAAAATGTAACAGATCATAGTTAGTTATACTACTTACATCCAGTTCCTGATTTTGATGTTTGTTAGCTCCAAAAGCGTCCAGAATCTTTTTTGCACGTGGGACATCAAAATTCTCAGAACTGCAAACCATATTAATATATGAGACTTCTCAATAAGTTTTAAAACTCTCCTCAAGTAGACGTGAGCATGAAGCAAATTGCAAACCTGAAATTTTCCCAAGGCAAAACGATCAACCAATCAAGGTAGTTATAGGTGGCATCATTATCGCTTGAAGTGGCTTCTAAACTCTGCAGTTTTGTAAGCTCTTCTTCTATGACTTTTAAAACATGTTCTGGAATTTTGTCTTTATTAGCGTTAATCTTTTCCCTAAGATTCTCTGCATAAAAAGAACATAGTTTAATTTTATATGCTGCAGTTGTTTTACAGTCATCGATGCACAACTCTGGTACTCAAGTCGTCGAAGCTTAATCGTTATTTGGTATACTTTGCTGTTGAACAATATAGCGGTTAACAAAACAAACTAGTAAAGCATCATGATTAAACTTAATCGCTATACCTCTATTCATCGTGGTGGAGATGTCTTTGGAGTTTAGGTTACTCTCCTCTGGCATCTTATTGTTTGTGGTTTTTGAATGTCTTAAGACTATTTTATTTAAGCCAGGGATGTATTTATAAGATGATCCAATCATTTAGTTTTTTGTAACATGATAATAATTTTAAGGAAATATTCTCTTACCAATTAGTATTCTAAACTTGTCCACAAAAAGGAAAAGGAAAACTTTGTCCAAGAAAAAAAAGGCAAATCTCTCTCCTGATTCACATTTACTTTTTTTTTTTTCGCAAAATTAATAGATATTTGTTTCGTAATTTTTTATTCTATTTAACATCATTATTTTTATTTTTATTTTTATTTTTATTTTTATTTTTATTTTTATTTTTATTTTTGGCATCATCTATTTAACATCTTGAGTTACATACATCTTTGTTGCATATATATTTCCAGAGTCGTGCACAAACTTACATCGCAAAGTTTTACTTGTTTTCACTTTTCATTCAATGTTAACATCTCAAAAGTTTCACAAAATGCTCGTGGTAAAGTTCGAAAAGGGATTTTGAATGATCTAACAATTTTCATTATAAGGATGTTTTGATTTTTCTACTCAAAGAAATCCAATCTCAAATATAAAGTTACCATAATTAGTAGAAAAATATTACAGAATCCCTGGCTCATGTTACATTTAATCATGTGGTAAGTAAGAGTTAAAATAAGATCAACCTAAAGAATTACGTAATAGAGACATAGTGAAAACAACAACAAAGAAAGATCTCTTCCCAAGCGCGAGAAACTTCTCATCAGATTTCTTCTAATGGTCATCGGTCATACTCATACCCAAAGGCTAGTTCGAAAATCTGCTCATATTCATCGGCGAAATGAACATGGAGCCCTTCTTTCACGTTTTCCGGTAGCTCACCGAAATCTCTACGATTAGCCTCCGGAAATATTATCATCTTCACTTGACTCCGTCTCGCAGCTATAGTCTTCTCCTTAACCTGTGAGAGATTTTGTGTAAAAATTATCAGCTTAGTAAAATTTTTTAACTAAAACCCTAAAACAGAGTAAATAGTAGCGTGTGACTTACGCCGCCAATTGGAAGAATTCTACCGGTTAGGGTGACTTCTCCGGTCATAGCAAGATCTTTCCTCACGGGCTTCTTCATGGCAAGTGATAGCAACGAAGTGATCATTGTGCAGCCTGCGCTTGGACCATCTTTTGGTGTGGCTCCTTTAGGAACATGTAGATGAAGCTTGGAATTCGCAAAGAAGAGGTTCTCAGGTTCTTTCTCAAGCATGATTCTTCTGGCGACTGTGTGAGCTATCTCTGCGCTTTCTTTCATCACGTCTCCGAGCTGACCCGTTACACGAAGATCACCTTTACCTTCTCCTTCTTCTACAAAGGTTGTCTCTATGTACATTGTTGAGCCACCCATGGATGTCCAAGCTAGACCCATTACAACCCCTACTGGTGTCTGTTCATACATCTTCTCTCCGCGGAATACTGGTTTGCCTACATAATCTTCAAGGTTTGATTCATCAATCACAACCTTAAACACTGTTTCACTTACAGGCGGTTCCTTGGATGCTCCTTGGCGTACTAGTTTAAGAGCAATCTGCCCCCCAAAAAAAAATAAAAGGTCAAATGATTTTAGATCCTTGGGACTCAAGTAAACAATTTGGAATGTTGGGGTGAAGCTTGTAAACTTACCTTGCGGTAAATCTTCTCAATATGCTTCTGAAGATTTCTAACTCCTCCTTCTCTGCAGTAATTTTCTATCAACGAAAGAAGAGCTGCATCGCTCACAACAGCCTGGTAGGAAGTACAAACAAGTTTAGAAAAAGACATATATAACATGAGCAAATGTTGATCAGATTAAACATCAGCTAATTAATGTCTAATCTGATTAACATTTGTTCATACAACTTGAGCTAATTAAAAACAGCAAATGGCAAGAGACCTGTTCAGGCTTAATCCCACAATCTCTGCATGTCTTTTTCACCAAATACTCTCTAGCAATATGCATTTTCTCATCAGTGAGATACCCTGCGATACTAATCACCTCCATTCTGTCTAGCAGAGGTTCTGAGATCGAATCTGTCGCATTTGCTGTGCATATAAATAAAACCTGCCACAAACAGTTTAGATCTTAATTACGATCAAACACACAAAAAATCTGCCTACAATAATGAAATATCACTACACGGATCGGATAAATAGATTCCAAAACGAACCTTTGATAAGTCAATAGGCACATCGAGATAGTGGTCTAGAAAATTTGCATTCTGCTCTGGATCGAGAAGCTCCAACAACGCATTGGCTGGATCGCCATGGTGGTGGTACCTTCCAAGCTGACAAAGAAGAACAATACACACTTATTGAAGAGATTTTCAAGCTAGTAAATATATACATTCTCAATTCAAATGCTAGCAAGCTAAGAGTACCTTATCAATCTCATCGATGAGAACAAGAGGATTTGATGTTCCCATGCTCTTTAGACATTTCACCATCTTTCCAGGCATGGCACCTCTATATGATCGCCGATTACCCTAAACAATGTATCAAAAAAACATATTATTATTATTATTATTATCTATAACTCTAATATTATTTTTTGTCATCTAGTACTAATTATACCTTAATCTCGTCAACATCATATAGTCCTCCAACAGAGAACTTAAAGAACTTGCGGTCAAGAGCACGTGCAATCGAACGCCCAATGCTTGTTTTTCCTACTCCAGGAGGTCCTGAGAGACAAATGATTTTCCCTGTTTGACACATTTCACAAACTTTGAGTTTCACAAATATTTTCTGCAAAGAAATTAAAGTGAATCAGGAAAGCAAAAGAATACGACCTTGTGAAGTGCCTCTAAGACTTGCCACAGCAATAAACTCTAGTATTCTTTCTTTTACATCGGATAGTCCGTAATGTTCCTCGTTAAGAATCTTTTCAGCTCGTAGGACATCATAATTCTCATTACTGCAAAACACAAATTAGTTATATGATGATAAACGAGGCTTAATTCTCAATTAATTACGTGCACATAGTGTTATAACTCTCCTCGTTCCTCAAGACATAATCATGCATGCATGAAGCAAAAAGACAAACCTGAAATTCCCCCAAGGCAACACGGTCAGCCAAACAAGATACTCATAATTGCTAGAGGAATTGCCATAATCGACTTCTAACAGCAGCAGTTTCGTAAGTTCTTCTTCAATGACATTTAATACATGCTTTGGAATTTTTTCTTTATTAGGTTTAATAATTTCCCTAAAATATTCTGCAGAAAAAAGAAAAAAAAAAAAAAAACATCGACTTTAAGTTGTTTTACAGTCAATCGTAGCGTGTAATCTGAATGTTTGAATATCAATGGTCAATACAGAAATAAAAACATAGAAATATTTATGCAGTAGTACTTACCACAAAGTGGATATTTCACCTTCTTGTTAATTTCCACTTGTTTTTCAACCAATCCCAGCGTCAACTCCAGACGTTTATGAATCTGAAACGAAGAAACCAAGCTGACTTAGAATGGTATATATATCATCCTGTTTTCAGTTAATTTCAGAATCAAAATGTAACAGATCATAGTTAGTTATACTACTTACATCCAGTTCCTGGTTTTGATTTTTGTTAGCTCCAAAAGCGTCAAGAATCTTTTTTGCACGTGGGACATCAAAATTCTCAGAACTGCAAACCATATTAATATATGAGACTTCTCAATAAGTTTTAAAACTCTCCTCAAGTAGACGTGAGCATGAAGCAAATTGCAAACCTGAAATTTTCCCAAGGCAAAACGATCAACCAATCAAGGTAGTTATAGGTGGCATCATTATCGCTTGAAGTGGCTTCTAAACTCTGCAGTTTTGTAAGCTCTTCTTCTATGACTTTTAAAACATGTTCTGGAATTTTGTCTTTATTAGCGTTGATCTTTTCCCTTAATTTCTCTGCATAAAAATAACAGAGTTTAATTTTATATGCTGCAGTTGTTTTACAGTCATCGATGCACAACTCTGGTACTCAAGTCGTAGAATATTAATCGTTATCTGGTATACTTTGCTGTTAATCAATATAGCTGTTAACAAAACAAACTAGTAAAGCATCGTGATTAAACTTAATCGCTATACCTTTATTCATCGTGGTGGAGAAGTCTTTGGAGTTTAGGTTACTCTCCTCTGGCATCTTATTGTTTGTGGTTTTTGAATGTCTTAAGACTACTTTATTTAAGCCAGGGATGTATTTATAAGATGATCCAATTATTTAGTTTATTGTAACATGATAATAATTTTAAGGAAATATTCTCTTACAAATTAATAGTCTAAATTTGTCCACAAAAATTAAGGAAAACTTTGTCTAAGACAAAAAAAAAGGCAAATCTCTCTCTCGTGATTCACATTTACAGTAGAAACTCTATAAATTAATAAATTTCTCCGGTCCCGAGTTAGGCCGGTGTAAAATATGATACAATTCGATAAGATAATAAGATAATAACTTTTTTTAAAGTCATATGTAAAATATGGTCCCAATATTATCATAAATTAATAACTATTATATAAAAACTTATATATATATATATATATCTAAAATATCTAACTACTAAAATATGAATCTCTCACACACCAAACATATATGGAAACTAAAAGAAAATAAAAATTTAAAACAATATGACAAGTATGAAAAAATGTAAACAATAAAGTAAATATAGAAACATCAAAGTGAAAAGTTAAGAAAATATACATATAAAGGAAAGTTCTTATTAATTTGAAGGAAAATTTAAAAGATTAGTAATATTGAATTTTCTTATTTTGAAAAATATTTTTTAGTCAAAATCTATATATTAATAACTCTATCTTATTATATAAAGCTGGATGCGCACGACGTGGTTGCGACACGTAGGATTTTTATAAAATTCAGGATCGCGACATGTGTCACTTTTAAGTTTATCTCTGTTAAGATCGTAACACGTGTCTTAGGAAAAAAAGAAAAAATAATAATTAAAAAAAATAGATAAAGGGAAAAAAAACAAAATTCTATTCTTTTATAGTTAAAAGAAAAAAAATATATTTGTCATATACTAATAGAAAAAAGTTTCTCATTCATCAAATTTATATTATCCAAACACATATAAAATTCAAATTAATAAAATAAATAAAATCCTATTAGTACATGAAATAGGTTAGGTAAACTAAATTTCCTATAACTGCATGGAATAAGTTACATGAACCCCTATAAAAAAGAGTTAAAGTAATCTTTTTTTTTCTCATTCACAAACTCATCAAAGCAAACAACATGATAACAATACGTATGATTTTTATAACTCACAAAATTTCGATATGTGTAATAAAATAATGATAATAAATAAAAACTAACTAATAATGAAAATGAAAATTTATAATGGTCTGAGTCAAAAACAAAATTGAGAAAGAAACAATATAAATAGAAAACTAACAAATTAATTATCAAGCAACTAACTAATATTAAGAAAATATAATGAACCGATATTCTAATTTTAAATAGTTTAATATATTTTCAATATTGTTAGGTAAAAAATTATTAAATAAAGATTTCATCAATTGAAATCTCTTGAATGAATAATAAAGTTTTGTTGAATTAATTAATCAGTTGATCATATTTAGACATATATAAGTCTTTCTATATTGGATAAAAATAAAAATAAAACAAATTAATTCATTTTTTATATCATGAATTCAAAAAAATATCAATTACAATAAAAACGTAAAAAGGTTACCGATCTTATTTTATTTAAATATTTTTATCGGGTTTTTAATATTATTCTGTTTACTTTAAAATGATCAAATTTGGTTTAATACTTTTCCATGATTTTATTACAAAATCTTAAAATAAACCCGCGTATACGCGGGTCTTAATCTAGTAAATTAATAAAATATCAAAGTCCCGACATTATTAATTTATAGAGTTTCTACTGTACTTTATTTTTTTTCGCAAAATAGATATAATTTTTCCGTAATTTTTTATTCTATTTATCATCTTGAGTTACATACCTCTTTGTTGCATATATATTTCCAGAGTCGTGCACAAACTTACATCGCAAAGTTTTACTTGTTTTCACTTTTCATTCAATGTTAACATCTCAAAAGTTTCACAAAATGCTCGTGGTAAAGTTCGAAAAGGGATTTTGAATGATCTAACAATTTTCATTATAAGGATGTTTTGATTTTTCTACTCAAAGAAATCCAATCTCAAATATAAAGTTACCATAATTAGTAGAAAAATATTACAGAATCCCTGGCTCATGTTACATTTAATCATGTGGTAAGTAAGAGTTAAAATAAGATCAACCTAAAGAATTACGTATCAGAGACATATAGTGAAAACAACAACAAAGGAAGATCTCTTCCCAAGCGCGAGAAACTTCTCAGATTTCTTCAAATGGTGATCGGTCTTACTCGTACCCAAAGGCTAGTTCGAAAATCTGCTCATATTCATCGGCGAAATGAACATGGAGCCCTTCTTTCACGTTTTCCGGGAGCTCATCAAAATCTGAACGGTTACCCTCCGGAAATATTATCATCTTCACCTGACTCCGTCTCGCTGCTATAGTCTTCTCCTTAACCTGTGAGACATTTTGTGTAAAAATTATCAGCTTAATAAAAATTTGTAACTAAAACCCTAAAACAGAGTAAATAGTAGCGTGTGACTTACGCCGCCTATTGGAAGAATTCTACCGGTTAGGGTGACTTCTCCGGTCATAGCAAGATCTTTCCTCACAGGCCTCTTCATGGCAAGTGATAGAAACGAAGTGATCATTGTGCAGCCTGCGCTTGGGCCATCTTTTGGTGTGGCTCCAGAAGGAACATGTAGATGAAGCTTGGAATTGGCAAAGAAGAGGTTCTTGGGTTTTTTCTCAAGCAAGAATCTTGTGGCGAACGTGTACGCGATCTGGGCGCTTTCTTTCATCACGTCACCGAGCTGACCTGTCATTACATCTAGGCCACCTTTTCCTTTGCCTTTGCCTTTCCCTTCTTCTACAAAGGTTGTCTCTATGTACAATGTTGAGCCACCCATGGATGTCCAAGCTAGACCCATTACAACCCCGACTGGTGTCTGTTCATATATCTTCTCTTCACGGAATACTTTTTTGCCCACATAATCTTCAAGGTTTGATTCATCGATTATAACCTTTTCAGCTACTTCTTTACTCTGATCAGTCTTTGAGTCTGTTGTATCATCAGTTGCTGACTTAGCTTTCAACACAGTGGATCCTTCTGCAGAGGTCTTTGGGGATCTCAAATCGGTCTTGGCCAAAATTTTAGTATCTTCAGCCGAAACTGCAGGCGCTTCCTTGGATGCTCCTTGGCTTTTTAGTGTAAGAGCAATCTGCCAAAACATAACAAAAAGTCAAATCATTTTAGATTCTTGGGACTCAAGTTAACAGTTTGGAAATGTTCAGTAAAAGCAGTTACCTCACGATAAATCTTCTCAGTTTGTTTATGGCGTACTAGTTTAAGAGCAATCTGCCAAAACAAAACAAATAGTCAGATGATTTGAGATTCTTGGGACTCAAGTAAGCAGTGTAGAAATATTCAATACGTAAAACTTGCTAACTTACCTTGCGGTAGATCTTGTCAATATGGTTCTGGAGATTTCTAACTCCTGGTTCTCTGCAGTAATTTTCTATCAACGAACGAAGAGCTGCATCACTGACATCAACCTGGTAAGAGTACAAACAAGTTAAGGAAAAGACACGTAACGCGAACACATGCAAACATCAGAAAATTACAGGGGAATGAGAACCAATGGTTGCGAGTTAGACCTGTTCAGGCTTAATCCCACAATCTCTGCATGTCTTTTTCACCAAACTGTGTCTAGCAATATGCATTTTCTCATCAGTGACATACCCTGCGATACTAATCACCTCCATTCTGTCTAGCAGAGGTATCGCATTTGCTGTGCATACAAATAAAACCTGCAGGAAATTAGTTTAGACCTAACGTCAAACACACGAGAAAAACTACCTATTATGAAACCAATACACAGAGTTTTCCTTAAATTTGATGGAAAGAAAGAAAGAAAAAAAGAGAGTAAAAAACCTTTGATAAGTCAATAGTAAAATTGAGATAATGGTCTAGAAAAGTTGCATTCTGTTCTGGATCCATAACCTCCAACAATGCACTGGCTGGATCGCCCTCATAGCCACTTCCAAGCTAGCCAAGGTACAATAGACAATTATTTTTGTATACAAACTCCAAAAAAATGAAAAAAAAAAAAGCCAATTCAAATACTAACAAACTAAGCTACCTTATCAATCTCATCGATGAGAACAAGAGGATTTTCTGTTCCCACACTCTTTAGACATTGCACCATCTTTCCAGGCATGGCACCTCTATATACTCGACAATGCCCCTAAAAAGAAGTGTATGAGCCGATAGATTATGATAGATGAATTTATGCTTAACAAATCTAGTTTTGTCATTTAGTATACCTTAATCTCGTCAACATCAGATAGTCCTCCAACAGAGAACCTGAAGAACTTGCGGTCAAGAGCACGTGCAATCGAACGCCCAATGCTTGTTTTCCCTACCCCAGGAGGGCCCGAGAGACATATAATCTTCCCTGTTTGACACATTCACAAACTTTCAGTTTCACAACTTATAAATCTTTTCAGGAAAAAAGATTGAATCAGAAAAGCAAAAGAAAACGACCTTGTGAAGTGCCTCTAAGACCTGCCACAGCAATAAACTCTAGTATTCTTTCTTTTACATCGGATAATCCATAATGTTCCTCGTCAAGAATCTTTTCTGCCCGTAAGACATCAAAATTCTCAGCACTGCAAACCAAATTAATATGAATATATTAATGATTATATTAATGGTGTTACTAATTATAACTCTCCTCAAGAGTCAAATTAATGGCCAACCTGATGTTTCCCCAAGGCAATCTGGTCAACCAATCAAGGTAGCCATGGGAATCATCGTCATCGAATGAAAATCTGTCTTCTTCTGACTGCTCTAGCTTTGTAAGCTCTTCTTCTATGACTTTTATTACATGATCTGGGATTTTTTCTATATTGTCGTAAATCCTTTCAATAAACTTTTCTGCAGTAAAGAAAAAGAACACAGGCTTTAATTATATGCTTCAGTTGTATTACAATCAAACTCTAAAATTTTTATCTGAATATCATATACTAGTAAGCTTGTGGTAACTATACTAACCAGAAGCTGGAGTAGAGTGTGTGGTAAAAGAACGCCGGTTCCATCGGGGATTGACCCGGATGCATTGAACTCCGGTTAGCTGACTCAGTGCATTGAACAGTGGACTCTTAAACCGGCTTGACCAGATCCGAATAGCCGGGTACACGCGATGGGCAATGTAGGCGGTCGAAGTGAGGAGCTTCATGAGCATGACGAGAGAGGACGATCTTGAGTAGCAGATTTCGGGAATTTATAGGGCTACGTTTGCCTGAGGTGCAAGAAACCGTACGAACGTGAAGTCTGAAGATGAAGACTCGGTGTCAAAGCCCTTCATAAAGCCTTCCAAATATATTTAAACAAAATTGAGAAGAGACAAATTGTAAACGCCGTTGTTTCTTGGAAAGTTTCTGTTTATGTCTCGAAAGCGAGGCAGTCCGAATCGGCAATAAATTTCTCCAGTCGTTGGCTAAAGTATGGGCTTGGCCCAAGCGGCTTATTTTTGCAATTCCTTATTTTTTGTTTGTTTAAGGACTGTAAATATATAATCAAAACTGGAAACGACAAAAAAAAGGACTTTAAAAACTTGGAAATCTTATAAAAGTCCTTTTTTATTGCCGAATTTTTATAAGGTTTCCAAATTTTCAAAGTCCTTTTCTTAACAGTCCTTTTTACAGTAAATAATCAAATTTAAAGTTCTTCATTTTAAATAATCGAATTTGAAGTAAATAATCAAATTTAATTTAAAGTAAATAATCGGCCCAAAAGGACTTCAAAATTGATTATTTTTATAAGGTTTCCAAGTTTTTAAAGTCCTTTTCTGTTGTTTCCAATTTGTATGGTCAATGTCTGATACCTTTGATTATGTTAATACGTAAAAAGCACTCTAAAATTTGTCACTAATGTCACAAAACTTGGAAGGGAATAACAATATAATCGATTCAGTAATTTTTCTGGTTTAACTTTATGTTAATCATCATTATAAATTTATAATCGTTACCTTTATGCCAATCAATATATTTGATTTAGTAAATTTTCTAGAAATTGAAATACAAAAAGCATTGTGTATATACATACTTAGTACTCTAAACTTTTCACTAATGTAACAAAAGTTGGAAGTCAAGTGACAAAAGAACTTACAGTATGTAATGATTTATAGCAAAGTATTGTTCTTTGTTTTGCATGCAATGAACGGTTTCCTTTTATATATCGTAATTTTATCTTTTGAGAATATGAAACTTCTAAATAACATTTTTTACAGAAAAATTAGAAAGAATTGTCTTTCAAAAAAGAAGAAGAGCAGACCGATATTTTCTTCCATCCAAGAAATGATTATTATAAAATTATTGTCTTGTTGGGATGGCAAAAATCAATGAGGATAACAACTAATCATTTGATTTGGGAATAATAAACAAACAAAAAAGGAAAAATTAAGAAGAGGATATCAAAGCGTGTCTGACGCCAGGAGGCAAATCTCTCTGTCATGACTCACGTTTATTGCTAAAAGCCCCACATTTACTCTGTTTTGCTTCGCCAATTAGATACTTTTGTTTCTTAATTTTTTTTATTTAACAGCTTAATAATCATACATTTGCTGGTACAAATATTCCAAGTGTTTTGCACAAATATAACCATACAGTCCATACCTTCGGTAAAACTATAGGAGTAATTTTTACTCACAAAGTTATCTTGTTTTTGTTCATATGTAATTTTATTTTAGGGTTCTTATTCTATTGCCCAAAAAAAAAAACTTTCAGAAACTTGCGAGTACATTGCATTGCACGCCGAAAAGACTTTTAAATTATTTTTGAATAGACGACACAAAAATAAATATTGTCAGCCTAAAAGTTATGTGGAAACAAATTCTTGTCAAATATTGTTATCCGTAAAATTTAGGTAGGACTCAGTAGTTGACAAACAAAAGGATTGAGTTAGAAAATTATTTACTAACCCGATCGAATTGAAATATATGCCTGAAAAACATCTTATTTTGTAATATTATATGCTTTTCTATTATTACTAACATTAATAAATATGAAAAATGTGTTTCAAAATGTAACATTTTATGCAAGCCTTTGGTAAAAAAAAATGTAACATTTTATGAAAGGGTTTTTCAACCCACTCTCCAAAATATTATGAAGTTTGACGGATTACTTCATATGGCAAAAGAATATCATGTTGTTTAGTAGGCATATAGACGATCTGTCTTTCTACTTATAAACTGATTAATTGACAAGTGTAATCCAAAACCTAAATTTCATGCTTTTCGAAAAAATTAACTTTATCAAATTATTATTTTCCGAAAAGGAGGAAAAGTGTAAAGAACATGTTACATGTTTCACAAAACACCAAATACTAAAGGAAAAAAACAATTTCAAAATTATATAAACCATGAGCGAAAAATTGTGGATGATAAATAGCCACAATACTAAGCCTAAGGCGAGGAGGTCATGAAAGAAAACACCATCACATGCATCTTCTCTTTTTCCTATTCTTTTCCTATTTTTTGTTCCTTTTTTTAATAGCTCATTAGGTTTTTGTTTCTTTATGTTAAATTTTGTTTTGTAGCTATTTGTTCTATATCTACCAGTTATATTGCCACCAATCATTGCCCTCCACATTATTAAATCAAACTTCCGTCTCCAAATTTGTTCTTTTTCAACTAAGAATCTACAAATCAAATAATTCCACGTCATAGCACAAATTTACGACGCTCACCATCATAAATGGGTACGTAAAATGTCTATGTGTAAAATATCTAATACCACAATGAAGAAGATAGATATTTTTGTTCGCCGTCAAACATAAATAAAAGGAAGAGGATAATTATTTTTTCAACCTAAAAAATGCATTAATTTTGAGTATAGGAAACTGGTTTTTCCATTCACCAGGCCAATCATAATTGGCCAATGTGAGTTTAGACGTACATTATTCGAGAAAAGAAATCTAAATTATGGTATTTAATTCGAAAAAGACAAGAAAAATAAATATATAAAATACAGAAAAATAATTGAACTAAGAATGGCCTCTCCCAAATGTTTATATATAGAGATCCCTCCAATTACTCTAAATTATTATCAAAAATAAGAAACAACTCGACTTTGTCCTCCGATTCGATAAAACCATATTTCTTTGAGAACAACAAAAAACAAAAACCATTTCTTTTCTTTAGAATTCTTGTAAATGTCTTCTGAACAGGGAAATGGATCGAATCCTTCCACGTCGCCGGAGGAAGAAGGGTCTCAAACAATCCCTTTTGGCCGGAGATCGCAAAGAGCTCCAAGAGGGCAAAGAGTTTTCGCTCCGAAGCTATTGGAGGCTCTCCGTCGATCACGGACAAGTTCGGAAGCTCCGGCGAGCTCTCATAGCCGGAGATGGAGAGATACGGCGGCGCAGAAGGTGTATTCCTTAAAGCTCTACAACGCTCTACGCCGATCACGGCGGAGCACAACAGTACGGGACACGGCAGACAAAGTTCTTGCGGCTACAGCTCGTGGTACGACTCGGTGGAGCCGAGCGATTTTAGTGAGTCGAGGTGGAACGAGTCTGCACCGACAAAAGTATACAAAGCCGGCGTCGGCATTTGCGGCAGCGGTCGGGGGAAGTGGTGGTGGGAGGAGGAGGAAGTTATCAGTGGTGGGAAAACGGGTGCGGGTTTTGGGTGGGTTGGTGCCGGGTTGCCGGAGAACGGCGTTACCGGAGCTTTTGGACGAGACGGCGGATTACATAGCGGCGTTGGAAATGCAAGTGCGAGCCATGACAGCTCTATCGAAGATTCTGTCTGAGCTTCAGCCGTCTGATAAGCTCGGTTCGACGGCTTTATAGCTGAACGTATAAGCCGATGGTGTGTAATATTTGTTTTGATTAATTCTTTTACGATTTTTTCATCGGAAAATGTCATTCCTATTGTCTTTTAATGATTTGTTTGCCATGGAACAAAAAAAAATGTCAAAAATTATCACGAGTTGGACGAAAATATTGTGTTTTTTCTTTTCGAATATTCTTGGTGTCGTTTCTTAAGATTGAGTTGTAAATATTTTGTTAAATTTTGAAATCTCAAGAAATATTTGGAGTTTTGGACATGCTTTAAATAGAAAGTAATTCTCAGAAAATTAACTTTAACTTTTTAGTCAACATATTTGCTAATGTTCATGACAATTTTGTATATGAAAGATAAACCGTAAGTAAACACTTTCCATCGATATTTTGAATTCGAGAAAGAAAAATCTACAATCTTCATTCTTCAAGAACATTTCATTCACCTAACACAATTTGAATAGATATATATTTAGGAATTAATTCGATATTTATAAGCTATATGCCAAAATTTTGAAAATAAAATAAAGTATAAATATATACGAGAAGGCATGTGCATGAAGACCCTACGGTCCGACTCTTTTGCTCTAAGTGCGTCGCATGTGAGACCTCTTTATCTGAATTTAGTCTCTTCTCGAACAGTTTTTTTCCTTTTCTTCTTTTTCTAAGAAAACTTAATTCATAAAAAACTGATAATAAGTTAAAAAAGACTTTCTTGTGTCCTACATTCAACCAACTTTGAGAAACAAAATGAGTGCATATATCAATACTCTGTCCTTACATATATGTATGCACTATGCAGATTATCATCTGTTCTAACTAAATTTGTACATGACGAATTATATTTAGACCAAAGCCATTCGGTTTATTATCCGAACGTCGTTAATCCAGCTGACTAGAGGAAATTGTTAGGTTAAAAGAACATGATTTACGTTTTGTGAAACAACCGCCTAAATATCAACGTTAATATTTTAGAAAATGGTAGAATTCATTTCATGAGATCGTATAGGTTATCGTGGATAAATTTGTATGACAAAATCGGTTTAGTGACAATTTTTTTTGTTAACTTCGAATGTTTAAGCACATTTCAGGTGTATTTCTACGACAACTTTTAAATTCACTATGCTTTTGTTTCACATTTTTCTTATGTTTGTATAATCGGTTTTATCAAATTATTTCACGAATAATCTCACTGAAATTACGATGTAAAAGATAGTACTAAAGCTGCTAAAAGTGCATCAAATCAAAATTGAATTATCACGAACTGCCACTTGTAAAATCATTAGACTAAAACATAGTGTGGGTTTTGACGTTTGTCTAGTTTGTCCACTAAGTAATAGTGGACAACGTGATATCTTTCGCCAAACGCCAAACATGAATGTGATATTTTGTTAAGTAATTGACCTATTAGTGCAAGCAAACGAGATTAGGTTAAACAGTATCAGTTATAAAAATCAGCTTGTCGCAAGACTATCCATTTGTTTCCATGTTAACCACTGAAATCACTTTTCATGAGAAATAAAGCGCGACTTTATACACACTTTCAACCATTTTCGATATCAATCTTGATCTATGGTGTTATTAAAAATTATAGCTGATACTATAGGATCTCCAACGACGAACCAAATGTCTTATCCTATAAAAGCGACAAAATTAAATAAAATTATTCATAGTACGTACTCTTAAGTTATGCTATATCAACCTGTTAGAAAACGATAACGTGTTAACATAAAGTTTTAACGATTGTTGATCTTGAATTATAAAAACATTACGGCTAAAAACCGGGAATATATGTATATATCACGGATTACAAAAACACTTTGAAAGGTGAGAGATTTTGCCATTAAAGAGATGACACGTTCGAAGAGTAAAGCCTCAAGAAAAAAGGAAATGACAACGAAAACGGATGGAGACGTGAGAGAGAAGGTGGCATAATAATTGGGGTCAAGTGTGAGATGTCTTCTTTGATTCCTTCAAGGCTCAAGGACCACACCCACCACTTTCTCACCTCCTTCTCCTTCCTAGACCTTTTTCTATAATTATCCTCGTGCCTCCACCACTTCCATAACCTTCTAATTAGGGATTAGCCAAGTTCTAATTCGAGATGCTACTATACATTATGGAACTCAAGCCTCGGAGTTTCAAAACGCAAAAACTAAACTACTTGCGTATATGATACATATTAGAGATTATTGATATTTGTCTCGGTAGTTAAGGAATAAGGATGCCAATTGGGTCAGGTTCGGTCTAAATCCAAAAAAAAATTTGTGGCCTTAGTTTGGTCTGGTCCAAAAAATTAAGATTGCTAAGTATCAAAAAGAGATTTTATCCTCGATTGCATTAGAGATTTCTGTATTGATCATGTTTTTTTCTTTTATTAACTCTTTTTCCCAAACACCGGACTTAAAGCTTTTTTTTTTTTTTTTTTTTTTCAGAGAATTGACTTTACCGTTAGTTTACATCTGTACCGGTGGCTGATTCGTACAAAACTCAGCAGAATCCTTGAAATTTTGCCATATTTGGGATCCCTCGGTAATTATATAACAAGTATCATATATGAATACCAAAAATGGCCCCTACATTGTGGAGGAGTGGTCATTTTCTAATAGCATCGGCGAAATCAAGTGTCGTTCTCAGCTCATACACGTTGACCCTTGAAAATTGACCCATCACAACTTGTGGGCATGAACTGATATCTGTCTCTTTGTTAAAACCTATCATTGGACCCCAGACGCAGCCGACCAGACCAATGAGTCAATGACGGCTTTTGCCTTTTGGGTTTTAGACACGATCTTTTTTCAACCAAGACAATCTGTAACCAACTTATCTACAGTCAAAATTGTTGACTAATCAAGCGTTTGATTCACATGTCTGTATGCACCTAAAAAGGGCCATCACTTAGATAATGGCGAAACTTTTTCAAATTTTCATCACGACTTTAGTGTTCATGAGTCTAGAAAACCACTTTCGACCCGATAAATGGAAACTCAAAAGGCCAAATTCATATAATGTGGTTCCTCAAGGAAACAGACACTTGTTTCTATAACAAAGCAGAGAGCAGTTACATGAAATGCAAAAATCTTGGTAGGGTTTTCAAGTAACTGCCAATATCCATTAAACTAACATTACTGCTACTGTCTACATTGTCCAACAGTGAAGTGATCATTTAAGTAGTAAAGCCCATTTCAACACGAGAGACTCACAGTAGAACATAGCGACTCGATCAGGTCTTGATAGCGTCAACTCTAGGTCTCCATAGCCCTAGCCTGTATTTCTGGCCATACTTGAGTATCAGTTTCCTCTGCAAAAACAAAAATTAATCAAACACGCTTAACAAAAAGGTAAACTATAACAGAAATGGTCGAATGGATATTCATTAGAACAGAGACTTTGGTACATACATGTTTGCAAGGAATGCCAAGCTTCTTGAGCCTGAGGGTACGCAACACAAGCAGCTTGTGAAGATCACCGATCTCAGTTTCGATTTTGGCAATGTGAGTCTCAGCTCCTCCTCCAATCCCGCCTAGGAACTCTGGAATCCCAACCTTGACTGCAATAACCAAATTCAAAATCACATTGACTGTTTTGCGATCCAGTGATCACATTCGACCACTTTTCGGATAGCTACGAAAATGAATCTGAACAATCTTAAGCTAATCAATCCAGATAATGCTCTAGACACTGAAATCTAAAATTATCCCTTCAAAATCCGAAAACCGCACGACGAATGATAACAACATACCGAAATAAGTGGCTGGCTTGGAGTAGAATCTGGGGAGGCCAAGAGACGAGCAGGAGTTCGTTGTCCCAAGAGCTGCTCTCGCGCTCTGACACAATCTTGTCCACGCCATTATTGATTCGATGCTGCTCTGCTCTACTCTACTTCCTCTCCTCTCGTCTGTGCGAGACCTGGATTTGGATGTTTGGGACTCCCTCAATTGTGAATTGGGCCAAGCCCATTAACCCACTATTTCGGACCATATAAATACCACGAGGGGTCAATAGATGATGATGAAAAAGTTTGCGACCCCTCTCGACACAGGTTCTGTGTGGGTTTCAGTTTTTTGGAATGATACTCTCTTTGTCTTGATACAACCAACAGACAATCGAATAGCATTCCAAGGAACTCAAGCACACAATTAACTTTTGTCGAACGCTTATGTTTGGTATTGGTAGAATGAGAATGATTGCTGAATAGTGATTTTGCTTGTAAAGTGTTCGAGGAAATGCCCCTGAGAGAGTTTATTCACTTTTAAGGCATTGTCTGTATTGATTTCTTTGAACTGGTTTATTTGTGGAGTTACATAAGGTTTATTTGTGGAGTTACATAAGGTGCGAATCAGTTACCAAAGTCAATGTCTTATTATTAAATTGGTTTGAGTGATTGAGTCTAGTGATCGTTTAGCTTTAGGTTATTCAAGGTATCTTGATTGTTAAATTCTATAAATGCTTTGTGATTGATGCTTGATCCTTTATACAAGTCGAGGTAATCAAAGCTCTAACCGAGTTTTTATTGTATATCTCTACGTTGGAATTGATGACTTGGCTTTGTTTCTTCAGCCAAACTATGGTTATTAGTCATTAGATAAGGGCCATTCTGTGTTATGCTTAGTGGGTCGAGTTAGTAGTAAGTTACAATTGTATTTTACTACTAGTAACAGTAAAATTTGTTCCCAGTTGTGTTTTGTTTCATCTGGCTAGGAACCAAAAGAGATTTGTCAAAAAAAAATCCTTACTATTACAAAAAAAACCACTGATTTCGTCGAATATACAGACAGTGATGAGTTTTACTATTACTTTGGTTAACCTGTATAACATTTGTGGCAACAAGAACTTTAAATCTTAACCCTGTTTATGCACAAAACCAGTTTATATAAGGATCTGAGACTTTGCTGCGGCTCTAGAGCATTTCTTCCTGCCTGATTTGGTGAGAACACAGACGCAACTCTCTAGAAGCTCAAGATCTTCTTCCCAGAACAAGGAAGCTGCCATTTCAGGATTCCGCAGTAGCTGCTTCGATGTCAAGAAACCAGCAATTGTCCATGTCTGGTAAAGCCTCGACTTTTTCCCGATGAACTTTCCGTCTCTTGTGTCGTAGTACTCTGGCCACCTGTCAGCTTGAAGCCTCTTCTCAGCCAAGGTAACTGCTTTCTCTGCTAGTTCTGGTCTTCCCATCTTGATGCATGCCAATGTGAACTAACACAAAAAAATTCAAATACATCACATTAATAATCTTGTACTTTATGGTTTACAAAGATATGTTATACTTACTTGCCACAGAAGTGTTGGCCATGAGCCGCCATTATGGTAAGACCAAGGCCTAGAGAACATGCAAAGAATATTATAGATGAAAGTCTGGTCGATAGAGGGATAAAATCAGAAGAGAGAAGAATAAGAAGAAGGACTCACGTGTTCTTGGGGTCACTCCCAGTGATAATATGCCACTCTGCAGATTCCAAAGCCGGGAAGCAAATCTTGAGCGGCATATGCCCAATGATATCATCCCATTTCTCTTCAATAAGATTCAAGATAGCTTGGTTCTGTCTCGGTGTTCCTAACGAAGCTATGATAGACCAGAGGTTCCCCAGAGTGAAGAACCTGAAGTCCATGTGAGCAGGCTGGAGGTTCCCTACAAGAAACCCACATCTTGAGCTTTCAGGAATCCAGTCCATTAGCCACGGAGAGACCTGCTCCGGGTAGATGTTGAACTTGTTGGTGGCATTCGTAGAGTACTCCTCTGTCTTATAACGGTAAATCTCGTTGATCTTGTTCTTGTCCACCCAATAGTTCTCTCTTATGTGGAACGATATCGCGCTGAGCCTGTTGTTAATTGTCTTGATTAGGTTCTTGGAGGTCTCGTTTACAGTCAGCATCTCACCAGAAGACCGTAGAGCAGAATAAAACAAAGCCTGTGTCACCATCATGTCTCGTTAGTTAAAAAAAATCAAGAAAACATCAGTTCTTGATCTTGGAGGAAGTTTACTTGGATCTCAAGAGGGTGGCCGTGGATTCCCATACGCCGGTCTATCATGCAAGAGCCATCAGTGACTAACAACGTTGGAAACATATCAAAGCCATCAGCTAAACAAAGGTTTGCAATCATCTTTATCCCTGTCTGCACATCTATCCTCTCTTGCAGCGAGTAATCCCCTGTGATCTTCCCGTATGCTCTCAACAGTATTATCCACCATAAACCTGAGATGTTTCTATTTAGACCAATAGCTCAAAGAATCAACAGTGATATAATCCTTTCTTATTCTGTTTATGCGAAAATGCAGGTTGGCGAAGCAAGAAACTACTGACCAGAATCGACGGGAGCAACACGTCCGATAGCTGATTCGCCAAAGTCGGGATCAAGAACCTCTTCGAACTTGTCCTCTTCAAGCGGTAAAGTCCTGACTTTGAAACTCGCTGGCATTAGTCCTTGTCCTGGACTATAACAGTCAACTGTTTTCTCCCAACTCTGGAATCACAACACAACAACACTAAGGTTCATGCACATTCACATTTTGTGTTTTCTTCAGTGTAGATAACAGAGTTTATAAAGAACCTGCAACTGCAACGTGTGGAGAAGGAAGTTTCGAACAATTTCGCTTTCTCCTTTCATCAGAAAAGCCAAACCAGAAGGTACAAAGTCTCTAATAAAGACCTGATCGTAGTTTAACGGTGTTGTGTCGGTTGGATCATTAGCAGCCATTGTTCCTACAGGGGACTCGCAGTACGTCACTACTGATTCCCTCAGCAATCTCCAAGCTTCCTCCTCGATTTCGTTTCTCTTAACACCCTCGAGATCATCTCTATCTATGCTGCTTTTGTCATCTCCATTGATCACCTTTTCTTCAGCTTTCTCATCATCTCCTTTTAACCCCTCGACGGTTAAAGGTTTCTTCACATTTAAACCGTTCTTAGCGATTATTTGATCATGTGTGCAGGTCGTGGAAGCAGAGGTGGTTCTTGCCTCGGAAACAACCTGAGCTGTTGTAACAGAGCTTGGCCTGTCGGTACAAAACGGCGCGGCGTTTCTCGGTTTGCTGAATTTATTTGAGTTTGCGTTGATGTTTCGGTTTATGAAGCTCGGAAACCGAGAAGGGTGAGATTGAAAGGGAGTGTCTCTGTACGGAGATAATCTTGTGAAGGCACGGAGAATGCATTTTGAAGGTCTCATCGTTGAGTTCCCAAGGAAAGCGATGGCATTCATCATCAGAATCCAACATCCAGATTGCAGAGAGATAGAAAAGTTTGAGAAAAAAAATGAAAAGCTTTGTTGTGTCCCTTCTTTATATTATCTGAAAAATTGTGAATGAGTTTCTGTATTAGGAAGAGAATGTTTTGTGGTTATTGGGACTAGTTTGCGGCTAATTTGATCGCATCGCATCACGGTTTCTATTAATACATCAAAACTTCATTTTTGTCTTTAGCTTGTTTCCGACATTCCATCTATTTCGGTAATGTTAATTATGTGTGTTTTTGTTGTTCAATCAATATTTTATCCTTTGGGATCACATGATAAATTCATAAGCTTTGAAGAGACAATTTAAGATGCAATGTAATACCAGACGCGTGGCAGAGATCCGATGGATAAGAGCTTCAGCTTTTGTATAACCTACTCCGAACCAAAAAACCGAACGTAATGGACCACTTGAAAAAGCCACACGAGAGTCCGAACCTAAGATGAGTTTCGTCTTCCACCTTCTCTCTCGTCTCTTTCCCATCCACACACATGTCCCTTAATCACAGCTTAGCCTGCCAAATATATAAATTATTAGTATAAACTAATTTATAACAATATTTACCAAAAAATATATTATACATATCTTTGTCAGTATAGGCTTTGTCACATTATTGTCCATTGATTGTAGCTCTTTTTAATGTATTTTTATTTTAGTTTTGAACAATGCACAATCTTGGGAATACATATGACTATATGAGTGATCAAATTTAAGTACACGGATTAGCGAGTGAGGTCGTGGGTTTATGATTGCCGAGGATTTTGGAGGGAAAGTTTGTTTTTGAAACTTCAAAATCTCTTTTGCCATTTTCTTCTTCTCTCTCCAATTCATTAACTCTGACTTCTTTGGCTGTTCCTTCTCTTTCCTTCCTCTCTCTCTCCTCTGCTCTCCAAGATCTGATATATTCCAAGCTTTTGAATTGAAACTTCAAGTCACAGTCTTTCTTCCCCACAGCTCACGTAAAGTCACGATCTTTGTGATTACTGTTATTACAAACTTGAAAGGTTAAAGTCTCTTCATTTATTTTTTGTATTAATGGTCAACTGCCATGTTCACATGCATCAAAAAACTGATTTTTCTTTCTTCTTTCTATCTTCTTCCCTTTACAGTTCTGAGAAATGTGATTCAGTGCATGCAAGAGCTGAATAGTAGCCATTGGATGAGACAGAGACATAATCGAATCTAGAATGTCTAGTTCCGACAAAACGACGGTGGATCCACTTCTGAAAGATTTGAATGAGAAGAAAGAGAGTTTCCGGCGAAACGTTGTGTCTCTGGCGGCGGAGCTGAAACAAGTGAGGGGCCGTTTAGTTTCTCAAGAGCAATCCTTTCTCAAAGAAACCCTAACTCGAAAAGTAAGTCCATTTTTTAATTTATTCTTCTGATTGATTCTTCCTTATAATTAGTGGTGGGGTCAAATGTTCTTTTGCTTCTGTATTTCTGAGTTTTAAATTAACTGAATAGAAATGATTTGAGGTTTTTGGTTGTTGTTGTTTGTTCAGGAAGCAGAGAGAAGGGGAAAGAACATGGAAATGGAGATGTGTAAATTACAGAAAAGATTGGAAGAAAGGAATTGTCAGCTTGAAGCTTCTGCTTCTGCTGCTGAAAAGGTCTAAATTCTCACTAACCAACTCTTAAGACTTATCATGTTGCTGAAAGTTACAAGACTTTTTAATGGTCTATTGTGTGTTAATTCTTGATACTTGATTTCAAAAAGTTCTTTTAAGTGGTTTTAGAATCCTAGCTAGATCAAGAAATGATCTATTTGGTAAAAATGCATTGCATTAGTGATATATTTTTGATTATATAATCTTTAACAGTTTATCAAAGACTTGGAGGAATTCAGATCACAGCTAAACGTGACCAAGAAAACTGCAGAGGCAACTGCTGATTCTGCTCAATCTAGTCAGATGCAATGCTCATTGCTTAAAAAACAACTTGACGACAAAACACGTTCTCTAAGAGAACACGAAGATCGTGTGACTCAGCTCGGGCATCAGCTTGATAATCTACAGAGAGATCTTAGCCTTAGAGAGTGGTCAGAGAAGCAGCTAAGGGAGGAAGTTACGAATCTCGAGCGTGAGATAACAGAGGCCATTGCAAAGGCTGGGATGGACAGCGAGCTCCAGAAGCTTATAGATGATGTCTCTCCAATGAGATTCGAGAGGATGAATAGGCTAGTTGAAGTGAAAGACCAAGAGATTACAAAACTGAAAGATGAGATGAGGTTAATGTCTGGTCACTGGAAACATAAGACTATTGAACTTGAATCTCAGGTGAATCCAGCTTTGTCTTGTTAACTCTGTTTATTTAGTTTCAATCTTGTAAATATTTGGACATAGCTGTTTAAATTCTCAGTGAAAGTTTCAATCTTTTGATGAAAAAACAGCTGGAGAAACAGAGAAGAACTGATCAAGATTTGAAGAAGAAGGTGCTGAAACTAGAGTTCTGTCTTCAAGAAGCTAGAAGCCAGACGAGAAAGCTGCAGAGGGTAAGTACAAGTCCATAATAACAGCTCTGACATTCGTGTAGTTTCTTGTTTGGATTTTGTTACAAATTTTCCTTTTCTTGTGTGATGAATGTAAACAGAAAGGAGAAAGGAGGGACATGGAGATCAAAGCGATAAGAGATCTGATGTCGGAGAAACAACAACGTAGTAATGAAGAATCTTGGGAGAAACAGAATTTCTGGGACAATTCTGGTTTTAAGATCGTTGTTTCAATGTCAATGCTGATGTTAGTCGTAGTTTCCAAAAGATAAAACTTATCTTTTTCGTATAGATGTAGTAATGTAGTTCTTGAAATAGCAGAGAGTTGAATAAAATATCTAATTTAATGTCAAAAAATATATTTAAAAAATAACTAATTTAATCTCAGGTCGACTTCATCACTAATCAAAATTTCAGAGTAACTTTAAACCGAACAGGTCCCGTAGCTCAGTTGGTTAGAGCGTTGGTCTTATGAGCCGAAGGTCGCGGGTTCGAGCCCCGCCGGGACCATAAATCTCATCACAATTCTCTTTTTACAGACATTTTAGTTTTAGGCCCATTATGCAGCCCACTATGAAGCCCAATTGCAACGTGTTAAGGTGGTCACTGATAAATTTCGTTTGTTGTTTTTTCTTAACCTCTCCGACAAGTTCGACACGTGGCCCCCGTTCAGCCTGTAGAGTATTTGGAATACTAGGTATTTTACCCGTGCATGCGCGGATTCCATTTTAATGAATTTTAAACTGTTATATTTATTTTATTTTTTATTTTTTGTTACCAATGCTTCTAATTTTTTTTTTTGCTTTTTGTTTTTTTTAATAAAATTTTCTTTGTAATATACTTTTTTTATTTTTTTTTACTTAACCAATTTAATTATTTTATAATTAGTCATAATAAGTAATGTACTTTTTAAAAACATTTTCTATAGAAAACATTCAACAGTCCTATCCTCACATTTCTTAAATTAATCCCTTAATTTTACTATTCATTAGACACTTTTAATTATATCCATTAAAGTCATTCGGCAAGATTTTGTACAATCCAATATTAGTCTAATACATATTTTAGTTGTTAATTTCTTTTTAATTTTATTTATTAGTTTAGCTTTTCCAGCTCTGAGTTTACGATTTATACTTAATTTTTTTCTTTTTTTTAGTTTAATTATTTTGCATTCAATTCCATTTAATAAATTCATCTCTTTATTTTTAAATCACTGTTTTGATAGTTAAAAAGTCTCATATATTCCAAACTTTTTTTTTCGTATTGTTTAATTAATAACCGTGTTTCCAATTCCCGGTTCCATTGTTTTGGTTTGTTACGTTCGGTTTTGCTATCACATTGAAATTAGAAATGCAAACATTGAAATTAGTCTCATCTATTAGAAATGGTTCGTTGTTTTTCTTCATTTGCCGACAACATGATCGAACAATGTTTCTACCTTATTCCCACCGGAACATTGTTACTCTCATCGAAATCCCTCTTCTTTGTTTCTCATCTTGGTTATTTGCCTTAATCCCTCTTAAGCGATTGAGATGTCAAAACTAATTTGATCAATTGATTGAGGGAACAGTTTCTGCTTTAATCCCTCTTCAGACTTTATTTCTCTGTTTCTTCTACTGATTCTCTCAAGCTAATCACTTCGTGAAAGGTTTGAATTTTCCTATTTTGAAGCCAGTTTTGTTGATGTTGAGATTATGTGTTTAGCGTTTAATCTATTTTTCGATCCGATTTGTGATAAATCTATAACTCTAGGTGATGCCAACTGCTCCGCCAAGTTCCAGAGACTCAGAGATGTCTAATTTTACAAAATTATCGCCTTTCGATGGACGTTACTGGGTAAAGCTAAGACTTTGCCTCTTCATGAGCGAGTTTTTTTATCAATTTTCGAGTACTTGTCAGTCGAGGTACTTGTTTCTCACCCAAGTGAAGTTTATTATCTAATTTATGATTTTGTTCTTTTCTTTTTTGTGTTGACTAAGTATTTGCGAGTTCTTTAGTTGTCTAAACTCTTGTTTTTTTATATATTTTGGTAGATCATATTGCCTATATATCTTTCTAAAAGTCTCAATTCACCGAAGTTCCATGCTTTTCAAAAGATGGTGATGTGTACTTGCAATTCATAATCGATGTGTTTAGCATTGATAATAAGTTGGAAGCTAATAAGGTCTTAAAAATAACGTTTTTTCGCTAAAACCGCATAATCCCGTTTTCTCGCCAAAACCGTGAAATCATGTATTGCCATCAAAATATCAAAATCACGTTTTTCCATCAAAATCTAGAAAACCACGTTTTTTCGTCAAAATCTCGAAACCACGTTTTTCCGTCAAAATTTTAAAATCATGTTTTCCCGCCAAAATCTTAAAACCGCAAAATCACATTTTTTGCCAAAACCTTAAAAATCACGTTTTCTCGCAAAAACCACGAAATTACGTTTTCCGTCGAAATCTCAAAAACACGTTTTCTCGCAAAAACCGTGAACTCATGTTTTTCCGCCAAAATCTCAAAATCATGTTTTCCGTCTAAATCTCGAAATCACGTTTTTCCGTCAATATCTTAAAATCACATTTTCCCGCCAAAATCTCATAACCGCATAATCACGTTTTTCGCCAAAACCTTAATAATTACGTTTTCTCGCCAAATTCATGAAATGAAGTTTTTTTCCACCAAAACCGTGAAATCATGTTTTCCGTCAAATTTTAAAAAACATATTTTCTCGTAAAAACCGTGAAATCATGTTTTTTTGTCAAAATCTCAAAATCACTTTTTCGGTCAATATCTCAAAATCACGTTTTTTTTGTCAAAATCTCAAAATTAAGTTTTTTTGCCAAAACCTTAAATTCACGTTTTCTCAATCAATTGGTTTCTAATTTTGGTAAAATGAAAAGTTAAAATTGGTTAACCATCTCAATCCATCAAACCAATATAATTTTAACCATTTAAATCCAACCCAATTGATCCATAAACCCAAATGACCCATCAATCCATTTGTATCCAAATTTTGAATCCATTTAGTCTAATAGATTGGATGGGTTAGATGGATCTATGAATTTTGACCTATGTTGATATCCTTATCGATGACGATGTGTGATATTTTCTTTTTTCTTTTTTTTTTTTTAGTTGTGAGATATTTTCGTGAATTAAATTAATGTCAATCTCAATATAATTATTTTTGTAAGGGTTTTAAAAATAAAAAAACTTGGTGCTGTAAAGGATCGAACCCGATACCTATTGCGTTTAAGACATATTTGATAACCGCTATATCATAGCATCTTTTTGACTGAAAAGGAAATTTATGTCTATAATATTTAAACCATGTGTAAATTTTCCACTAAAAAACTATCTATTTTTAATAATATATGTAAATTTAGATAATCTATGTAAAAATACAATTAATGAATAGGAAAATTAGTATACAATTTGCGAAAATTGTAAAATCATAAATTATCATTACTGAAAACTAATTAATAAATAATATGTAAAATAGAAAATTTACATAAAATAATTTAAAAATAAGAAAAAAATAAAGATAATAACATGGACCAATCAAATTCAACATTTTAAATCCTATGTGGACAGCTCTAATGCGGCTCAATTTTATTAGTAATAGATTTCTTAACCTCTCCGACAAGTTCGACACGTGGCCCCCGTTCAGCCTGTAGAGTATTTGGAATATTCCGATATCCGTATCTGTGTGTATGCATAATGCATGATGTATGCGTATATAACCAAGAAATACAAAAGTACCCCTAGTTTGTCGTTTTCTCACCGACCCCACCTCCCAGCTTTGTCCAAACTTTCAAAATGTGTCCCATCCCTTTTAATTATTATTATTCGGTTCTTCGAATTATTTTAAAGAATTACAATTGTAGACTATATACTTGGCTGGAAATGTCATTATATTTATGGCTGTTGGTTGTTGAACTAGATACTCATAATTTTATAGCAGACAATTGTATGACATTTAGGAACTAATTATTGGACTTCTGTAAACGATATTTTTAAAAATGAAAACCATATAAAAATACATGAAATTAAATAGTGCAATATAGTCCATTTAGCTTAGCAACTTTGACATTTGGAGTTTGACTCCTTTATTAAAGTTGGGACAAAAAAATGGTTCTCGGAATGGAGCTACTAAAAAGAACCAAAAATAAGTAGTTATACAGAAAAATAAAATCTACGCTTTTTTATTATGTGCCACTTACATTATGCAAAATGAATTAATTAAACATATCTTCAGATTCTGTAGATTAAAACCAGCATTTTCTGTGAGATTTGATTGTCACTAGTCACTACAACCGATCACAGCTTACATTGAAAAAAGAAGTAAAAAAAACAAAGAAGATCAACGTTTTAGTAGGTTGCATTAATATAAAGACAGGTAATAGAGAGTGGGTGCAAAAAAGTTTGAATGGTCAAAACTCAAAAAGAGAGAAAAACCAAACCCAATGTACTTTCAAACTCGAATTTACTTACTCCGAAGACTATCTTATTAATTTTATTTTTTTTTCATTTTACGATATGACTGTCACCAGCGCATTATAGCATACGCCCCTCATCAAAAAGCCCAGCCACAGAGAGCTTCATTCATTTCTTCATTACAAAAAAAATATTATTCATCAGACCAAAATACAAAAAAGGAAGAGAGAGAGAGAGATTCATCATCAAACCATCTCTCTCCTTTCCTATGGATCTACTCATGTCTTGATTCTTCCTCCCAAATTTCTCCGTTTTTTTCGATCTGAAAATTTCTGGGATTTCCCCGGTACGTTTCGAAATATATTTCTTGCTTAGTTTTCTCATCTCAAATTCTCGTTTTTAAAAGTTTTCCAAATTTCAACCGAGAAGAAGATGAGTTGGATTTCGAATTTTATGGTATATTAGATCGGTGGAGATTTGCTTATTGGCTCCGATGAGTTGATTTCGATTGTCTGCTTCTTACATGTCTTCAGTTTTGTTGAAATTTGCCATATTTTTGGTATGTTTTGTAGTTATCCCTTTTCCACGGAAAATTTCCTTACTCTATAAAATTTCTTTCCTTCTTTTTTGGCTATCTCATACTTTTTATGTACAAGTTTGTTTCCATTTTCTTGTTTAAATCCAGACCTTTTCATATTGATGAGTATTAGCTTTGTTGAGTTTGAACAACAACCTCTGTGTATGCTCTGTTCTTGTGATTGAGCTGTTACTTCATTGAGATTAACGACCAAGCATCTGTAATTACATAATATGGTTTATGAATCAAGTTGGTAACAATCACTTCTTTGCTGCAGGATTGAGTTTTTTGATCTGATCGAGATTTGAAGAGTGACAGAAATTCTTCTGCTTTTTGCTGTTGAAGTATTCACGGAATGGCATCGGTGGGCATAGAGCCTAGTGCCGCGGTTAGAGATTCCACTGGAAACGCTACTGATGTTGATAGATTGCCTGAGGAGATGAATCACATGAAGATCCAAGATGATAAAGTATGCTTTTTTGGTTTTGAATCTAATCGTTGCTTCTTGAATGATTTTGTTTTTGTTTATCTCTCTCACTGACTTGACTAATGGAACACCAGGAAATGGAAGCTACAATCGTAAACGGCAATGTCACAGAGACTGGTCATATAATAGTTACTACAATAGGCGGAAGAAACGGCCAACCAAAACAGGTTTGTGTTCTTGATCCTTGATTAGTTGATTCAGTATGATTGTTAGTTGCTAAGTTAGTTTCCTTGGGATGTTAAATTTGCAGACAATCAGTTACATGGCCGAGCGAGTTGTTGGACATGGCTCCTTTGGTGTTGTATTCCAAGTGAGTTTGAGTTCTTGTTCTTCCCCTTCTCTATGAGCTTATGTGTCTTTCCACACTGTCACTGACATGATCTCTATTGTTTTGTGTTTGTGTTTCAGGCGAAGTGTTTAGAAACAGGAGAAACCGTAGCGATAAAGAAAGTGTTGCAAGACCGGAGGTACAAGAACCGGGAGCTTCAAACGATGAGGCTGCTTGACCATCCAAACGTGGTGTCATTGAAACACTGCTTCTTCTCAACAACCGAGAAAGACGAGCTTTACCTCAACTTGGTCCTCGAATACGTTCCGGAGACAGTGCACCGAGTTATCAAACACTACAACAAACTCAACCAACGGATGCCTCTCGTCTACGTCAAGCTTTACACGTATCAGATATTTAGGTCGTTGTCTTACATTCATCGGTGTATCGGCGTGTGTCATCGTGACATAAAGCCTCAGAACTTGCTGGTGAATCCACACACTCATCAAGTGAAGCTATGCGATTTTGGAAGTGCCAAAGTATTGGTGAGTTTCATGAAATCCAAAACAAGCATTTTGAAAGCAGAGAGATTAAACTATTTACTGATGATTCATGGTGGTTGTTGAAATCAGGTGAAAGGAGAGCCAAACATTTCATACATTTGCTCGAGGTATTACCGAGCACCTGAGCTTATTTTTGGAGCAACAGAGTATACTACAGCCATTGATGTCTGGTCTGCAGGATGTGTTCTCGCTGAGCTTCTTCTCGGTCAGGTATAAACTTTTGTCAAATCTCAAATCTCAAATCAGAACATGTTTTCTCTGTTTTCAAATTGTAGTTGACGAATCTGTTCTTGTTTTGTTCATTGCAGCCATTGTTTCCTGGTGAGAGCGGCGTTGATCAACTAGTAGAGATTATAAAGGTTTTGGGGACACCAACGAGGGAAGAAATCAAATGCATGAACCCCAATTACACAGAGTTCAAGTTCCCTCAGATTAAAGCTCATCCCTGGCATAAGGTAATTTGAATATTTTCTTGTTAAGCATAAAATTTAACAAGTTCAATGTCTTCTTTAACTAATTGGAACATTTTGTTTTTATAATGAAAATCAAGATTTTCCACAAGCGAATGCCACCAGAAGCTGTAGATTTGGTGTCAAGGCTTCTTCAATACTCTCCTAATCTCCGTTGTGCTGCTGTGAGTATTTTACAACTTCTCTCTACGTTTCTTCGTTCTGCAAAATGTCTGATTTTTGTTGAAATGTCTGATGTTTGCCAATTTAGCTGGATGCATTGGTGCACCCGTTCTTTGACGAGCTAAGAGATCCAAATGCGAGATTGCCTAATGGACGTTTCCTTCCACCGCTTTTCAACTTTAAGCCTCATGGTACTATCTCTTACCTTCACATTGTCAAACTTTAAGCTAAGTGACTTAAAACTCATGTTTATTTTGTTTAATGTGGTATGTGAAAGCAGAGCTTAAAGGTGTGCCTTTGGAGATGGTGGCTAAGTTAGTACCTGAACATGCGAGGAAGCAGTGTCCGTGGCTCGGCTTGTGATTTAATCTGCTGTTACCTGCAAACACGAAAACTAGAGCGGAACAACAGTCCGAGACATTCATCTCTTCTCTTATCTTATTCTCTATTTCATTGCTGTTTATCAAATCTGATGGGTTTTGTAAAACCCTTTGTTTGCTGTATGAGTGGAGAAAGAATGAAGTTGGGGTTATGATCTTGTTAAAAGTCAACACAGATTTTTTCCTATCTCTAAAGCGAATTCCATGTTTTCTATCTCATTTCTCTGCAAACATAAACTGAAATCCACAAAAGTGAAGATCCAAGTTTTTATATAAGCAAGAAAGCTCAGAAGGCAATGGCTTTAGGCGGGAAAGCATCTAGTTAATGGATTCATCATTTGAAACTGTAAATTAATTGTTGTGTTTTATCTTCTTTTTTCTTTCCATTGTTGTGTTTCTTCTATATCCTTGATTACTTATACTTGAGAGAAAGAACTTTTATTGAGTTAAATTAAAATCCCATAAGGAAGTGTTGAACATAAAAAAAGCCTCCTTTCTTACAGATTGATTACTTTCAAAAGATAATGAAAAGTTAAACAAAAGAACAAGAAAAAAAGTTAATTAAAAAACACAAAGTGAACCAATCCCAAAAAAAGAAACAAAAACTAGCATTCAAGAAGATATTCTTTACAAGTGGACTTGTTGTGACCAAGTCCCTTGCACCTACTACATTGCAGCTGCCGCTTCATCACCTCCTCCGCGGCCGTTTTCTTTTTCGGCGGCCTCCCCGGTGGTCTCCTCGTCGGCGGAGGAGTAACCGTCACCGCAGAACCCCCGGAGCTCTCTCTACACATCTCTCCTTCCAGCAACGGAACAGGATTTATCGACAGCGAGTAAGTCGCCCTGTAGCTCTCAGGAGTGAAATACCTCAAACAGAAATCGTAAATGCAATGTCCGTTACATGTGAGCACCGCGACGGCGTGCTGACACGGCAAGCCCGTTAACTGCCAGCCTCTGCAGCTACACTCCCACTGCGCCATGTCCACGATCTCAAACGTCTCTCCACGGACGTGAAACGTGTTGTTATCCGCCGACGTCGCCACGTGGAGGCTCTGCGCTTTCTCGCACTCTTTCGCTAGCTTCACCTCCATGGAAGGAGTCAGTCTTCCGTTAGCCTCAGCTGCGTTAATCCTCCTCGCATGGATCAACCCCATGATCTTCCCGCGGATCACATCCACCATCTGAGTGATCGGAAGATCGTTGGCGTCGGAGGCCCAGCTGAAGAACGGCTCGCCGGAGTTTGACGTCATGTGGTTGTACCGAGAGCCGAGCAAGTAAGCGTTTGCCCACTGGTCCGGTTTGCTGTTCTGCACGATCCAATTGTAAGCGTCCGGCGAGAGTCCCTTGATGTTCTCGACGTGCCTCTCGAACGCGTCCAGCCTCGGAGCATAAGCCGCCGCGTAAAAGTCGTCGACGATCAGCCGCTTGATCTCGTGAGAGAAGGGTCCTTTCAAGTCTCTGATGAGCTCCTCCGTCAGGTAACGCAAGCAGTAGGCGTGGAACGAGCCCTCGAACACTCTCGGGATCGACTCCGAGAGGTTCTTCTGCCGATCCGCGACGAAAGTGATCCGGCAAGGCTCGTGAAGATGTTCCTTCTGTTGCTCGAACGTGATCGAGAGAGCTGATCTCAGCTGAAGCAAGAACCATTCCCAGTTCTCATCCGTCTCCGCATCAACCACAGCGAACGCCATGGGAAACACTTCGTCGTCCCCGTCAACAGAAGTCGCAGCCAACAACGTCCCCTGATACTTCGACTTCAAAGGCATGCTGTCGAGAAACACCAACGGTCGACATCCGACGAGGAAGCCGTAAACCGAGGCGTGAAACGAAACGAAGACACGGTGGAAGCTCGAGTCCTCCTTGGTCGTGAACGTCGCGAGGCTTCCCGGATTCGTCTCCATGATCTTCTCGCAGAACAAAGGAAGCTGCTTGTAACCGTCCTTGTACGATCCTTGAAGCTGCTCTCTAGCAATCTCTTTACCACGCCAAGCTTGAAAGTAGTTAAGCTGAATCCCATACTCTTCTTTAATGTCGCTGACGATATCTTTCGGTTTGTAGTTCGGAAACACTTTCAGCTTCTCCTTTATAATGCTCGCAACCCAGCTCCTACTCGTCTGGAGACCGTTGATCCCTCCTGCGCCTTCACAAGTATGCGACGGATTCATTTTCTTGATACAGATCAGCTGCGTCGTCGATAGCCTCGAGGCGTGGATCCTCCAGGGACATCCTTCGGCTTTGCATTTAACCGTCACTCGGTGGCTATCGTTCTTCTTGTAACGGAATCCAAACTGATTCGCTATAGCGTACTTGCGGAGAGCTTCACGGAACTCGCCTACGTTTTTAAACCTCTGTCCAACGCCTGTGATTGTGTTCTGCCATTGCTGCGTTCTCGCCTTTGTGAGGATGTCTCCTTTCGGATTCGGGACTTCGATGATGGAGGACATCATATCCGGTGGAGTTATCATAACCTGTGAGTCTAAAGCATCGACTTGCTCCATTGTTACAACGGGAGGAGCTGAGACTGAGACTGAGAGGGGGAGATGATGATCCTCTGGTCCCGTTGTGTCATCTATCATGTCGTCAAGAGGAGCTGGAGGAATGGCTTCGGATAATGTCGTTCTGCTAGATCTGGAAGCAATGTCAGGAGGAGCTTCTTCAGGTAAGAGATAGACGTCGGCGGTGTTTGAGTGCTCGTGAAACTTGATCATCCGTTGCAAGTCTTTATCGTTGGAGATGGAGATGAGAGTTTTTCTGTTGTCAGGGAGGAAGTATTTGAGACAAACTGTCCTTACGTCGCAGTTGAAGACCTCACCAATCTCTGAGGTGAAGTCTTTGAATTTCATCTCTTCGTCTACGTCTATGGCGTGAGCTTCGCCGCCTTTGTAAGACAAAACTCCGCCTTTCTCCGTCTGAAATTCTCCGCCGGATATACATATTGCTATGACCCTTTTCTCTGACATGTCCTGTAAACACAAGGAGAGCAAAGAAACGCACTTTCAGAGCCAAAAAGACTGAAACTTTCTGATTCTAACTCAAACATAAAGCATTTGGCTAAACTTGAATTCACTGCTCATGAAACCACAATCACGGATCAACTATTTCATTTCGATGACAACGGAACATACAGAGCTAAAAGATTGAAACTTTCAGATTCTAACTCAAACATAAAGTTCCATTTGGCTACAGAAACTTGAATCCACTACTCATGAAACCACAATCACGAATAAACTATTTCATCTCGATGACAACGGCACATTCAAAGCCAAAAGATTGAAACTTTGTGATTCTAAACTCAAACATAAAGCATTTGGCTCCTGAAACTTGAATCCACTGCTCATGAAACCACAATCACGGATAAACTATTTCACTTCGATGACAACGGAACATTCAGAGCCAAAAGATTGAAACTTTCAGATTCTAACTCAAACATAAAGCATTTGGCAATCCACTACTCATGGAAACCACAATCATCATCAGATTGCAATGAATAAACAGTCGGAATTGATTAAAAAAAAAAAAAGAGAATTTTTGGGGGAAGAAGAGGCAAAGCTATCAACTTTAAGGTCCAATCTCAATTCCAGAACACCTAATCCTCGTAAACCCTAAGATTGATAAGCTCGGGTGCTCGAGACAGCTACAATCTACCACCTAACCGAACGCCGCAGCAATACTAACTAAACATTGAAGATGACATAATGTCTGATAGAAGGTTACAATACGATGTGAATTAGGCTCAGGGAGAATCATAAAAATTGGGGCAAAACTTTCAAAATTTTGGGAATTGGGCTGCGAGAACCCTAGAATCGAGAGATTTAAATGTGGGCATTAAGATAGAGCGATCGAATTACCTCAATATAGCGGAGAATCGAGAAACCCTAATCGGATATTGAAGTTTTATTATGATTGAAATTCTCGGAAGTTAGCTCGAGAAAGAAGAGGGAAGAGCCTCTGAGCCTGACGACGGACCCCTCGGATTTTTTTATTTTCTTCTTTTGCATTTATTTTTTTGGAACATAAAATTACGTGTATTTGAGTTCTATTGGTTATCCTATCCGAATTGGAAAATAAAAGGTTTTTTTTAATAAAGGCATTGGAAAAGAAAACTTACGGCAAAATGTGTTTTCTTTTTTAATAAAAAGGAAATTTCGTAAATGAAAAAAAAAAATATATATATATATATATATATATATATATATATATATACTATTTGAAAAATGGGAGAAACAAACTCATGGATGATACAAAGCGTAAGAACACAAAATTGTTTTTGTTTTTGTTTCTTTAATCCCTCAATTCCAGTGTCGAAGATCACGCCACGACAGAGATATAAGAAACTGAATAAACTATTACTAGTGCAATGCAAAACAATTAACACTATAACCCAATATCTTGTTAAAGATCACATAATTGATATGAGGAGTATAATTTTCAGAAACATTAACCAGTTCATACATGCATGTCGTTTTGCAGATTGCCTCTCATCAACACAGCGTGCCTAATATCTTATTCATTCGAATTTTCTAAACATTGTGCCATCTAAAGCCAAATAACGTATCTCCTATCATATGCTATGCAAAACGAATGAATGGTTTACAATTTCACCAAAGATAAAAAGAGAAAAAAAAACGCAAGAATCAGACCAGAAAGGTAGAAAGAAAGCAATGGAATGTGGATTCGTTTTATTTTTGGGTGTATATATATGCTATGGATTCCTTTCGTTTAAGACAAAAACAATACTTATAATTATTGTAACTGATCATGATTACAGCTAATATAACATTTATAATCGTAAACTAATGCGAAGAACCATAAAAAAAAATGCAATAAAAATGATTCTACGTACAAGTTGGAGCATTACTAATTATCTGTTGGCTCTCGCTCGAGTACGTCTTCCGATGGTTAATTTGGTTCACGTGATGAAAAAGAATAGGAGTATTTGAGTGGAGAACTTTTACTCGCGAACATAACATAAACTTTTATATATTATTCGAATTGGACATTATTCACGTGTTTAAGCTCTCAATTAACTAAACGAACTGATTTAATTGTGATAGTAACCCTTTGGTATATATATGAGAGTTTATCCTTTTTGTATGGTAGCAACAATATCATGTTAAAAAACTCTGATGGTCTATGACAAACCATAACAGTAGACTCCGATCCTGATTGATGAATGGACTCCGATTTTCAAAAGTTCACCAATCGGTTAAATATAGCCATGCGCGCCCATATATGTACGTACGTAGCATAAGTAAAAATAATTAAACTTATAGTTCTCAGTCTCATTCTTTACAAATACTGCGAATATTCTTGTTATCTTCTAGATCTATCGTTACTTATACAGTTATACAACCATCTAATATACTAATAAAAAATGTTCCGTTTCAGTTGGCTGGTCAAATTGGGAGATGAATTCTGACGGATGTGGATTACTTAGCTCTGTTTACAGCTACAATTATTGCAGTTTATAGCCGAAAGATTACCAAAGAAGCTTAGGATATTTTCTATGAAAAGAGGCATAATAGATATTATCTAGTGATTATCATGTATAGCTTGTAGTTGTTGGATATATTCCACAAGAAGCAAGAAAAACTCTTATTATATGAGTCTTTTTATTCTCCAACAGATTCTTTTTCACTTCCCTTTTTGACTGTTTGCTCTTCTCTTCTCCATTTTTCCTTGTTATTGAGTATATTTTATATGATGATAATTATAATACTGCTTCCTCACCAGATTATAGACTTTTTATACTTAATCTATTTAGTATTTTACTTTTGGCGCGCGTAATACATGCAATCAATTCACTGTAGTCATCTCTATGCTAATGTGAATCGGATTATTAGTTCACCCACTTACGTTCAATATAGTATTATTACAAAGCACAAACCCAACTTTATTTTACACGAGCCTATAGACTATACAAAAGTCGTGCGTATTAGAAATAGTCTTTAAAATGTTAAGGTTCAAATTAGAATTATCTTCATAACGTGTTATCGATGAAAAGTACATAGTATTAGAGTGATTTTTTTTTGGCATCAGTATTAGAGTGATTAATTGATGTAATTTAGTGATTAACAAGAAAAGTGTTTAGAAAAATAATGAAAGTGGCCTTACTTAGGCAAGACTTGCTGAGATTGGTGGGGAAAAGAAAAGAAGGAGAAGAAAGTAAAAGTATGTTTTAGTTTGATAGTAACGAGAGGAAATTCCAGTTTAATTAAAAAAAAATTAATAATAAAACAATTTGTTAGAAAGATTTGGTTCCAAAAGTATACTACAAAAAAAGGAGGTTGAAGAAAGTGTGAGAGAAAAGAACAGACCAAACAAAACAGAGAACTTGGATGCCTAACCAATGCTTTTGTTTTTGGGGTCAATTAAAGCTAACACACATTACAAGAGATTTTGCAAAAATTCCACCCCCATCTGATTGTGTTGCCACACTCCACGTGTCAAAGTTTTGTGCCGTTCGATCGACTGTGATATACACGCGTTATGAATTTATATTTGATATTAGGGTTTAATGAAACTGTTACACTGTAAGTCTGTAAATATTGACATTGTTTCTTGAATCGATATACAAACTCTTGAAACAAAATGCAAACGATTAATGAAGATTTGGTGACAAAACATTTAGAAAAGCCAAAGTCTTTGTTCGAGTATTTGAACTATTTACATTGTTTGGAGTATTTGAACTATTTATATCGAGTGAATAATTGTTAGAAATTCAGGTATATATATCAGTTTAATCTTTTTTAACCATCGGCCATATTTTACTGCAGAGGTTACTACGATGATCTCAATTTTAATACGCACTGCTGATATTAAACATTTTTGGATGGCATTTTTTCAATGTAAAAAAAACATTTTTAAAATGACTCGTTAAATTATTATATTATTGGTTAACTCGTTAATATTTTTGGTGAGCCACATGCCTTATAAATACATATGCAAAACATCCTCTCCACTTCAGGCACCAACACATCAAAACAACTTCTAATTATAAACCTCTTTCCTCTTTCGTGTCTCTTCTTGTTCTTGTTCTGTTCCAAAACCGGACAAATTCAAGAACAAATACTAATGGGAGGAAACAGATCACACAGTAGCAAGAGGTTCTCTCTCTTCAGCTTCTTCAAAACACGAAGATCTCACAGAGTGGAAGTGGACGCCTCATGGGATGACGTCGCTTACACTCGCAAAGCAATGGCTAGTGACGAGGACAAACGCTATTGGGTCGCTGAACCAGGCATCGACCGCAAAGCTTCCGCTTTCATCGCTAAATTTCATGAGACTCGTGTCTCTGAGTCCGAGCGCCAAACTCTCTCTCCTTACCAATCCGACAAGGCATGATGATGAATGATGAATATGATGATCATTTTCTGATTTGATTCTATGTAAATTGTTTTTTTTTTAATATTTATTTGCTGTGTCCTTCTGAGAATTTGTTGATTGTGTCTTAATTGTAGTTAATAATTGATCTTTCTTCACAATTTTCTTCTTCTACCTTCACATGAATTTTTACTTTCTTCCATCGTCGCTACTTAAATAATCTAGCTTAAATCATATGGACTGTTTTTGTTGTGTCGGTTAATATACCTATTCAAAATAACTGGATTCGACTTATAATCATACATTCTTGACTTCTTGTTCCTTGTAAAATCTTCATAGTCATTTGAAAATGAATAGAAGGAAACAACGACTATTAAATTCTCAATGAGAACTCTTTTTAATGACTTTGAGTGTAATAAAGCTTTTTCGATATAAATTCAAAGTAAATCACCTGATAAACGCCCACTTCACTTTTACCAGTGTTACATAAAAATTGAAATAACAAGATAACTGAGGCTTGGAAATACCTAAACCAATTGCACCTAATTATCAGTATGATTATTTATTCAATTAATATTTGTGCAGAGAAGATCGATCATATATTAAAGACCAATTCCATTATTTAATAAAAAAATTTAGTCGACCCATTGAAAATAAAATACTATAAAAAAAAGATCTGAAGCCAGCTAGTAGAATCAAGAACTTTATATGATTGATATTATTTGGATGGAGGGGAGGTCCTTGTTTAGTTCGTCCCCTCACATAATGCTGCTGTTGTTGTACAAAAGGTACATTTTGAGAGTACTTTGATTCCTCTTCTTCTCTTTTTTCCTACGCTTTGAGCCTTTTCTTGGTTCAAACACTCTTACTTTTACTGCCTATTTACCACAATATTCCCTCTAGTTATTTAAATGGTTGTAAGTCCAGTTATTTCCTAGTGGTGTGCTTACATAACTCATAATTTGTGAGTGTGTCAGTCTACAAGATTCGATCAACACAAATTAAAAAGGAGAAAAAAACACAGCTTACTTGATGCAGCTACGATTTGATGTTTGATGCATACATGATACATCGGTTAATGATTTCAGAGTGTAGTAAAGGAAGACAAAAAAAAAAAAAAAAAAACAAAACAAAAGGTTGAATACTAGGCTCAAATTCGATTTATCAAAAAGAGATTTGATTAGTCCAGTATGCCGACAAAATAAAGTATAAAGTCAGAATATGTAAAAGCCATTGGAGTACTAAGTGGAATCTTTGGAGTTTGGAAGACTCCTTAACGGCCAGTACTCATCGGTCTCTATCAATTGACTAGTTTGAGTAACGCGTACCATCTATTTGCACCCAGCATGAATCTTCACTCCCAAATTTGTTCGACACAAGGATCAATTCGCAACAGCATACAAAAATAGAAACTAATGTCTAGTCTAAAGATAAAGATTTAAAGAAAAAAACTCACGTGGGTCGATTTAGTACTTGGACATGGAAACAATCCAAGAGTCAGTTCCACGTTGTATATTTGACATTTTCACATTGTGTATACAAAGATTTCATCGTACTACCAGCTATAATATTGTTTAATGTACTTTACAGTGTCGTCTTATTTATTAATATTTGGGTAATTATTTAAAATAGCACAAAAAAAGTTTTTGATCCAAAACTATCATCAGTAGTTTTATTTTCCAGCTTATGCCATAAAATTGATGTTTTCCAAAAATACCACAAAACTCTCAAAATAAAATTGAAATCCTAACAACTAAACCTTAAACACAAAATATTAAACCCAAACCAAAATATTTAAGTTATAAACCATTGAAACTCATTTTTAGTGTTCTTGGTATTTGGGAAAAGGCCATTTATTAGTACTTTTGTAAAAATATAACTTGATGGTACTTTTAGATTAAAAACTTATATTAGTGGTATATTAAGGTGTTCCTTTGATTTTATTTGTATGGATGTTAAATTAAATCAATATGGAGAAAAACATAATATATTTTTTCAAAAACACGTTTAAAAATTTAAGTCATAAAATAAGTTTTATTATAAAACAGAGAAAACAAACAAATTCTCCTTAAACAGTACTCTCTCTGTCTCATATTATAAGCTGTTCTGGCTACATCCAGAAAATTGCAGATACATAATACCAAAACAGCTTATAATATGAGACAGAGGGAGTACATCATAAGAAAAAACACAAACACATGCATGTATAAAACTAGGGAACTCAGTTCCATGAAAAAACAAGGGAAACAAAGACAAGACAAAACAGAAAAAAAAAAAAAGAATGATCAAATATTGATCATAACATGCATCGTCGACAGAGACGATCTAGGACTGGTGGTGGTTGCAGTGATTGTTGCCATCCATCGCAGGAAAACTCATTTGTTCGGTCTGGTTCAGGATCTGATCAACAAACCAATCTTCCTGCTGAATCTGATTTTGATTCGGAATGTAACCTCCATCTTGATCCACCATTGGATATCCAAACTGCTCATATCCAAACTGCTCTTGATACTGAATCTGATTATAACGTTGTTGGTTATTAACGTCAGGAAGGAAAATATTCCCAAAAGCATTAGCGTTAATGGGCTCCAAAGCCCATAACTCATTCTTTAGCAAAGGAAGAGGAAGAGGAGAGTTGGAAACATTAGTAGCATTTTGAGTAGAAGAGGAACCCACTTCAGCTATAGCTGCCGGTGCCCTGGCACTAGCAGCTGAAGAAGATTCTCCAAATTCAAAACGAGTTTGGTTTACAAACTCAGCCCTATGTTTATAAAGAACCTTAATATATTTTTCAATATGCTTACACAAATCCTCATGATGTCCATCAGCCGTAAGCATGTTCCCTTGCTCAGTAAGAAGAAAGAACATGGCCTCCCTCATCATCAGCTCCTTGTTTTCATTCGTCTTCCTCTCGCTATTATCCATGGTTTTTGTGATGGTTCGCATGAGGAAACCTTCATGATTCACCATTTTCTTCTCTTGGTCAATCTCTGGCATCGCCTCGAACTTCTCCACTACGGTCTTCACTCCCGTGTTTGATGGCCACACCTCTGGATTTGAGCTGAACGGACTGTTGACAACGGCACATGCTTCGATTCCGCAGAGAACTGTGAGCTCCTCGATTTTTTTCATAAACCCTTTCTTCCTCTTGTTGTATGATACTTTCCTCAGCGTATCATTGGGGATGTAAGCTAGGTTTAGCTTCTTCCTCGGCATAGTGATGACCACAGTAACGCTTTGTTTGTTTGTGTTGTTTGGTCTGTCTATATCATGTTGTGTGTTTCTTCTGTATGATGCCTATTGCTCTTGTGAAGAGTTCGTTTAAATAGAAAATGTAAATGGTCCAAAATTCGAAATGATGCTGTCTTGTAGCTGGCAAAAAAAATGAAAACCATAGGTATTAAATTCGTGAAAATCCTTAAGTGATTATATTTATGAAATAGTGCTTAATTATTCCACGAGTAACAGAGGATATATATACATTCATTCAAATCATTTACCTTTTGGCATTAGGATGAAAGGACTATTTTTAGAAACATATATCATACATTGCATATTTTGAATAAAATTATTTTTGGTTGTGACTGAAAATGTTTTTGTGGTTTTCAAATCCTCATGATCTCCATCAGCCAAGTGCATTTTTTTTTCAGTTTTGAAAAAATTAGTTACTTTTTCTTCACAAATAGTTTTTTTTTAGTTTATATGTACATGGTTTGCCATAGCTGTTGCCGGTAGGTGTCATTCTGATCCAATGAATATAGAATAAGCTGTTGCCAAGAAAAAACGAAACCGGAAAATAATCTAACCGAAAAAAGGAAAAACAAATGCCGAATAAGCGAAAAACGAAATCGGAAAATAATCTAACTCAAATGAAATCAGAAGCATGTACACGGAATTGGAAGCATTTAAAAGTACAAAACTGTATTTAAAATAAAAATAAAAAAAATATATGTATATGTTGTCGTCTGTTAATATCAATTATATATATGAATAACATAGCTCAAATATATCAATTTTATATTACTCAACTAATAATAAATAAAAAGTAATTCAATTCAAAAACATAATTAATTTCTTCATTTTATGTTTTCTCAACTCAATCAAATAAAATCATCTCATATTTTATGTTATTAAATAAAGATCATTGAATTCAAATCTTTCAAGATAATCTCATTGAACTAGTTAGAAATAATCACTCTCAGCATTTCACATGTATTTAAATCAATTTTTTAAAGATTTTGTGTTATAGCTAAAGATAAAAATTAGACTTTGCAAATGCCAAAAATGTCAAAGTAAACATGTGTTATATTAATTGTCGCTTTTGTATAACTTACAAAATCAGGAAGATATAAAAGTATTATAATTTTTTATTTACGATGTTTTCAAAACGGAATCATAAGATCGTAAACTTCGAAAATATTTTTCTAGGGTTTTTTTAGAAAGTGTCATGAAAGCGAACTTCTGATTGCGATTCTGATTCCGAAATGGAAAACATCTCCGATGAGACTTCCGTGCTACATAGAAAATAAGTTAGGCCGAATCCAAAGATGAAACTGGTTGGTAGTGTAAAATGTTTCTTACACGTGACAGAATCAAACCATGTAAAGTTTTAAATTAACGAACGGATCACAATGATTTCCAATTGTGTCACTCATCAAATTATAGAACGAAAATTTCTACTTTCCTATATTTGTGAAGAATTTGCGAAACAAAGTTGCTTTTTGCGGTTAAAGATTAATGTTACCAAATTAAACGACGAACAAACACAAAATTCTAGACTCTGATTATAAACTCATAATTTGCCACTACAATTGTTGGCAATAACAAATTTGCCACTAATTTTCTCTGACCTGATATAGAGAAGACATAACACTGGATGAACTAAAAAAAGATATAATACATAACAAATCAAACATTTGTAACTCAAAAGTCAAAACCATTTGTCAAAGGAAAAACATTGCTAGCACTAGCGCCCAAATCGACGAAGATGCTTTAAAAACCGATGGTGATGTTTTCTTTCATTCCAAGGAAAGCCTGTTTGCTAAGAATGTTTCTTCATCTCCTCAACGAACAATTCTTTCTGATTCTGATTTTGATTTGGATAGTAAACTTCTTCTTCGTGAGACACAATCGAGTAACAATATATAGATGTTGATATTGACTATATGAAAATAAAATACATGGATGTCGATCGCAAACACAAACCTGATAAACTTCTTGGTCGCTATGATCCGTGGTTTGAAGAGATTATGGACTAGGACCTCTTTGGTTAGTTGAGAAGAGTTCAAGACTGAGGGGTTTAGAAAGGAGGAGGAGCCTGCTGCAGCCATAGCGGTTGGTGTTATATCTCTGGTCATAGCCATTGAGGAAGTTTCACCGGTTTTAAAAACGTTGATTGTTTATGGTTACATTTTTACGATGAAAAAGATCACGTACTGAGATATTGATCAATAAAGTCACACAAGTTACGACGATCATTATCGTTCATAACCAAATTAAATCTCACATGTTCTCACCAAGACAAGCGGACATAATAAGCTTTCTCATGAATTTCTCCTTATTATTTTCCATCAATATTTTATTAGCGAAATTTAACATTAATTAAAAAGATAATGCAAATCTCTTTTTGAAAAAATAAATAAATAAACAAACCAACAATGACAAACAATAAAAACGAGAGTATCACAAATCCATAACATTAAAAACGGTAAGAATTAAGCCGTTTAACAAAAACAAAAAAAAACTTGAACATTCAGAGTTTCTGACAATAATCATGACAAACGACAACATAAAGAAAGTAAATTGAAATGAAAATGTGTAACAACCAGAAAAACAAAAACACTTGAGAAAATCTTATATAGCTTATTAGAAATGTGAACGGCCACCCTCGAAACCCTAACGGAACCAAATATTATTGGTAAAGTTAGGACTCGTAACAGGGACGATGCTGCTTGAGCTGACGGTGGTCGGAGCGGCGGAAGACTCGCCGGAGTTCTGCTGCTGCTGCTGGGGTTGGTGGTGGTGGTGGTGGTGGTTGCGGTGGTGTTGGTTATCATCCATGAACGGAAAACCCATTTGCTCAGCCGCATAACTCATTTGCTCAGGATGGTTCATCATTTCCATAAACCATTGTTGTTGGTTCTGAAGATGACTCTGATTCAGATTGAGACCCCGTGGTTGCTCATAGAAGCCAGCATGTGGAGCCGCCGGAAGACGGAAGTGTTGAGGCTGAGGCTGGTGATGTTGCTGCTGAATAGGGTTAAAGAAAGCCATGGCAGCCGCGGATGAGGAGGAAGCACCCACCTCGTGAACCGTAGTAGCTGGAGTGGTTGCAGCCGGTACAATCGCCATCAAGCCAGAGTCAGTCCCTTCAGCAGGAGCCTCAGCCTCAGCCGCAGCATTGGAAGATTCTCCGATCTCCATACCAGCATTCCGCATGATCTCGATCCTGCGGTTAACATCTTTAAGATATTGATCAATCAAATAACCTAAATCATTAAGATCCATGATATTCAGATGAAACATCCCCATGTTTCCGACCAAACATTGGAACATGACTTCAGTCATCTCCAGCTCCCTGTTGTCCTTTCTCTGCCTCTTCAAGTGCTCGGAAGCTTTGGCTATCCTTTGCCTGAGAAAGGTCTCTTGGTCCACCATTTTCTTGTGTTGGTCCATCTCCGGCAACGTCCGGAATTCCGAGATTACCCTTTGCACACCGGCGTTCGATGGCCACACCTCGGGGTTGGAGTCGTATGGACTGTAGATGATGGCACAAGCAGTGATACCGCATAGTGTCGAGAGCTCGTTCACTTTCTTCATCAAACCTTTTTTTTTGTAAGAGAAAAAAAATAGAAAGAATAATTCACGGTTATATATTAAACTTGAATGTGGTTTGCTAAAACTTGTGTAATTTCTGAATAAAAGTAAATCGTGGATATGTATGTAAAATTCTTCATCAAACCTTTCTTTCTTTTCTTAAAGGTCGCCTTCCTCGAAGAATCATTGGAAATGAAAGCAAGTTTCACCTTCTTCCTTGTCATGATGGATTTTCTCTCTTCTTATTTTTGTGTTTGTTTGCTTTTTTTTGTTTTTGAATGAATGGGAGTTGTGAATTGAGTTCCTGGATGTGTTGTGTTATATAGTGAAGAAGGGGCACGAAGAAAAATATTTTGATTACACTTTTTTTTTTTTAATTTGTAGTTAGTCAAAGAAAATATAATAATTATTACATAACAGCCAACAACTTTTTGAATCTTTTTTTTCTTTTGATATATATAAACCGGATCACGTTAGTAAAAACAAATACTTGCGAATATTTGGAATAATTTTTAAGATTTGGTTTACAAGTAGGTCAAAGTTTCTTTTTTAATGCAATTCTGTTATTATTTTTCCTTATTGGAGCCTTTGAATGTGGTTTATTTGACTTGTAAAGTTACCGCGGACTAAAGAATAGAGATACTTCTCAAAACGTCATAGTCATATATCTCACCCTTTTATAAGATCGCACTTGGTAATAAGTTCGACATTATCGAAAGTCCAATGTTTAACAAATAATGAGAAATATTAGTTGGGAACAAAAAGATTAGAATTGTTCATAATTAATATATCTTTTAGTTTTACTAATATTAGTTGGGAAAAAAGCGTCTAGTGAAGGAGATACTGACAAATCTTGAATTATGAACATAATATTTCATTGTTAAAGGTAGATTCTAGAATTGGTCAATTGATGAATAGATACATGTATTTGTTTTTTGCTGATAAGAAATGCACTGTAGTAAAAATCCGTTCAAATAATATATCTTTTTGGGCAACAGGATTTATTTTTATTATTCAATAATATTTCTGGAAAATCTTGAAATATGAATGCATTTTTATAGGTGGATTCTAGATTTGGTCAATTGATGAATAAATACATGTATTTATGTATTGCTAATAAGCCATACAATATAACAAAATCTATTCAAATATTATATCTTTTTTGGGCAATGGCATTTATTTTTATTATTCAATAATACTGTTTGGAGCAAAAAGTTTTATATGTAGTAACAGTCAAATCATATGGTACAAAATCTAGACCACATTAATACAATTATGTGTGATTTGTTTCTTTGTAAATATCGTTTTAGACTAATTAGATCTATTAAAAAATAGATTTCGTTTTGGGATTTTAAAGTAAAAAATAATGACAGGTTGTTGAATACATTCACTATCTGTTAAGGTATTTTTTTTAATTAGAAAAAAACATTTTCAAGGATATTTTAAAAACTGGCCCAAGTAAGATTTTATTTCCCATTTGTCAAATATGAATTATTTTTGGATAACAACAAAACTTGTTTTTCTAAATATATGGTGATGTATTTTGGATAACATTCATACAGGTTGTTACTTGTTAAGAGTTAAGACAGTCAGTCATTACCTTTGAACAAGTGTAAATCTTTTCAAAATATATTTTTCCTTTTGGACTAGCATTTGATATGCATGTCTTTACAACAAAGCTTTGTTATATTTTGTATTTTACAAAAAAAAAAAAAAAAAAAAAAAAAAAAAAGGTTTTCTTCTAAGAACATTTTTAAATAGATTTTTGGTTAATGGTTATAATAAAGGCATAAAAAATGAAAATTACAGGAAACCCAACCCAGGCCCATTTGTTTAAGTTAATACCCAAGAGGTCCAAGTGGAAGCTAACTGAACCAAAATTAATAAACCAGAATATCGGTTTAAGTTGCAGAATCGGTTAGATGTGTGGAATTGAACCAGAGAGATTGTGAGTGAATCTCTCGGAGAGAAAGATCTTCGCGATCGAATTTTGGAGGAGAAGATCATCGAGAGAAGAGCAGAGACGATTAAGTAAGGGCACGCATTGGAACCAAAGTTGGAGGATTGCAGAAGCGATTCTCGAACTCGAATCCCTGAGGCTTGAAGCTTTGGGTAAGATCAATTTGTGAGATAATTGAATTCTGCAGATTTAACGCTTTCCCGATGGATTTTCTGATTACTTACACTCCAAATTGTCGCTTTCGATATTAAAATAGCGACTAATTTGTGAGCTTTTTAGATGCAAAATCCATTTTTTTTATTATTAATGTAAGGCATATAGAAAATCTGGAACTACACACTAGTGGTTTATGTATGCTTTATATGTCTTAGAGTGTAAACAGTGTCTTGTGGAACTGAGTGAAAGGTTTTTTGTTTATTCAGGAGGAAGCTATGAAAGTCAAGATCTTGCGTATCCTTTTTTTTGCTTCACCTTCTCAGTTTACTTCATTGTGAGCTGCATTAAGATGTAGCTTTGGTGATCACTCAGAACATTATGTTCTTTCTGATATGTAAATAATCCAAGTCCATTATTATTGTGTTGTAGCTTTACTGAGTTTGATCATTGTTTGCATCTACCATTGGATTTTTCATGTAGTTGAAATCTATTAGTTGCTTGTTTTGACTTACCAATAGTTATTTTGTGAGTAATCTTGTTAGCGGCCTAAGTAATGCTTATAAATTAGACTAGGTTTGTTCAAAATGGACTTTGTTGCACAATTAAAGATAGTACAAAAGGAATTGTTGTTCTTGACTTTCTATGATACTTATGTCCTGCACACCGAAAAAAACAGAGTAAGTTCCTCTTCCTTTTAGCTTATCGTGTTATCTTTATATAATCTCAGCTTCAACACATAAGCTCTTACAATGCGGAGTTGCTTTTGATTTAACGGGTTGTTTTATTTGGGGAACAGATGGCATGCAGTTGCTTCATGGACATGGGATGCTCAAGACGAGACATGTGGGATATGTCGGATGGCTTTTGATGGTTGTTGTCCTGATTGCAAACTCCCTGGAGATGATTGTCCTCTAAGTAAAGTTTCTCAGCTTTCACGTCCTTCACTTTCATTATTGTAGCGTAGGACACAATCTCTGATGCGTACTGCAAGTCTGCAAGATTGCTTAGCTGTTTTATTTACTTGTGGTGGTGATAAAAACAAAACAAAACTACCAATGTCTTATGGACCGTTTTGTTTTGGTGTTAGGGTAGTTTGGGGAGCTTGCAACCACGCGTTTCATCTTCACTGTATATTGAAATGGGTGAATTCGCAGACGAGTCAAGCTCATTGCCCCATGTGCCGAAGAGAATGGCAGTTCAAAGAGTAAGCAGAAATGGAGGGTCTTTGTGCTTATGGATGATCTCTTGGCAAGTTGTATATTTAGAGTTTTAGAGGGAAGAGAGAACTTTTGGATTGTTCTTGAGGCTGGACTTAAATTTGAATGCTTGTACAAATGGGAGGTCAAGCAAATGTATACGTAACATCATATCATGATTTTGTTGTCTTATATGCTTTGATTTATAATATGATGTTTCTTTGTGGTTTAGTTTTCTTCGTATCACATTGCCCTTTGGTTTTGTTAATATTTGGCTTCATTCTTAGTAAAGACTTCAAAAAAGATGGAATCGACGAGTGGCTTCTTAGTTATCCGCCATTTGGATAGTGACTCACAATTTTCAGACTCGTCCGTGACCACTGAGACAAATTGTACACGGGAAAACTTAGATATTGTTAATTTATATAGTCAAAATTTGATTTATTCGATTGGATTATTTTCTTAAGATATTATAGGTAGATATATCAAAAATGGGTCAAAACAACTTCTTGGTGAAAAATGAAAATGCGCTGTGTTGCTCGTGGCTGTGGCAAATGGTGCCAAGTAATGGGGCCAATTTATTGGTGATGAATTGATGCGTGTGACAATGGACTTATATAACGTAAGGTTTATTTAAATTGGTGGTCCAAATGATCCACCAAAAAGGCAAACAATTTTTCAGTTTGTAAGTGATAGCTAATTGAAAATCGAATAAGCAAATACTTCACACAATCCAAAGATCTCTTTTTTATATCGACAGAGATTATATAACAAAGCAAGCACAACAATGATGATTAAATTTACTCAAAGGTAAAAAGTAAAAAAAAAAACATAAATCCTGAAGAGAAAAGATGAATGAGTCACAAGGAGAGGAGAACACGACGAAACAGCTGTTTCCTACACAAAATAACAATTAAATTCTGGTCAGAAATTGATAATTAATTTACAACAATGCAACAATAAAAATCAGATGAAGAAAATAAAATAAAATTCACAAAAAAAAATCTGTTGAAGAACGAGTCGAAATTCACATTATATTTTTACCTAGATATTTATCGATACCAGTACATGTTTATCTCAGAAACTTTTATCAACAAAATCGTACTAAATTTAGATCAATAATATGTTTTTATGCCTTACGCTTGAAACAGACTCGGCCCCTGGATGGGTTTTTCATAACCAACTTTTGCTAAATTTTAGTTTAGCTATTTTCTTTTACAGATCTTTAGGGTTTTATTTGTTTTAAACCCAAATTATCAGAATTAACAGAGTCTACAATGTAGGTTTTCACCACCTAACAAATTTACTTAACTTCCTAACAAAAAAAAATCTTACTCCTAATCTAAAACTAATCTAGTTCCATGGCCATCGATCACATGTATGTATATATATATATATATATATATATATATATATAGAGAGAGAGAGAGAGAGAGAGAGAGCTTACAAGGAGATGAAGAGAGGATCGATGGTGGTAAATCATTTGGTGAGGACATAAAGGGCATAGAGGATCCCAGGAAGATACCCAAACAGCGTCAAAACCAAACATATCCAAAACTCAACCTGCAACAAAATACAAAAATCCCAATCAACTTTTATTTTTGTGAATTATGTGAAAGAAACCTAATTATAAAATTATAAAACTAATGAGAAGAACAGGTAACAAGAAAAAGAAAAAAAAAAGGTAATTACCCCGCAGCCATATCTGAGGAAGACGCCAAGAGGAGGCAAGAGGATAGCGAGAAGAATATCAATGAAAGTAGCTGTTCCCATCTCTAAGCTCTTTTCAAGTTTCTGAGAAAATTATTAAAGCTTCAAAGTGTGTTATCTTCCTTGCTCTCTCCGTCATGTATTATATAGACCCACTTTTGAGATATTTATGAGCCACGTATTGCTTAGCTTTTTCTTATTTGTTTTCCTTCTTCTTTAAGCTAAAATGCTAGACACGGATATTTTATTAGGAGATTTGTGAATATACCCCCAAAAGAGAGAACTATTGTCCCCTTACACTTTTTTTGAAATTTATCAAATCTGGACTCTAATACCCTTACATATGCTAGAAATATGATATAAATATATTTAAAAGTTTTAAAAAATTAAATAAATTAAGTAAAATGATTCTAAGGTTTAGAGAATATTTTCACAATTTGTTTTTGAAATTTGAACCTCAGAAAAATAAATAAAATTTGCATCTACCAAATTCATTATTCAAAGTAGAATTTGTCTTCTACTAGAGACTCTCACATCTATCCCTCGTAGAACATAAAATCTACCAACTGTTCAGCCATCTACCATCGTAGAATTTGCTTTCTACTAAATACTCTATACTCTACGAGTTGGTAGAGTTGTAGAACATTTGTTCTACGTTGTATACGGTTTTCTACCGTTGGTAGAACCTATATTCTAACCTACACATTGTTTTCTACCATCTCTAGAATCTATATTCTATCATAAACAATTTCTTCCACTATTTGGAGAATTCGTGTTCTACACAAAATACTATCTTCTACTATTTGTAGACTTTGTGTTCTCCTGAAAACAATGTCTTCTACTGTTTGTAGAAACTATAATCTACATTAAACACATTTTTCTACGAAATGATAGAATTCAACTTCTACGAGAATCTAAAAAATATAGTAAAAATGGTAACTAAATATTAGAAAATATCTTCAAAAACTATATTTCCTTAATCTACTTTGCCAGAAGAAAAAAAAGAATTCTCATCACGTTCTTCTTCTTCTTTTTTGCTTTTTCTTATCATTTATATAATTTTCTTTTAGATTATTTGTTTTAATCTATTTTTCTCAGGTTATTCTGTTGCATATCTATATAACATATGGAGACTGAGTGCAATCAAATGGTGGAATTTCGTTGTTGGTGAGGCAAAAGGAACTAGATTACTTGCTTTGAAATATATTTTTCTTTTCTTAAATAATTAATTATTTATTTGTTTATTACACTAATCATTTAATTTCATTTATTAATTATTTATTTATTTGAAAAAATCATGAAAACGTAATTTGAGGGTTAAAATTGGATTTAAAATTTAATTAAGGGTAAGTGGACAAGATTTGGCAAAAAAAGAGTAGATGGACAACTCTTCTCTTTTCTGGAGTATTTTGCCAAATTTCCCTATTTTATTTGTTAGTTTCCTAATATTTCGTAATTACTGATTAGCGTTAAACTGTTGAAAAGAGTGTAAGGAAAAAAAGTTTTTTTTTGCGCGTCACAGTACCGTGTTCACGTGTTGAGTGATGTCGACCGTATTAATACATGTATTTTTATTATTTTCAACATTTTAATCAAAGAGTCAGCTTCATATGATATACATAAAAAATATCTCGTAGACATTATAATATTGAGATTTGAGACCGTCTACGATGTTTAGAAAGTTACATTCACATATGTCGTATTCATATATACATATACCATTACAAATTTACAATCAAATATATAACAAATGATTACGCCGTTACAAACAAAAGTAGATGTTGATTAACATATTTCATTAAATTTATCGTTGATGTCACGTCGACGTAATATGGTAGTGAGAAGGATAAACATGTAAAGACTGTTATTGTAGTGCTGTGGCACATGATACGCATGTAACCTAAATAATTTTTATCTACTTTGATCCACTATTTGTTGTGTATCCGTTTCCGAAAAGTAAGTATCTCAAAGATCATGATATGTGTGATTTAGTATTTTGTGGCTGTGTCAAGTCAACCATTGGAATTAAAAATTTATATAATACATATTCTTGACATAAATAGATATCTAGTAACAAGCACAAATTTAGGGACAATATCAACAACTAAAAAAAATTACCAAGACAACTCCATCCTCGGAAAATAAGAACTACTCTAGAAAATGACGGTCGGCGTAAACAGAGATGGTGAAAAATACAATTTTGATGCATCTTCCCCATTTTGCTACAAATTTGTGACATTATAAGCTATATTCTACCCGATAATTAGAAGATATCCATTCGATGGTATCGAACAGAAACCTCTCTCAAAGCACAACGAGCGACAATACTTTGGACGCTGCATTCGGTATGCATCCAGGAATCCTAGTCACTATTCACCGTATGCTCGATTTCAGTTATTTGTATTTTATAAACAAAAACGTCTATATCGAATATATCAATAGTTGATTACTAACTACGAGTGGGATGTATGATGACGATTGTGTTGTATCTCTCGTGAACCACGTGAGTTTAGCATATATGGTGCAAAATTGTTGGTCATCGTGATACGAGATATGTGACCATGGAGTGATACATATATCTGGGTTTAACTTTTTTTAATAGTGGTCCAAAATCCTAATCTACTCCATTTCCAACATTTTACCAATACTTATAAACGAAATAAACCAGTTCCTCACATTCACATAAACCAACGATCGCTTCTTCATATCATTATATAACAGTGCAGGTACAACAATAATAATTAAATTACATAAATAAATGATGAATCAGTCCAAGAGAGAGAACACGACGAAACAGCTGCTCCTCCTACAAGATAACAACAAATGTAAAAAAATAAACTATGGTCAGCAAATTCCTTGTACTAGTAAAAATACAATCAAAAATGAAAAACATCTCATAACGTTACGTAACTATATGATTTTTTCTATCGAAAGTTCGAAACTAGACCGGTTTGTGGTCATTACTTTCTGTGGCCATCACGATTTACATGTATGTCTATGTGATTATATTAATATATATTGAGGGGAGAAGAGATCGTCGAGAGAGAAAACTTACAAGGAGACAGATCAGAGGATATGGGAACAACAATCAGTCCTTGGTGATGGCATAAAGAGCGTAAATGATCCCGGGAATATAACCAAATATCGTCAAAATCAAACATATCCAAAACTCAGCCTGCAAAAAAGAAAAACAAGATACGTTGTCGAAATTTTAAAATCATAAGATTAAAGAACTATATAAGTAGTAAAAATGAAGATAATCTAAAATTTATACCTCGCAACCAAATTTGAGAAAGACGCCGAGAGGAGGCAAGAAAATAGCCAGAAGAATTTCTACGAAAGTGGCTGTGCTCATTTTCAAGCTCTTCAAGTTATTAAGAAATTTTTTATGCTTAATCACTAAATCAGAGTATAATTTATCTTGATAAATGATAATTGTGGACTGGTTTACTCTGCTTGATATATGTCGCTATATAAAGACCCGACTTTAGAAATATTTTATGAGCCAAGCCACGTTGTACATACTCAGTAATCTGTATTTGTTTCCCCTTTTCCTTTGGAGTAATATGTGTATCTTTTTAATCTTTCTCTTTTGGGAAATCTTATTGATTTTATTTATTTTTACTTTCCTTTGGGGGTAGTGAGGTGTCTAACACATTACTTCAAACAAATCAAGTAATGAATGACTCTAAGATTGATGGTTTCATAAATTTAATGGTATAGGATTCATTCACATTATATACTTCAGATTTTTGTGTCATCTGATATCTATATATATATATATAATTAGCTTATTGGTTTGATGACTTTTAAATTCTAATCAAAATTCTTTGTTAATCAAAAAGTTTGTGTTTTAATAATTTCATGAATCCATTAAAATTCTTATTATTGGGATATGAATTTTAAACATTTAAATTCATAAAAACTTTCAAAATACTTTGTATAAATCTTAGATTCTCCAAATCATTATAATTAAACATTTTAATAGATTTATGAATATACAATTTCTCAACAAAACTTAAAAAAAAACTTTTTATAAATTTAACAATTCTCTCAACTTCAAAGATTTAACAAATCTATGTTTGTTATTCTTTCTCAAATGAAACCACTAGATTTGTTCTTATAATGAAATCCTACAGTAATATTTGGTAGCTATTGACGCCAAATCACATCGACACATTTTCGTAAATTTGGAATTGGTACCATATTTAACTCAGTAGAGTTCTTTTTTCTTTTTTGGAAGAGTGGAATTTTTATTTATCAACTCGTGGCGAAGTTCAATTCTAAAAGGCATTCATGTAATGAAAGTATACAATATACTGTTTATATAAGATTCAATGTTAAAAGCGCGATAAATATTATTTGAAAATAAAATATACGGTTCTTGGATTTTTTTTTTGTTGACAGAAGAGAAAACAAACAATTGTTTGCGTTTGGTTTTACAACTTTTAAGATTACGACCAAATGAAAGCTTAGATTTGACTAAAATTCATGGTACTTGTCAGAAAGTTAAGTGGCTTAACAGATAAGATACACGTAGCACAACACAACCCAAAACATTACTCAAAACCAATATTGTCGTGGGAATATGAGTGTGGGCCGGTACAATCTCCGCCGTGGAGGTCGGCGAGAGGTATGGATAGATATAACTCTCACACCTTCTACCAACAGAATGGTGACACGTGAACCACTCACATGCTTAAGTACTTTACTCTACGACTTTGGTCTTTTCATTTCTCAGTTTGCATGCACTGTATCGTTTCAAGATTATAGATGCAGTTAACATGGCTGGATACATATGCAACTTTTTTTCAATATTAAAAAGAAAATTGTTCTGACTGATAATAACTTGTTTACATAAATTAGTATTGCGTTTAAAGTAACCATTTGATATTTTGATTAGAAAATTTGTCCTGCATTATACTTATTGTTCGGACAACCAATAATACGTATCCTATATATTGTATTTGTACTAATAATTTGTATGAATGTTGAACTAGTTTTGGATTCATTCCAACTTCCGTTTATCAAAAGAAAACTAGTGTATAAAGTTTATAATTAACCAATCAATATTCAAATACGTTAATGACAACAAAGTTTAGCTGTCAGGAATAATCTTTGGAGCAAAGCAAGAAAGTTGTAAAATAACGATATATTGAGATCCTTAGTGACTAATAATCTTTCGAAATTAGTGACTTGGTGTGGATCATTCTACTCTGGCTTCATCTGTCAGCATAATAGCATATGTTCTTTTTTTCATAAAGTTGCTTTCTTGACACTCACACTTCAACACTCTTTCATTAAACAACCATAATTAAATTATATATTTTTACTTTATTTTTATTTATAAATTATTATGGCCGACACCAACGCATAACCATGGCATCGAAATGACACCACACATATTAATAGGTTTACTTTATATATATGATGTCCTAATCAAAGTAGTTATGTTCTTCTTCTTTTTTGGCTATAAGATAAGTGCTAATATCTGTCTCCAAAACTATTTGTCGATTCCTCTATGCAAACTTGACTTTAATAATATTTCGAGATTTCTAGATTTCGTATTCTTTTTTTGGTTGTTGTTGTTGTTTCGGTGTCTACATTCGCTGGTATTGCTTTTATCTTTGACAGAAAATGACAACAAACAAATGGTTGACAGGAAAAACTCATTGACAAACAAAAACGATGCTACCGACATAGGTCTTAGTATTTGGATCCATTCTTTACATTTGTTATTGGATCTTGTTTGGGACACATTCTAAGCCCATTAAGGGCCCATTTTTAAAGTAGCGCTTAAACAAGCAAGGGTCATAGCTTTGACATTTTCCCTCCAAAAAACCTCACAGAACCATCTTGAGTTTTGAATGATATATATAGTGTTTTGTTTATGGAATGTTATGTTGATGAATAAATAGAGTTGAGTCCATGATGATAATAATGAAGAAATTTCTCAAAACACATCCATAACACAAAGGCAAATCTTTGTAGGTTTACAGATATAAGTTATAAACCACACAAACGCATAAAAAAACAAAGATAAAAAGAATGTTCTGTTTTTTTTTCCCCACACGAAGCAAAAAAGCCAACAAAATAAGTAAAAAGTACCTTTGAAAACTTTTAAGGAACACATAACTCTTTATGATCACTTGACTTTGATTTCTCCTTTAGCTTCTTCACTTGACATAGTCTTAGAGCTTGGAGATTTTCCAATGATTGCTTTCTTTGCCTTCACAAGAGATTGCTTCACCTTTGACATAATGCTGTTCGAATTTTTTGGCTTCACAGGAGCTTCTTTGGTTGTGACTTCTGGTTGCTGTTTTGTCTCATCACTCCCTTCAACAACTGGTGCTGCCTCTATAACCTCAGCTACTTTTTCTGTTACTGTTTCTTCTTGTTTGTTCTCTGAATCTTCTTTCTCTCTTGACTCTGTATCAGTTTCTTTCAAAGTCTCTTCGCTCTTGCCATCTTCAGCAGCAGGTGTTTCAGAATCTTTCTTGATGTTCTCATCTTCTGTAGGTAGTTTAGTAACGACATCTTTGGCTTCACTTGCGTTCTCATCCTTTGAGGTGTCTTCCAATACATGCTTCTCTTCAGTAATGGCCTTCTCAATGACATCATCAGCAGGAGAAGAAATGTCTCCTCCTTCAGTCTCCTTTTTGGTGTTTGTGTCTGAATCTTCGCTTGTCGGTACAACTTTCTCAGGGCTCAAAGCAGAAACAGATTCAGAAGCTTCTTCATCCTTTGATGGTTCGTCCACAACATGCTTCTCTTCAGTAATAGCCTTCTCAATGACACCAGTCTGAGAAGAAGCGTCTTCTTCAGCCTCCTTTTTGGGTGCAGTGTCTGAATCTTGTTTTGTCGGTACAATTTCTTCAGGGCACGAAGCAGAACCAGATTCAGCTCCCTCAACCTTAGCTTCTTCGGTTGTTTCAGGTTCTTCCTCTGCCTTTACTAATTCAACTTCTGGTGCCACTTCCTTTGCTTTCTCAGGCTGAGTCTCAACCTTTGGCTCCACTTCAAGAACCTCAACGTCTCTGATGTTAACTTCTGTAGTCTCTGCAGATACATCGCTAACAGATTGAACATCAACTGGTTTGCCTCCGGCTTCATCTGTTGATTCAGAAACATCAACCACCTCCTTGTTGTCTTCTTCAACAACAACACTCTCCACGGTTTGTTTCTCTTCTGGTTTCTCCGTATCAGCAGCTTCAACATTAACATCTTTCACAAGAATAGGTTCTTTAAGCTCCACTTGTTGTTCAGCTACCTTCTTCTCACCATTTTCATCTTCCCCTCTCTCTTCTGCTTTCTCCTCATCAACAGGTGCGACATTAACCTCTCCAACAATCTCCTTCACAAGGATTGTTTCTTTAAACTCCACTTGTTCAGCTACTTTCTTCTCATCGGCAGCTTCAACATTAAGCTCTTCAACAACCTCCTTCACAAGAGTTGGTTCTTTAAGTTCCACTGGCTCAGCTACCTTCTCACCACTTTCATCTTTGCCTTTCTCTGTAGATTCCTCTGCTTTCACAACTGCTGCAACCTCCTCCACAACTGCAGGTGACTCTTTCTCCGGTTCACCAGCAGGATTTTGATCCTCGTTCGTAACCGTCAGGTTTGAATCTGAAACCGGTTCATCTTTCACCACATCTGCGGTTCCCGGCAAAACAATCTCTTTCTCTATCAACTTAGCTTCCTCGCTCACCTTGTTCTCTAATGGCTGCACCGGATAGAGACAAGAAACAATGTTTTAAATCTTGCTTCGTTTATATCATTGAACTAGTTACATACTTTAAAACATAAAGATGTTTTCTAGAAAACGACAGAAAAAGATGGTTACTTTAACATCCATGTGCTATTATCTACAACTTTCTAAAAAAGATCAATTCTTTTTCCTTCTAATTATTGCTCCAGAATTCTCCAAAATCTTACAGAATAAGAGGATTAAAACCAGGTTTAACATTCCAACACAGTGAAAGATGTACAAACCAAATCTTATCTCTTGACTCTATCCTAACTTTCATAGTTGCAGGAATCAAGATATTTGTAACTGTCATATCTATCTATAAGTATCACTCTGAAAGTACATGTACATACAGACAGACATAGATGAGTATAAACATATGTAATAAGATTCTATGGAACAGAGAGAGAATTTCTGAGGTAGCTTACCTTTTCAGAAGTAACTGCAGTTGCGGTCTGAGAATCAGAAGCCATGAAAGAAGATTCAGGAAGGAATGAGAAGAAAAAAAAGTAATGGACAGGGGTTCAACTTGAAAAAAACTTTGAGATTATTATTTTCAGAGAGTTGTTGTTGAAGAAGTTTAGTTTGACTGGAGAGAGAGCTTAAAAAGGAAACGATAGGTGGAAAAAAGCACTCACACATACACACACACAAAAGTGGGGAACACTAGATAGCTGTCTCTCACCCTAAAACCAGGGTGTCAAGTGTCAACACACTCTGTATATTCTCTCCTCTTTTTCACTTTCTCATTCTTTATCCCTTCCTTACTCTTTATTATATTGTTTATTCGTATCCATTATCTCTATCTGCATTAATAATAGCTAGCCTGAATTCTTTGTGAGGACCAATGTTGACATTTCCAATTCTACTTGCAGTGCAAAGAGAGGGAAACAAACAAAACAAGAGTCATTTCTCTGTTGATTGATTACATTTTAGTCTCTTATGAGCAAATTATGGTTTTTTCAAGAACACAGTCAATCATACATTTATCCAATGAGGCATTGGTAATAGTAAAGATACAAAGCCTTCTCCGTTTGAAAGAAAAGCTTTCTAATGTGTGTATATAAGAAGAATAAAGAACAGAATTAATCAATCATCTGAACACCAAGTTGTGGCAGCTCTTGTCACATGGGTATGGGCAATCTACTAACTTCACTTCCGCTCTGTCGAAGTACCAATCTCCAACGGCTATAGCCACCGCCTGCATTACACATAACAAGTCAAGATCTCAACTTTCACAAGAGGAGCAAGATCCGGAAACAGCCTTTCGCTTTGTGTGGGCAAAAGATTTGAGCTTTTTTACCTTTTTCTTGATGACAGGAGAATCATCGGCGAACCAAGTGTCTTGCCTCTCCGTTTGGCAGTGAGCAAAGCAAGAATTGATGAACAGTCCATTCTGTCTAGACATTGAGAAGCCCCTCACTACTCTCAGCATTTGATCCCTGAATCCTGTTTAAAGATGAAATGATTCAAGAGTGATCCTACACTTAGTAAAATATGAACATCCACACAAGTTTTATGATGTAAAGAGCAACAAACCTTGCAAGAACCGCATTTGTGCAGGAGTACATTTTTCATGGTTTAGTCTACAGTCATGCCAAAATCCACTAGGATCCGCTGACGTTGGAGCTATACTGCTTTGAATCTGATCACAACCCCATTACAAAGACTTGTCAGTTTAAATCATCAGGTTCTTCTACACACAAGCAATTTTGTGTTTCCGGAAGAGAAAAAGAAACTAACCTGCCATGTATCATATGCTGCGTTGACAATGAAAAGTGGAGTTTTTATCTGACTGATCAGATTTTGTGGGAAGAAACACTGTAACAAAATCGAATGGTTAATCTCCAGTTTACAAGTTTACAACAGCATTAGGTTGAGAGAAAGAAGAAGAAACAAAAAGATTACCGAGGTTGGATCGAGATGGTTTGTGCATATACGTGGCAGGTTGTTCTTCACGCTCTGTAAATGGTAAAACCACAGATTTTGTCAAGAAGACTTCTAAAAGTTTCTTTCTTTGAATGTAAAGTAAGAGCCTTTTGGGATTTCTTGAAGATGTATAAGTGAAGAGAGAGTAAATTTCACCTGCAATTCTACTATACCATTGTATAAGTTTCTGATAGTGCGCCCACCAGAAACATCGGCTCTATATAATTAACAGAAACAAACAAACCAGACAATAATACCAGTTACTAACTCGAGTGAAAAAGGAACAAAGCTTTGAGTTGGGAGGAGAAGCAAACTAACGTGTCCAAGAACAAGCCAGCATCACTTAAGCACTTGACTTTGGTGGATCCAGGGAAATAGTTCCTAAACTCATCACACCGTAAAATTGCTGCTAAACCACCAGCAGAGCATCCAGAGAGTAGTGCCTGACAGAATTATATCAAACAGTTAAAATTAAAACCACTTCTTGCTTTTGATCCTGAGGGGTAGACTAAGAGAAGGTTCAAGTGTCAAAACCTGGTTAGCGTATCGCATTCCTTTCGCCTTCAAATCATCTATCGCTGCTCTCCAGATACGCTCTCCTCTAAACTGAAGCTGTGCAGCCTGAAAAAAGTTTCAAAAGATGTTACATAAATCCAAAACCTGCTCAAATCTACAGAACTAAGACCAAACGAAGTGTTGTCCTAAAGGCCTAGAAACTAGCAAGTTGTTCCAAAACTCATAAATGAGTCAGACATTAACTCTATTCTCTGAAAAGTATATTGATTCAAACCTGATTCTGACCATCTCCACTGAAAGAAGCGCCATCACAGTAACGAAGCTTAACTCTATTCCAGTTGAAGAAGTCTGCAAAAGACAAGCACATGACAATGAGGATCAATGAGTCTCAAAGTTACATTACATTTACTAACACATGAACAAAACTTAAAGCCAAGATTGAGGAGAAACCAGGATTTTCTTGAGCTTTATCACTAAGTATTCCAGTAAACTGAAGCTGTTTCTCCATGTAGTTAGAGGATCCACGTCGAGTCTTCTTCCGGTATACACAGGTCCTTATGTTGTTGCACCATCCTCCTCCCTGTTTCACATTTGTTCAGTTGCAACACATTAATAATGAAGACTCTAAAAGAGTAGCTTTCATAGACAAGAAATCATTCAACTATACCTCCAGTTGAATGAGCCAGCTATTAGCTCCAGATCCATGTCCACGGTGCAAGTGATATCCAGGCAGTGTTCCATCCAAACAAACTGTTTTAAGACACGACCAAGTAAAACAAATCCAGATTCAATTACTGTTCTGTTTTTCCAAGGATACATCACAACATAACATTCACTGCATCTAAAATTCCGCTTTTGAGTTAAAAAAAAAACAGGGGAAAAGATGAAAGGAATCTTGAAGAATGCATAACAGTAAACGAAAGATAAGACCAAGTTAAGTCTGCAAGTGTACAACAGAGAGACAAGCTGAGAAGAATGTAGTTGAAGTGAATTAATGAAGAAACAAAAAGAAATGCAAAAGCAACCATTTTTGTACCCTTTTTTCTTTCCTTTTTGACATCTGAAAAAACTCATAAAAGAGAGATCTAATGACAGAAGCAGAGCAGAGAGAGAGAGTACCAGCTCCTGAATCAGCTCCTCTGATAAGGGTGAGACCAACCAATAAAGGGTTCAAATTGGAGCTATATTTGGAGAATCCAAACTCTAGCTCCTCAATGCGATCTACTTCTGTCACATTGAAATCTAAATACTCGTTTGCTTGAGCTCCCAGTATCAGCCCCGCCACAATAAACCCTATTAACAAAAGTTTCTCCATTCTCTCTCTCACTCTCTCACTAGAAGAGCAGAGTGAAAGCAGAAGAAGAAAAAACAAATCTCTGGGAGTGAGTGAGAGATATAAAGAAGAAAGGAACAATCTTTAAATGCAAACACGGAGTGTGTTAAAAGAAAGAATCGATCTTTGTAGAAAAAGAATGAGCTTTTCTGAGTTAAAGAAGCAACAAACAAACAAAAAGAGGAGAAATAAACGAAGAAGGAGCAAAGTAGTGAAATGGAATTCTTTGTATAATTCACTAACCAAAATATATATTAAAAAAAAATGGAAAAGAGTTTCATGGCTGGATTCACGGCTGGAGTTTATTTCCGAATTTTAAATTTAAAATTAATTCAGTCTGTTATTATATGACAAAGACAGAGACCATATTTTTTGTTTGCTAGATCTTAGTTCACACTTAAGCCGCTCAGCATCATAACAACGACAAAAACAGATATATAATTACTTTGATGTGTTTAGCACATGGAGAAAATGGGTCCATGGGATGGATATTTAGGCTGTGATTTCTATTGGCCTAGAGCCTGATATGTCCATCTCAAGATTTCTCGTTACAGCAATTTCAAGTGGACGATGAATATATTAAGCTGATTACAATAATAGTATACATATATTCAAGAACTAGCTAGTTGGTTTCTAGAAAACGATATTTGACTGTAATACGTTAACACATTTGTTAGCTACTAAAAATTTTCGTCAAATTTTGTTAGTATATAAGGAAAATTGAAGTATATGACATAAGCTGTATTTTTAGTAATTTGTAATTCTTATCTCTACATTATCTGTTATAGCAATTTGAAATCAGTCCATGTTTTTTTTGTTAAAGAGATCAGTCCATGTTGCTAAGAGAGAATTACTTTCTTTTTTTTTGTTAGAAAATAAAACAGAATCATTATACTTTGAACTAACGTTGACGTCAATATGAGTTGCATAACGAACCCTTAAGAATTATGATGATATCTCCCAACTCGGCTTTCCACTTTGGGAAGAAGCATGTGTGAAAGAAACAAGTGTTGATGGTGTAATGGGAAGTTGGGGAAAGTCATACCCCTTGGGAGATGCAAAAACACTTTGATACCTACCAGTGATGATTGTTATGTAATTAAGGTCTACGACATCATATAGGTTTGAAACATTCTTTTTATTGAGCACCGATATAATTGTTTTGATTCATTTTGACGCAACCAGCCATTGATGCCAATTACACCAATAGTATATGGTAAGTAGGTTTGTCTCTAGGACTTTAGGTTTTATTAATCTAAGTGTTTTTTTTTATAACATTTATTAACTTGAGTTGCTTCATCATATTTATATTTAGTTATAGCTCATGCTAATGGGTGTCGTATAATCACCAGATTCACCACAAGAATGCTTAAACTCTGATAAATGTAGATTTTAAGTTTTTGACAAAGATATAGATAGATCTATTATCTATATCAAACAAAAAAAAAGAAAAAGGTAGATCTGGTTTTAACAATACGTTTTTATATATAATAGTAAAAGACAACCCTAAAATTTAGTTTAGATGATCATTTAATAAAGAGATACAAGTGTGCGTGGGAGAAGTAAAGAGAGTCTAGCTAGTTGAAGAAAGGCAACAAAAATAAGAAAAAAACAAGTGTGCGTGGGAGATGGAGAAAATATGTTCTTGGTCTGATGCACATCATCACATGTTCATCTTACGCCGTGGTCGTCCACTTGCTTCGATTTCTACTTTTTTGTATTATGGTCCCTCACTCTCTACTATAAGTGCATACGGACCCTATACCCAAAAATGTGTCAAAAAAATTCAAAGTATACAGGCTCGAATTTGAATCTAATAAACAGACATTTGTCTTTGGATCCACTACTCTAGGAATAAAAACAGCTAAAAGATTGACTGATGTAATTTGAAGTATTCAAATTCGTCCATTTTGCAAGATCTTACAAATGTGTCCTTCTTGTAATACAGAAAATTCAGTGGGCTGGGCTCAGTGAAGTTACTGGACATTCGTTCGCTAATCTATTCTGTGAGCATTTTCTTTCGGTTACTTGGGAGGAAAAATCTCGGATTCTTTCTAGGGTTTAACGAAACTTTTAAGGCTACGAACGAACAAACAACTCTAAAGGTATTATTTGATTGTTGTTGTCGCTGTAGCATCCATTTCATTGCAATATCAATCAGGTCTCAATATGACACATTAAGTAGTCTCCATGTGACAAAACAGAGCAATGTTCCTGAAATCTTAGGTGCTTATGTGATAAGAACCTGAATGATTTCAGGAGCAGAAATGCTATCAGTTTTCAGATCAGGAAAGGTCTATGAATCTTTCTCTTTTCAGATATTTTACACACATCAAGCGAAGAACGACCAATATCCTCAATCTTTTTTTGTATTGGGGATAAGAGTCTCTCATATGTAATTATCTTACTCTTATGTCTTGTTTAACTTGCATCAAAAGCTATTAGTTAAAAACAGGGGAGGCGAAACAACAGAAATCCATATTTGATATTACAAAAAAAAGGCATAATAATATGAGAAATTAGAGTCTTGGCCTAAATTCTTGACATACAAGTTATGGTGAAACACAGGGGATAATACTAAGGTAAGAAAAACAGGACTTTTCAAACAATGGTGCAGCCGCTTCCACTTTCATAGGTAGTAACAGACACAATATCACAACTCCCGCAGTAAGAATCCATAGGCTTGCAATTGCACACAGGCTTTGGTGGTTCAGGCGCTGGTAGAGGCTTTGGAGGTTCCGGTGGTTTTGGTGGTGGTCCAACGCTGATGATTACTGGTTTCTGTTTAATCTTCTTTAGTCTCCCTGCTACGCATATCGGATCCATTGTCCCCACCACCGTAAGTATGCTTTTTTCCTCATCTAATGAGATATGATTCACACCTGCGTCAAAATCTCATGTTCAATAAATAGGATATGTTAGAGCACTGATTTACTTTTGTTCTCATTACCTTCTATCTCTGTGACTGTTTCCATGATTGCGCTATTGCATTTCCCACAGTTTATATCCACCTTGATCTCAACTTTCTGCACAAGACCATACAGAAAGAAAGAGATGAAATCATTTGGTGTCGAGTTTGAGCTGAAAACAAACTAGTACTTAGGATGTTTACCTTAACAGTCATGATGGATTGAGCCAAGAAAGAGGAAAAAGTGGATTAATGGAGTTTTTGGAGAATGAACAAGGAAGAGGAAAAGTTATAAGAAACATGTGAAGACAAGAAATGACAGGTTGGAAATTTATGTTGAAGCAGTTGCGTTTGTCTTTGATCAGCATTTGTTAATTCAATAATCAAGAGAATACAGTATCTACGTGCGTAGATGCATGTTTATTTTCATATATTCTTCTGAATAATTTATTTGCGGTTTTTGGGAATTTGCTTAGTTGGTATTCAACCATCATTTTATGGACTGACTCTACTTGGAACATTATTGAAGAACGAAGTTGTTTAATCCTGCAAAATTATTATTATAATATATTTTAGTCCCATATTCTCTCTAGCTTGTACTTTACTTGACCCCAAATCATTTTTATATAATGTCTTATGATCATGCCAATGCATGGATAGAGAAACATGATTTTGGTTCACCTCTAGTCTCTAGACGGTTTACTGTTTTGGAGTGCCTTCCCGGTTTAGATTCAATTGAACCAAACAAACCTCATGAGTTACAAACCATATAATCAACCAAATCATTGTCCGTTTTAATCATTTCGAGTTTGGTGATTAATAGAGTTTGAAGGAATTTTGTGTGTGTGTGACGAATGTCATCCTATAACTAACTATAGGCTAATTACTGTCTCCAACAGATTAACCCTTTTTAATCACCAGTAACCAACGATCCCAACACCTAAACCTAATTATGGCAAAAAAGAAAAGAAAAGAAAAATTAACAAGGCTATATATGGCCCCTCCATATTTATCTCTTCTTCATTGGTTATATCTTCTTTATTATAGATGTATAAATTGTGAAACAAGGTCAAAGGATTTTCTCAAGCAACAAACATTTTCTCAACAACAACCAACAACAATGGCAACTTCCATGACCTATCTTTTTCTTACCGTCTTTCTTGTGGCCGCCCACACGGCCTTCGCCGAAACAACCATGCTTCAAGATCTTTGCGTTGCTGATCTTAAAGGTCCGAAAGTCAACGGGTACCCATGCAAAGACCCATCACAAATAACACCAGAGGACTTCTACTTCGTAGGCATAGCCCAAGCTGCATCCACCAGCAACTCCTCAATGGGGTCAACTGTGACAGGAGCCAACGTTGAGAAAATCCCTGGCCTTAACACCATGGGTGTCTCTATCTCTAGGATCGACTACTCACCAGGCGGACTCAACCCGCCGCATCTTCACCCCCGTGCCTCCGAAGCTATCTTCGTCCTCGAAGGCCGTATCTTTGTCGGTTTCTTGACGACCACGGGAAAGCTCATCTCCAAATACCTCAACAAAGGAGATGTCTTCGTCTTCCCTAGAGCTCTCCTCCATTTCCAACAGAACCCTAACAACGCTCCTGCTTCCGTCATCGCTGCTTTCGATAGTCAGCTTCCAGGGACTCAAGTCGTTGGACCGTCTCTGTTTGGCTCTAACCCTCCCATTCCTGATGAATTGCTTGCCAAGGCTTTCGGCATGGGACCACAAGAGATTCAGAAGGTTAAGGGCAAATTCCCACCCAAGAAATGAATGTAGGTTTCAGACCATACCAATTAATGGTTTAATGTATTGATATACATATGATGAACATAATAATGTAAACTTCTAAGCTAAAGCAAAAATAATGCTTGTAACTTTTGTTTTTTTTTTTCAAATTTTTGTAGATATAACTTTTTTTTTACCCATTGATTACAATGAAACCAGTTTCAACAAATAGACTTCTCATAACTAATCTCTAGAGCCAGTATTTCTTTGAACATTTTGATACAAATTATGGAATCCTGTCTTGAAGCACACATTGCTGTAAGAATCTATGGGTCCGCTCTTTTCCTTCCACATCAATCTTACTGAAATCATACAACGATAAATCAAAATAGTATACGGTGACACGTAGCCAGATCTAGGTCTAGTTTCTTCTTTCTACATCTCTTTCATGCTTTCTGTATCCAAACATAGCTGGATTTTTGTCACTCGCATTGAAGCCAAATTCTTGTTGTTACTCGCATAGGTGGATTCTTATTCCAAACATAGATAGATCTTTGTCACATGCATTTTGTCACTCTAATTTAAGCAAAGTAAAAAAATAAAAATGTCCACAACATTTAGCATTTATACAAGATTCTTTTTGTTAAATATAAACAACGTAAATCTCCCTATTTCTGTTTGGCGTAAGTTTCTCATACTCTCTAGCCGTTTCACGCCCCACCACATCTTCCTTAATTTGTTCTTATCTCCTCATAAAACTACTCTTCATAATATGCAGAAGTGGGCTTTCACAAATCTTTCATAGATGTGGAGGACCTTAAATCTTCCAAAAATACCATAAATAACTGATTTTTGTTTCCAAAAATACCACAAAACTAAAAGGGAAATTCTCAAAAATATCACAAAAGTAAAACCTTACTGACCATAAAGTTAGTTTCTTTATATAATTTTCAACAGAATAAGTTAGTTTATTGTCTGAAAAAATCTTGATAGTTACTCTATCCATTTCTTTATGTTTATAAAATGAAAAGGATGGTTTAGTCTCAACTCTCAAATCATCACATTCTGTTTGTTAAGTTAAAATATTTTGTAAACTTCTTGTGTCCGTTATGATTTCAGTTCCTCTTCCTTTCTAAATTTGTTTTACCAACTTGACATAATCATTCACCAAGATTGATGTGAATTTAATTATATTAATCACTCTTCTACTTGCTCAACTGAACTATTAAAAGAAAGAATTTGAACTCTTGTTTCTGTTATTCTCCAAACGGGAAAACAACACAACTTACAAGATCGAACATCGTATGTATGTAATGTAATCATTGGCTATACATTTCTATGTATCACACTTTTATTATTTAATCAGAATCAAAAGCTCTTCTCTCTAGCGGAACCCACCTCTTGAATTCATCTGAACAGGGAAACCCCAATGAGAAGAAAAAACAAGATTAGGATATAAACCTTCTCTGTTCATCTTATTTGTGATACGCACATAAAGGTTAAAGATCCTTCTAGGCAAAGCTAATGCCTTAAGAACCAGCTTCCTTGATCGGTTTAGTCTAAACCCTTTTGCTCGAATCTCGTTCTTCTTCCCCAAGTTCTGCCTTTTACCCGACCTTGTTGTTGCTGTTGTCAACTTCTCATGTTGGTCAGTTAGCTTCTTGTACCGACATGACTGTCTCCACCGGTATTTGCCTACACTTTGCAGCATCTCCGGTTCTTTTGACGATAGGGTTTTGTTGTTGTCTTAGAGGAATACAGAGTCAGTGTCCAATGGAGGTCAAGAACAAAACAGAGAGATTGAAGGAATGAGTTTTCTTTTCTTTCTTCTTTTGCTTGAAAGGGTATAGAGATAAGGAGACACTATAATGATGATGATGGTGAAGAGACGTGTATTTAAAAGGGTCGAAAGAGTGAGAAAGATTCTTAAAGCACATGGATTTATTCTTCATTTTTTTCATTTAAAACCCCAAAAGATATGTCAAATCTGCTTAAATGGGCAGCTCTTGTTTAACCACATAAGCAAGATGCTCTGTATATGGATTGACCTACGCGGTTAATGCTGTGACTATGATGCTCTTCAAATAGAAGACAAATCCTTGTTTTGGGGTCATGTGTGAATTAGTTACAGATGGGCAACTGAATATCCGAGATGTGGTTTTGCGGAAATGGGCAAGAAAAAATCATGTTCCCTTTTAGTTGCATTTTGAAATGCTAAAATATAATCCGACAAGAATTTTGGTTTGCCCCATTTCAGTTTCCACTATTTAATATTTTAAACTAATATAGAGAAATTTCTTCAAATACAAAATCTGTCATGTGAACATTTTGATAACAAATTATGCTGATTTAGGTAAATATGTACAATTTTGTTTCAATCTAATATTAACTACGGAAGTTTTGTTATGTGGTTGGAACAAAGGAAAATCAGGTTTCGTTTTCAAATGAGATTTGAAAGTTAGTCGTTTCAATAAAAAATCTGATTATGTAATTACCAAAGATTTTTAATGTTTTTCCACTTTAGCTAGAAAGGAAATCAAGGGAATATATAAGAAGACATGTCCAATGATTGGAATTTGGAAGTCTTCTAATTCATTATTTTTGAACAAAATTAGAGGTGGTTGAAAAGAGTCTTCTAAAATCTGTGATTATTTGGGCAGTTCTGACAAATGTGACATTAACATTAACAAGGAGAGAAGAATAATAAGAAAGAAACAAAGGTCCAGAAATATTTGTAAACACGTTAATCAACAATGATTGAACTGGTGACGAGGAATAAGTAGGTTGCTAGTCTATTTTGTACCCAATTATTTGTTTCTAAAATACTTCAGCCGAACAATGTATCCGGTTAAGCTATCCCTTTTTCAGTTCAAATCCGGCTTTGGCTTTCAGTTTGATTTTCTTATTTTCCAACCTTAATGTACATCACTAATGTACATCAACCAAAATAAAATATATTTTGTCTATATTTCTTCTTCTACCAGTTCTTATTCTAATATTTTTTTCTTGAAACAATCAAGTTTGTTACTTTTTTCTCTTCTGCTCAACTCAATTGGTTCAGTTTGTAGATTAGCAAAGTAAGTTGAGTAAAAACAATGCATATTTTGGCGAATCAATTGGTTTATTACTTGTAGGCGAATTTGCCAACTTTCTCTTGAAAGCCAAGCGCGTAAGCGAAACGTGCTTATGGTGCGCGTGAACTTCTCAACTCGAGTATACAGGTCCACTAAAAACTATATGGACCCACGATAGGCCCAGAATAAGCCCAATAACGCTTATTATCTTGATAAAATAATGGAACTCATTGGTAACGTATACTATCACTGACTTGTTGAAGAAAGCGACACGAGAAAAAAGGAACCTGACTCGCTTACGTTATGACGTTATGTGACTAATGACTACGATTATTAAATTACATATGAGCATGAATTGAATCTACGCTAGGTTCACGTTTCTTGCATGATCTTTCGGATACCAAAACAAGTTTTGATTACTCTTTTACCAAAATATCTGATTGAAATCGGAAATGTAATCATCGCATATAAAAGTATATAACCAACCCTCCAAGTTCATTAATCTAGTGATTAACAAGTAACAAGACAATTAACTCAATTTTAAGCACGCAACGAACTATGCACACACAAACGAAGGAACAGAGAAAGAGAAAAGAGACTTCTAGTAGAAGCAGTAGGAGGAGGAAGTCTTCTTGTTTGGGTGCAGAAGACGAAAGAAACGTCTACGGCGGTTGAAAAACGCCGTTTTGACACGCGACCAAACCACGCGTTTCAGCCTCCGAGCGGATTTCAACCTCATCCAAACCACTTTCTTCACCACTCTCCTCACAGATCTCTTGATCTTCTCCGTTAAGCTCTGTTTCCTCGAGAACTGGTAGCTCTTAAGGAACAGCTGTCTCTTCTCCACGTAACCTCCTCCTCCGTAGCCATACCCATAGTAACCGTTGTTGCTCTGCCAAACGCCGCCGCTGCTACTGTTCATGCTCATCGGAATCTTTCTTGGAGCAGATTCCGGTGACGGCTTGTAAATACTCAGCCGCCGCGACAAGAACCGCCGTCAACGAACAGTATTTTCGTTGGACAAATCTCAATCTCGCTTCAAGTGCTTCACGTTGTTGCTTTTAATATTGTTGGCCTGGCTTTTGCCTTTGCCCTATCTAACTTTTGACGTACCACTACTACTTTTACTACTCTGCTTTTAATGGCGTCTCGGTCTCATTATTCATATTTTTTTTAAACTATAAAATAAAAAGTCTCGTCAAATCAAATAGATAAACAAATACACGTATGTAGGTGAGACTTTAATCTAACTTCCCAACAAGTGAAAAAAAATCAATAGAAAGTTCAAAGTTCACGTTCTGCTTATAGTTAAAGCAAAAATTTAAAAAGTAGATGTATGTAGATTAAACATTTACATGTTGCGGATTTGATTGATTAAACAAAATTTGGAATGACATAATGATATTGACATGTTGATCCAACGAATTTTTATCGTATCTTTTGTTGCTGGGGTCTTAGGTGTATCAATATTTTCAGTTTACTAAAATTGTTTATGTAAGCAACTAAGCATAACAGAAAAACCAAATTTGGGTCTAACCTATAATTGATAAAATGTTAGCATAAATAGCACACAGACAAAAAAAATTATATAAGATTTGCGGTCTGAAAAGGAACATAAAAGGGAAGAGATGGCCTAACCGCTCCAAACAACATACAAAACACAATACACATAGCTCCAAACTCTATCTAACTCTTTCTAATTCCTCACCAAATGATCACAACTTTTTGAGTTACTGTAACCAAAATTCCATAATCATTTCATATCTACAAACCAAAGATTGTGAACCAAAGCAAGAACAAGTAACAAGCTGTGCAAAGGAAATGCCAGTGGAAGACTCATAAGAACAACAATGAACTAACATTTTCCTGCTTAGCAAAACAGACTCTGAGAGACTACTGAATCTAACACTTTTGTTACTGTTGTTAATGGTAGATATCAAATCATCTTCCTCACTATTTAGGTCCTGCACTTACATTAGCAGAAGGGACCTTGCTTGGGTAGCTCGATATATCAATGTCCATGAGCGACATGTCATACATCGTGGAAGCAGAGTCTGAGGCATCGACGAGCAAAGAAGATTTCATTGTCTCCGGGCGTGCAGGATCAGCCACACCGGAGGCTTTCGGTGTGCTTGGTCCTGAAGAGGAGTGACTCGAGACCGAAACACCATCCATCTTGTTTCCGAACAGGTGTTTGTTCTTTCTGACAGCATCCATTTCCTGACCAGTTGGCACAAATGTTCGTGCTCGGTACTTCGTTGTCCCTTCACCACCATCATTATGATTGTAGAGCACATAATCGTGATACGCAGGGGCAAACTGTAACAAAATCGCAACTACTCATCACCGCAACAAAGGGACACATAGTAATTTACTTAAATAGAGATGTTTTTACAAACGAATCGGTTACCTGGTGAACAGTGTCATGGTAGAAATCATTTAGTTGAACAGCATGTGCTAGGCTTCCAGAGAAACTGTGAGCTCCTCCAACATTGGCACCTGCATATTCCTTGTATGGGAATGCATAGAAATGAGCAGCTGCAGCTATAAGCATCTCCACGCATATAATGAAATTCTGGAAGAGAGCTGCTTCTTCTTCATCCCTTATATATCCAGACTTAGCAAAAAGGAAAACAAGAACACCCTGTAACACAAAGAGGTCAAGGACATTGTTAAAAGTCTGTGAAAACCAGCAAAGGGCAGAAGTTAATGCCAAAATTTAGTGATAGCAAGAGAATGAGAAACGTTACCTGCCAATAGGTTAAGAAGACAACAGACTTTATAATCACAAACTTTGGGACTGGATTGAATGGCTGAAGCAGATCTTTGCATGCCACATAAAAGAGGACCAGTGCGTACAAGGCCACTGTGTACGATATAGTATAGATGATGGTAAGATAGAGATATGACTGATCAGGGCTGAAATTTCCATCCTTGTATTTCCGTTTTGCGTAGAGCACAAGTGTGACAGCAACTAGGATTGGCTTTAGAATTACAAATTGCAGACAACCTTGCTTGCACCGCCGAATAAAACGCCTATGTCAAAACATAATCAGGTATGAGCCCATACATGTTAGCTAAGGCAGTTGTCATAGAGCACATACACGAGTTTATACATGCTGAAACTGAAACTGAAATCATAATGATGATAATATGCATGCAACCAAATGATTGACAAACACTCGTCCATTAATATCTCTCAGCATAGTTTTATCAAGAATTTATACAAATATTGTGAAAGATCGTAGGAGAAATCGAAGAAACATGCCAATGACACCAATTTAAGCACAGAGAAGGTAGGTTCATTTTGGAAACTAACCCGTCTAATGGAAGTGGTGGGAAGCAACATGTCATGAGATGCCACGATGGCTTCAGAGAGCGACCAGTTAAGCTTATAACCACAGAACCTGGGCCTCCAACCCATGCCAAACACAGCGATAGAAAATTATAAATCACCCACGCTTCATAACTGAAACATAAAAAGATATCACAAACGAAGCCTTAGGAACGTAAACCAACAGGTCTGCATTTGTTGACACCAAAGGATATAACTGAGTTCTAAAGGTTCGCTATCTATTCTCAAGGCTCAATGAGTAAGCACAATTCATGCTAAAGTAGCGAATATGAAAAATTCAGAGAAACACTCACACTTCTCGGATGGAGTTAAAATAGATGGAGCTTTTGGGCAACACAAGAGCTAAGAATGACATCAAGGCATAGACCTGTGGTGCCAAAAACAAACCACGAACATGTTAATTCAACACGAAAATGGAATTCACAGATCAGGATAGACAAACAGAAGCGAGCTCTTGGAAATGGTAATACTGACCGGGACCATGAAGACGATGCGCACAATATATCTCTGATAAATTGGTTCAGTGTAATTCAAGAGGTGCTTGTAGATATGGAATAAGGCCAAAGCAATGGCTCCCACAGTACACAGAAACGCCACAATAATGAGGTAAATGGGTAGCAAATCAGCCATTTTCTGCAAAAAGAAACAATTTTGGTTCTGAACAAATAAGGAAAATGCAAAAGGAGATAAAGGCAATAACCTGTACAAGAGGAGCTAACTGCCTCTTGATTTCCCCAGGAGGTCTCAGAAGACTGA